TAAGGCATCTGCCCACAGTGTGGGAAAAATGCAAGATTGACCCTATGATCCCTAGTGCTGTAGGTTTCAGCATTACCAGATGGAGTTTGCAGTTCAAGGTATCCTTGGAAGTAACTCGCAGGTATTTGAAGGAGCAACAGTGTTTGATTGAGCTACCAAGGGTGCTCCAAAATAAAAATCTAGGCCTTTTCCTAACAACAAAAAACATTTCCTCAGTCTTTGTATAATTTGTAGTATTTTTTTCTTCTTTACAATATTGCCCCATTTCCTGTGAAAACCTTCTTAAGCCAATTATAGTTTGAGAAATCAGGGCAGTATCTTCAGCACATAAGAAAATTGAAATTTTTGATTGGTCCAATGAAGAAGTTTTAAATTATGGTCCTGATAAACTCTTCATGGTATTGTTTACATATAACTTTTTTTTGCCGTACTTTTTATTAAATTTTAAAACAGTACTAAAAACATCAATCATCACAAACATCAGAACTACTGAGTCAGCCCCTTACTACATATCTTTTAACATTCTGTAATCATATTCAGATCCATTTATGGAATCTCAAAAAACATTTTTAGATCTAAACCAAGTCCCGTTTCTCCAGCCAATTAAAAAAAAAAAAAAAAAGGTTCCAAATTTGATAGAAGTCACTATCTTCTTTCTCCTTCTGCGGTAAGATCAGTCCATCCATTTCTTACAGAGTCCCATTTTCCTTGACCAATATTAAAAGAAAGACTCTCCAAATTTGATAAAAGTCAATATCTTCTTTCTTCTTCGATAGTAGCTTCAATCTAACCAACTTTACACAATTCCAGATCTTTTCATTTTTCTAATATTAAACAGATGAACTCCTCATTATAATAGTTACAAATACGATCAAATACATTTTTTGCTTACTAGTATTCCAGTCTAATATCCACTAAAAAGGAAAGTGAAAGAAAAGTTCCAAGATTAAAAAAGAACTAAAGACTTTTAACCCAATTTATGTTCACATGTCTAACATCCATTTAGCATCCTTAAGGACATCTTAGCTAATCTATTTAACGACAACAATTATCTATGATATCTTTAAAACAAATTTTCTTTAAGCTAATTCATTAAAGTTTCACATTCAATTAACTCCTTTTAAGAGTCCAGCTCCTTACAATCTTTAATATATCTTGCTTGTAAAAAGTGGAGGAGCTGTACTGTATTTAGTACAGCTCCTCCACTCCCATAATAGTCATTTTCTAGTGTAGCAATTCAAAGACAAAAGAGTCATGCAACTTAGCTTTTGGTCATTCATTTTTAAGATAAAAAAGAAAGAAAAAGAAAAGACTCTCTCATTTTCCCTTATATCACCCACAAAGGAGAGGAAAAAAAAGGGGGGGGGGGACTTCATTCCTATTCTTCTCCTTCTTAGTTCAGTTTAAATCTTATCTTATATTCTCTTCATAATTCAACACATTTAAATGTAGGAAAGCTTCCACAGTTAAAATCATATACCTTAGCCTTTCCATACCACAATAAACATGCCAACCCATTTATACCATTCCTTTTTAAGATTTCTTTTTTACACCTCTTCCAAACTACTTTTGTTTTAATAGGGTTTGTTGAAAATCAATATTTTTACACTTTACATCTCCAGCCCATCTTTCTCCCCTTGGTGTTATTTGTTGAAAATCAACCCACTTCAAAGTCTGTATTTCAATCTTCACTATTTCTTGCTTTATCTTCAGTGATCGTAGCATTTGTTGTAGGTCAGTATTTATTCCCAATGGCTGTGCTTTTTGCTGCAAATCAACCTTCACTGTTTCTTCTTCCTCAGAATCAATTTTAGTTAATTCAGGATCCATCCATCCTTCAAAAAAAAAAAAAAATCCTTCCTTTAGTGGCCAAATTTGTTTCTTTTTATCCACAGTTACAAATTTTTCCAATTTTTCATATACTTGTAGCATTTCTTCTATATTCTGTTCAGTTTCGGATTTTACATCAATCACCATCTGCTTAAAAGAAGCATCAAGCTTATCAAAGAGCTTTTTTTGTACAATTGAGAAGATTTCCTGTTGTCTCAACATCACCTCTTGGGATATTTGTAAAGTTGTTAAAGATTCTTGTATTTCCAAAAAAATATCTCTTCAGCTCTACCATTGTTGCAATAATTCCAATAGCCACAAAGTGGCAGCCAAGTTCAGTTCCACTTTTCTTTTCTCTAGATCACTAGCAGTCAGAAGGTTGACAAGTTGCCAAATACTTTGGCAGAAGTCCCAGAAACGCAGGAGAGGAAATGGAGATTCTTATATCCTTCCTCTTTTCTCCCTTTTCTCTCTTTTTTGTTTTTTATGCCAATTAACAACAGATATAGTTTTTCCACAAGTAGTATTGCAAAAGGAAAATAGGAATGCTCACCCAAACGGTCGTCACATTAAAGAAGAAAGCATCCGACAATGTGAAAAATATCCTGGCGAGTGTCCAGTTGATCTTGACAGAAGTCCAAACAGATATCCAAAATGATCGGTCAAAGTTTTGAACTCCTATCACGTAATTGCACCTTAAAAATTTAAACTAATTTTATACCCTTAGAGAGGTTAGAGGAAAAAGTCTTTTTCTTCAGCTTCAACGTGGACAAAAGCCTCAGCACTCTCTCATCTCAGACACAACCTTAACATCTGGAGGGTATTTCTTAATGCCAAATTATACACAAATGCAGCTTTTCCACGGATAATATTGCGAAAGAAATAAAAAATATTTACTCAGCAGTTCTAATGCTTATCTAGCTAATAAAAATCCTAAGCTAATCTTCAAATATGTGGAGAACTTGAAGGGGCTGAAACCACCCCCTGTGTTACACAGTTGAGAAGTACCTGAATTGCTCTCAGCAGATATGAGATTGACATCTTACATCAAGCCAAAAGTGTGCCCAGGCAATCTGACTTCACCCCAACAGGGCTTAGATGAGTCTCCCACGACTCGCTGCCGAGTAATACCGGCATGATAAACGTACTCCATTAATCACATCCATCTTGTTCCAATGCCATCTTGGAATCCCTTGTTTACATATAACTTGAATAACAAGGGGAAAACATACACCCCTGCTTCACATTCTTCTGATGGAAATTTTGTTGGTTAGGAGGACAGATGTCCCCACCATAATTTGTATGAAAGTGTCTCTGTGCTGCTCTTGGAGCAGAAAAGGAAGTCTCATGTGGATACTCAGTACACATCCATATAAACACATGAAATAAAAAATAAAATTGATTCAAATGAGGCTGTGAAATCAAGGAACGCTACATAAAACACTTCTGCATTCCTGCTTACTCCAGTGTTTGGAAGTGGTCAATAGTACTGAGACCAAGATCCAGTACAGAGAACCTTCATTTTATTCAAGAAACAGGAGTTTTTACACCATCTCTGTGTATGAAGCAGATATTGTGCACCCATATTATTCAATCCATGATCTTCCATTGATTTTTTGGAAACATTCTGGAAATTGTGGGAGCGCCTGTACTTTCATGATTTCCTCCTTTCCTCTTTTGACTTTATGCTATAGGTTTAATTCATCTTTAATGGAATGTAGTCTGTCACAGTTCAGCTCACTGCTCCTTGCCTCAGTCCAATGGTCTTGCTATCACCTAGGAGTTCAGGTTGCAGAACATGTAATAGAGCCCATGCGCATCAAGCTTATTCCAGTTGTCTCCAAAGGTTCCATGAGGTTTGAGGTTAAACTCCTTGGGGTTGCAGTGGATGCACAAGAGGAGATTCCAAACTCCTGCGGTTGCTGTGTTCTAACACACTTGCAGGGCGATTGGGTGGACTTGCCCTAAGCATCCTCATCTGTACATCATGAGGTATTCATCTGCAGTGCAGGCATCTCTTTCTCCTTAAAAGAATGATTAATTCCCAGGAAGCCTAAATCTTTGCCAAGCATGTAACATTAATGAGTCCAAGTTATTAGAAAGCTTGCCCAGCGTTGTGTAACAAGTTTGTTCTACTTTGTTCAGTGACCATTTGGGAACTTCTTTTTGGCATGACCTGCTGTGTAGCACGTGGCTGAACAGGACAGGAAATCTGCAAATGCCAGAAAGATGCCTGGGGTTTATCCCAAACCTATTAGTAGCATTTCCTTCTATTCATTTGGAGGGAGCATATTTGTTCCCTCTGAAATCATCACCCGTTTATGAGCGAAGCATTGCAATGAACGAGCTAGGTGCAGGAAATGCCCTGGATTCCTCGGTTTTGGGATTCCAGACTCCAGTGCACTTAGCAGCCCACTCCAACTTCCTGGCAGGAATGCCCATGATTTCCGGGGTTGTCAGCAAGAATAGAGCCCCATGTGCTGGGAAAGCAGAATCATTCCTTCATCTCCACTGTTGCTCTTGGCAGCTGTGAGTATGGAAGAAGTTTGGCTAGCAAGAATGGAACAAGCCAAAGCTATGAGTGCAAGCATGAAGTAGCGACTAGAGCAGCTCATGTTCCTGGGTCAAAGAGCATTGGTAAGGGGCTGCAGCTTTGGGTACTTTCAGTCATACTGCATTATTGCTCCCCACCTATTCCTAGCAAGAACCACCAGGGGTATCCTGGTCCTGCAAGTACTTGCGTGGTTAATCTGGCTGTGATCCTGACAATATGACAGAAGATAAGATGTTCTGAATATTACATATTGCAATGTATCACAAGGCTTATCAAAATGAGAGTTATGTGATCAGAGTAAACAGACAGAGCAGCGAGGGTAGCATCCATTACTTTTCCTTAGTACCTGGGGTCCAAAGATGCATGTGCATTCGTCCAGAAGCATGGTTACCTGTTTCCTGCTCAGCATAGGCAACTACAGAATCATTTGAAAGTCATTGATAATGGTAAGCTGCTAATGGTCTTCATGAAAGGCAGCTAAAAGTGAATCTGGGGGTATATGCAGTAAGACGTGCATCCTTCATTAGGGTTCGATTCTGGTAACATTTGATTCACTCCGCCAAAGTAGCATAACCCTCTACACTGTACATGACAGTAGTGCACAGGCATGTGTTCTTCAAGATTTTCTTCTAACTAGCTGTTCTCTCTTGTTCAGCTCAGGTCTCAGCACAATAATGTAACACTTGGGGATAAAGATGCAACACAGCAATCCTGTGCTAGAAGCTAAGATGGAGAAGATCTCCACAGCCACCATGGATTTCCCCTTGGTGCTGAGGTAAGAAGGAACAAAGGACAGCCAAACACTGCAAAAGACCAGCATGCTGAAGGTGATGAACTTGGCTTCATTGAAACTGCCAGGCAGCTTCCTGGACAGGAAGGCCACCGTGAAACTGATGGTTGCAAGAAGGCCCATGTAGCCCAATGTACAGTAAAACATCACCACTGAGCCCTCATTGCATTCCAGTACTATTTCTTCAGCCATGGAGAACATGTCGGCATCTGGGAAAGGAGGTGAAGTTCCTAGCCACACACTGCAGATGCCTGCTTGGATGAGGGAGCAGGAAAGAACAATGACACTGGCTGTCTCCTTTCCCAACCACTTCCTCATCTTGGATCCTGGCTGAGTAGTCATGAAAGCCAGAACCACCAAGAGGGTTTTTGCTAGCACAGAGGAAACAGCCACTGAGAAGATGATGGCAAAGGCAGTTTGTCGGAGGAGGCAGGTCACTGCCTGAGGCTCCCCAATGAAGAGCAATGCACAAAGGAAGCAGAGCAGGAGGGAGATGAGCAGTGTGTAAGTGAGCTTCTGGTTGTTGGCTTTGACTATGGGAGTCCTGTGGTTCTTCACGAACACGGCCAGCACAAGAGCTGTGATGAAAGCAAAGACAAGAGCAAGGAAGACTAATGTGAGCCCCAAAGCTTCATCATAGGACAAAAAGGTTGTGTTCTTTGGAAGACAGAAATCCCAATTCTTGCTTGGATACTCTGTATCTGAGCATGGATTGCAATCATTCATGTCTGGGAAGGAAGGGAATGAGATCGTATTGAGCTTACCAAAGAAGACAGGGGATCCAAATCATAAAATTCAATGACCTAGATTCTGTATAAGCTGGAATCCTGGCCATAAGAACACAAAAATGTAACAATGCAAGATTAAGGCTCTGTACTGAAATCTGGCTTTGTTTCAGTGTTTGAACAACACCCTGCAGGGCAAACCTTGGATGGCTCAATTTTCTTTCCCATGATGCAGAAATTTCCCCCTCATCTTGGAAGTTAAATTTTCTGCAATTGGGGTGCATCTCCTGCAAACCAGAATGGAAGGTGGGGACCAGTGATGCCTCTTCTATATCCTTGCTGCCAGCTGATTCTCACTCCCCCCCCCCCAAGTCAGTCCCCTAGTCCCAACCCTGGCCAGCTCATCTTTAGGCCTGGTTTTCTCTGCTAATGTTCTGGTTCTGAGTGGCAATTGTCCGCTGTCAAATTGTCTGTCCAGATTCAATCAAAACAGTGAGCCATTCCGGTAATAAGAAGTCATAGAACAGGCCAGTGTTGCTGTTTGTGGTTTCTACTATGCCATGAACTCCAAGATTTGTTTTGGATGACAAATCATACGGATGTGTGTATGAAGGCAGTCATTGCTTGTTGTGTACTACAAAGCCACCTAGTGAGTATTTATGTATTTCTTAGCTAAGGAAAGCAACGTCTGCACACGTTGGTGGAAGGAGCACAATCTCTGTGTCAGGAAATCCTCTCATCTCATTTCACAAACGTGGTGCCATAGAGAAGATTCTCTTTTATCTGGGGGCAGGGCAGGTGTTACACGGAGACTTGAGGAGGCATCGTACAAAATTCAGGAACTTGCAGTTTTGTGCCTGCAATTGCCAATGAAAATAGCTTATCCAGAAGAATACCATGGTTCATTGTATCAAGACCCAATGAGAAATGCAAGGCTATCAACATGAATTGATTCCCTTCTCCAACTCCACCCCTTACAAAATACTCTGATCCCATTTGAACCACTGAACTACATTCAATGAATGCATATTTCAATGTATTTTATCATGTTGTAAGCCGCCCCGAGGTTTCGGCAAGGGGCGGCATAGAAATGCTATAATAATAATAATAATAATAATAATAATAATAATAATAATAATAATAATATTTCCTACCCTCCTGGGTGGAGATCTTCCCAGCTGGACATGGGATGCAATCGTAGCAGCAATATGGCTCCCCCACCTTCACTTTCTTGCTAGAGGCCGGACGGCAACTCCAGGTGCATACAGAAAGAGGTTGTGCCTAATGCAAGAATTAAAAAAGGAGATTGAACATATGGAGAGAAACCTGATGGACTAAGTTTACTTGCTGCCAGTGGAGATGCAGCAGTGCAACTCACAGATGTGTCAGAGCAACACTGCTCCACCATAGAAGGGACACCATCTGTGCAGCCTAAAGAGGACCGAGACAGTGGGCAGACAGAGTAGACTTACTCCCAGAGCTATACTCCTTGGAATGCTAAAGATATCCAAAATAGTTGGATGGGTTTAGTAGGAGAGGGAACAATATTGGAGGTGGGTCACGATATATCAACCTCTCCAACTTACTTCGCTTACTGCAGAATGCCTGCCCTGTCTACCTTTCTAAGGTCCCAATCCGATTCATGCCATTTACTTAGTATTGAAATTCCTGACTGTGATATTCCCAGAATTAAAAACTGATATTAATGAACTGTAATTAAATAATAATTCCTGCTGGCTTGAGCTTAGAATAACAAGGGCCAGGAAGACTCTGTACATGTCAGTCCTCTCATTTTTATTTCTTCACTTGCTTCTTTCTCTCCAAAATGAGTTTTGCATGACACTGTTGAACTCGACTGAAATGAAAGCCAGGAGGACCAAAGATCAGAGCTTGTTCAGGGAAACTGAATTGTGGTCCCTACCTGATTAAACCAGTGGTGCCATGTTATGGTCTCCTCATGAATGGTGAGTTTTGGGCCTAAAGAAGCCCAAGGATCGATCCTTCCAACTTTCACACGGAGAAAAGATTCATTGGCAAAAAACTTCCAGTTAATAACATCAAATCCAGTCACGAGCTCCCCTTTCTCATTGAAAGAAACCCTGCTCCCAGCACTGTTATTAAAGGCGACACCTCTGAGAAACTGGTGCAGCTAGAATCAAAATGGGGGGAAAAGTTTAGAAGATTCTCGGCAGTAATGTTTGTGACTGAAGAAATGTCACTCATTCACTAAGTTGGAGCTTCCCCATTTTGCCCATCATGAAGAACTCAGGACAGCTTAAAACACCATCCTCCATTTCATACTTTTCCACACAGGAACCCTCTAAAGCGTGCTATGTTGAAATAGGTGACTGACTCCAATTCACAATGTGAATATACTAAATAAGTGTGGGTAAACAAGTTGGATCTCCCCAGTGACACACACAGAAGAGGAAAGCAGAACAATGTGACTGAGATCGGAGTATGTTAGAGGGAGAGAAATTTGGAGTATACTTAGACAAAAAATACAAGGGCTCTTATCACAGCAAAAGACATGGGTGTTTCACTCTTGAGTACATAGAGAACAGTACCCTCCATGGTGCTTCACTCCAGATTTTCTGATTTTTATTCTTCAGCACTGCCCTGTGTTTGACTTCAGATGAGGACATGGCATGCATAGCGTGGGCCACAGCATAGACCGCATTGTAGATGCTGTAGCTGTGACCAGTCATGCTCAACTCAAAGAAAGATCCAGGAAGGCTCTCCAGCCTTTCCTTCCCAGTGCAAATCACTTCTTCCACATCATTGTCCACTGAAGTTGGAAAAAGGCAGCCAAAAGCTTGTTCCCAAAAGATCCTAAGGAAATCATCTCCCTTTGTTCTGTTTGGATTTCTTCTCTTCTCGAATGATTGGAATCCTGGAAGATCATTAGAGTGAATGCTGAGGGAAAGAGTACCATGGAATATTTCTGTCTCCCAGTTCCTTTGATAGACAAATGCATTGATCTCCATGTTGGCTGAGGCTATCCACACTTTGTCTTTTAATTTGCTTGTCCTTTTCACCACTTCTGATATATATGGTAGCCATTTCAACAGTGCAAAGGAATATGATTCTCCCTGTAGAACAACTACATTGGCTTTGCTGTCCACGAGTTTATCATGCATATCTGCCCCCTTTTCTAAAACGGTATTAATGTTATTGATGTTGGTGTGTGGGGGTAGTTTTTCTATGAAGGCAACACAGACACCTCTTTTGGAAAACATTGGAAATACAGTTTGCAAGAACCTTTCTCCCTTGTCATTATCCATACAAAGAAGTCCTATCCATGTCCAGCTGAAATGCAGCAATAAAGAGAGAATCCCTTCATACTGCAGAGTTTCATGAGGAACCATCTGTTAGAAGGGAAGTCCTGGGGTCTTATCATTCATGACTGGAGCCACACCATATATGAGCTAAGGAGAGGTTGAGGAAATATTAGCAAGATGACTTTAATGACTGGAACAATTTCACTTGAGTCTACATACATGCTGTTAGCAATTCTGAGAAGAGCACTGTTTGACTTGTGAAGCTTCTGCCTTCCATACTAATGCCCAGCTTCCCACATTCAGGAGTCCTCAATATGTGTTTGAGGTAATTTCTCCTGGTTTCCAGTCATTGTTTGGTGAGAGTTGTAGTGCAACACATCTCCATGGAGGCAAGTTCAGAATGCTTGTTCTTCCCAGCATCCCTTCTTTAAGAAGAGTTGAAATAGCCATGAATGTGCAATTTAAACTACTATCCCATCTTCCCATCAGATCAGTCTTAAGATGTATAAGAATTACAATCTATTGAAATACCATGAAAATTGAGAAATAGCTTTACAATCAAGACTTTATAAACCCATTAAATCAGTTGTAGAAAGCGTCTCAGTTTCCCAGCTGGACAGGAATGCAAATAGGCAAATTGAGTTTTTCAGTGCAGGCCTACACAGAAGAATTTGGATGGTTTGACTTGTGCAGATATTAACATGTGAATTAACCAGTCCAGTGGATCTTCTGCCCACTATAACTGTGTCAGGTTGAGTTCTTTACTGGTATTCACATCTATGCTATGCAAAATCAGTTTGTCAAATCAACACTTTCCTGGTTTCTTTGTTGAATGCTCAAAGTCAAAATTTACCACGTGTACCTCTGTATACCTCATGGAGTACTGCAATCTAGATGTTGAGATGTCTATGTACTTTGACAGATGGCCTACTTTTACTCTACATCTATGAGGAAAGGTAAAAAATATTTAAAATGAATGCAATTATTCAATTTGTGCAGGTTTTGTTTTATCTATTTACATTTCAGTATAATTTCCAGAATTTTAACTTTTAAAAATAAATGTTCAATGTGTTATACCCAAGTATGGAAGGTTGACTAACCCTAGATTGTAAAAAAATACTATTTTTGACTAAAATTTCTGATTTTTTTTTTGAAAGTCTGGTTTAAAATTTAGTGGAATAGAAATTTTTAAAGTCACACATTTTTTTTACCATAGGAATCACAATAGATTAATAATGACTACCGGTAATGATCAAAAAATGAATGTGGTTAGAACATTTTTCTCACTATCCCAATGTTAAATGTCATTCCATATATGTGTTAATTCTGGCAGTTGGTAGCTATATGGGTTTTGAGAAGGAACATGAGCATAAGGAGAGAATCATGTAATCTCTCATTATTTAAAACAAGTAAAAGAAAGATGAATAAGAACTCATCCGCTTCATTACACTGGAACATTTCATCAAACAGGAGCTGGGAACTACCAAGGAAATGTGATAGTGTATCTGTATCCCAATCTCTCACACCAAGAAAGGGACAGAATTCCTACCTGTGGAATCTTGTAGATATCCAAGGTATTGGCCATATTGAGAGAGACTTCGGAATCCAGTGACCCAATGACTGCTATTAGATTATAGCAGATGCCACATGCATAGTTGGGGACCAATCTCTCCTGTACTGACAAAAGTCGCAGGGTGGCCTGACAGGTTCTCCTTGCATTGTCATAGCTGTCATAGATGTGGAAGCCCAAAGTTTGATTGGGCAGTATGTGAGTGCTCTCATTGACCTCTTGTACTGCAAATGCCAAGACCAGAAGATGCTGGTAATTCTTGGGAATCATGCTGCAAGGAGAGGCAACAGTTGAGGCACAGAGTGGAAGTCAGCACCTATGAAACAACACTATCCATACATGGCCAGAAGATGCCTTGAGTTTGGGCAGTGGACTGAACAAGAGCAAGTCACAGAATGAGAATCAACATGACAAAACAAAGCTATATGGACCTACACAATAGGAAGCAAACTCCTTTCATTCTGAGAGGTCTTCATTCATGGAAACAGGTGGAAAGACCATGTACAAAAATGTCTGCATCAGAGAGAATGGATTGTACACAAAAATATTGGAAAAATGTGTGGAAAATATGAATGGATTAGATAATGGCTTTCAAGAAAATTGCATTTGAAATTAATGCATCAGCTTCTCATATTGTGTCCATGTTTGCATCCATGAGCAGGCTGATTCATTCTTTATTGGAGGGAATAAATTTATGAGTGAGTAGAGGGGGAAATGATAGGGTGGGGCATGGAGGAATTCATGGATCCTTTTCCCTGTGGCATTCATATTAGGCTGCAGCTTCAGCCACAGTTTTTGGGCAAGAGCCCTGAGAATGGTCAATGCTATGACAGATGATGAGGAAATAAAAAAGAACAGCAATTCAGTCCTTACATGAGATCTTTGAGGGAGTCTGGTGGGGGTTCGTCACAGAAGGTTATTGCACTGGATACAATTAAACCATGAAAAGTGATGCTACCAATGAGGATGTCACCTGACTGATAGGCCTGCAGTGGGAAGGGTGGCTCCCAGAGGCTGCATCTGAGAATGTGTGCCAGGCACAAGCTTTGGGAAAAGAGTGCCAAAAGCAAGGCCTCTGAAAGCAGCATTCTCAACGCAATGTCACCAATTTCCAAATACCAGACTTCCCTCTTTTCCTTGACAGCACTTCAGTCCTTGAAGCACGGCTACATGGAATTCCTTCTCTAGTGGTAGTTTTGTGTTCTGTCTGCTGATATAAAATATCTCACATCTTAGCAAAGGCACCTTGCTCGTTCCTAGTCCCTTCTTCACCTCTCCCTTCTTCTGGGCATATTTATGACAGTCTTCCCAGTTTTCTGTTTTATGTGGCCTTTCACTATTTTGAACTGCAGAGGGATTTCATGGAGCATCAGGATTAATTGCTGCCCTTTGGATAATGAAAATGCAAGTTCACTACCTGTTCAAATTTCTATGTCCCCTAGTGAATTGCTGGGGGCAGGGGATATATTTGTTGCATTCAAACATCAGTCTCTTAATGCTTTCATTTGGGGGCATCTTGTATGTGCAGGATATTATGGAAATTAATCTTGTTCATCATGCACACACCAAGATATTACTCAGTTCAAGAAAAACGGTTAGGCGTTGGGAGCTGAAAGGTTGAATTTCAATATTGCAAGGTGGGTAGGTAGATAGGTAAATTGGTTGTTCATAGAATCAAGCCATAGGTCTTTAAAAATTTAGAAAGCCATATGATACAATTTTAGAAATGAAAGCTTCAAATCTGCTTTGACATTTAATTAAAACTGAAAGAGTTAAAAAGGGATAAAAACTAATTTTGGAACGGTCCTGTGCAATAAAGCAACCACTTCAAAACCACCCTTGCTCTTATCCTCTTAGCTGAAAATAGAAAATGTACGACAAATGTGCATCAAGATCTGAAAACAGAAATGATATTTTCTCAAAATCACAACATGCATTTATGGTAGATAAGGAACATGTCAAAAAAATTTCTCCCAGTTTTTTATAGAAAGAGCAATAGATAATGCAACGAGGAAGGTTCTCCAATTTGAGAGATCCACAGATAAAGCTGTGGTGCTCCACTGGATTTGGGAATATCAGCCTAATAGGAGAGCTGCATGCCTAGTTGGAACATGCAGGGCTGTATAAACCATCCTAATGATGTATTCAGAGATATTGACTAAATAATATTAAAAATGATCATGCTTAAATATTTATAAGAAAGGATGACTTTGGCCTCTAAAGAGCCCTGCTTAGTAGCTCCAATCCCTGAGCTGAGAGTGGTCAGCAGCAGCCCCTAGAAGATAATCAGTAATGGATTGTCTATGGATGATGGAATTTAACAGAACAGAATGTTTGGAATTTTTGATAATAACACATTAAATTATTTGTGAGCTAAAGAATTAGACCAAGAGGATCTGTTCCTACTCAATGGTTTAGAATGCCTAAGAGTGCACAAACCCTTAAAGAAGGGAGCTATCAGGTCCCAAAAGGGGAGCTGAATTGCCCCTTGGGAGAGTAAGGGACAACTCCTTAGAAAGTGATTAGAAAGTGATTTTGGATTATCTGAAGGCTAGATAGAATATACTAATTCCATTCCCAGAATTCACCTTCATATAGGAGGTGAGGAATGACCTTGCTCTCCAATAGCTTCAGTGCTGGGTCTATCAGGCATCTGCCCGTGGTGTGGGAAAAAGCAAAACTGACCCTACCATCCTTAGTGCTGTAGATTTCAGCATTACCAAAAGGAGGTTGCAGTTCAAGGTATCCTTGAATGTAATAATTAGGTTTGTCCCTCTCCTGTGCCACATGCACCAGCTACTTATGTTGCTGGTTTGTTCTACTTTGTTCTGTAGACTTTGTGGACTTTGTGCTTGGCTTGCTGTGTAGCACTTGGATGAGCATGGGTTGAAATCTGCAAATGCCAGATGGACACTTGGTGTTTATTCCAACACTATTACTAGCATTTGCTTTTCTTTATTGGGATGGATCATGCTGGTTTCCTCTGAAGTCATCACCCATGTATGAGTAGAGCCATGCAATGAATCGGCTAGGTGCAGGAAATCCCATGGATTTCTTGGTTTTGGCTTTCCAGATTCCAGTGCACTTAGCAGCCGACTCCAACTTCCTGGCAAGAATGCCCAGGATTCCTGGGGTTCTTGGCAGGCATTAACCCCATGTGCTGGGTAAGCAGTACCATTTCTTCATCTCCACTGTTGCTCTTGGCAGCAGTGAGTGAGGACGAAGTTTGGCTAGCAAGAACGAGGCAAGTCAAAGCTGCAAGTCCAAACATGAAGTAGCAACCAGAGCAGCTCATGTTCATATATCCAAGTGTAGAGGTACGGTGAATCATCTGCTGCAGTTTCCTGGGCTTTTGGTCATATTGCATTATTGCTCTCCACCTGTTCCTAAAAAAAACCTCCAGGGGTTTCCTGGTCCTGCAGAAACTTTCATGGTTAATCAGGCTGTGATCCTGACAAGACAAAGGAAGATAAGATATTCTAAAAATTACACATTGCAATATTTCATCAAGCTTCTTGAAAGGAGGGTTCTCTGCTATGAGCGAAGAGACAGAGCAGCCAGTGTAGCATCTATTGCTTTTGCTCAGGATCTGGGGTCCAAACATATACATGCATTGGTCCAGAAACATGATTTCAGGTTTCCTGGTCAGTATAGGCAGCTACAGAATCATTCTAAAGACATTGATAATGTTAGGATGCTGATGGTCTTCATGAAAGGCAGCTAAAGGTAAATCTGGGGGTATAAGGAATAAGATTTTAGTCATTCATGAGGGTCCAGTTCTGGTAACATTTGAGTCACTTCTCCAAAGTAGCAGAACCCTCTAGACCAGTGATGGTGAACCTTTTAGAGACCAAGTGATCAAACTGCAACCCAAAACCCACTTATTTATCACAAAGTGCCAACACTACAATTAAGCCTGAAAACTGAGTTTTTACTTTAGAAAAAAACACCTCACAGCCTGTTCCAGCAAATATACTCGTATATATATATATCCTTGGCAGCACACTGACCAGCCATGTGAAAACTCAGACGAGTCACGGCTAATGAGACACATCTCGTGATGTCACCGTCTGACCCCACTACTGCTTTCTAAGCATGCACATGGCCCCTATGTGAACTGTTATCTGATGCTCAACTGCTGGGGCGAAGCTGGGGCAACTTTGCTTGCATGCTGACAGAGAGGGCTCTGTGTGCCCATTGTGGTATGCATGCCATAGGCTCACCAACAATGGCCTGACCCTACCCTGCTGCACACCGCTAACGCTAATATAGGGCTAAAGATCCACTTACTTGAGTAGTTCTTTCTGCACAGCTCAACATTTCTGCCCATTCTAAACACAGTCCAACCATCAAAACCATGCCTGGATGCCTCATTTCTCTAACCCTAACCCTACCCTTGTGAACACCCCCTCACCTTAAAGTACTTAAATTCCATTGAATATGGAGAAATTCTGAAAAAGCCTTCTTTGAGTACCTTTTTCTGTACTGCTCATCATTTCCACCCATTCTAAACACATTCCAACCATCAAAACCATGCCAGGACAGCTCATTTTTCTAACCCTAACCCTACCCTGATGCACCGCTCTGCTGTGGCACGTGTGCCATAGGTTCACCAGCACTGCTCTAGACTATACATGACAGTAATGGACAGGCATGTTTTATTCACGATTTTCTTCTTATTAGCTGTTCCCTGTTGTTCAGCTCAGGTCTCAGCACGATAATATAGCATTTGGGGAGAAAAATGCAACACAGCAACCCTGCACTAGAAGCTAAGATGGAGAAGACCTCCACAGCAACCATGGACTTCCCCCTTGTGCTAAGGTAGGAAGGAACAAAAGAGAGCCAAACACTGCAAAAGACCAGCATGCTGAAAGTGATGAACTTGGCTTCATTGAAACTGCCAGGCAACTTCCTAGACAGGAAGGCCACAGTGAAACTGATGCCCGCAAGAAGGCCCATGTAGCCTAAGGCACAGTAAAACATGGTCACACAGCCCTCATTACATTCCAGTATGATTTCTTCAGCCCGGGAAAACAGATCAATATCTGGGAAAGGGGGTGAAGTTCCCAGCCACACAGTGCAGATGCCTGCTTGGATGAGGGAGCAGGAAAGGACAATGACACTGGCCTTCTCCTTTCCCAACCACTTCCTCATCCTGGATCCAGGCTGAGTGGCCATGAAAGCCAGAATGACCAAGAGGGTTTTTGCCAGTACAGAGGAAACAGCCACTGAGAAGATGATGGCAAAGGCAGCTTGTCGAAGGAGGCAGGTAAGCTCCTGAGGCTCACCAATGAAGAGCAATGCACAAAGGAAGCAAAGCAGGAGGGAGCTGAGCAGAGTGTAGGTGAGCTTCTGGTTGTTGGCTTTGACAATGGGAGTCCTGTGGTTTTTCACGAACACAGCCAGCACCAGAGCTGTGATAAAAGTGAAGGCAAGAGCAAGGATTGCTAATGTGAGCCCAAAAGGTTCTTCGTAGGTCAAGAATGTTGTGGTCTTCAGAAGACAGAAATCCCAATTCTTGCTTGGATACTCTGTATCTAAGCATGGATTGCAATCATTCATATCTAGAAGGGAAAGGAAAGGGAAAGAGATGGTGTTGATCTGACAAAAAGAAGACAGGCAACCCAAAAGAAAGAATTCAATGTCATAAATCTTAGTATATTAATATCAAAGGAAATCCTGACTCTCTGAATACAGATGTGGAGCACCTGTCAGTCCCAGGCTCTGGATAGAACTCTCTTTGGCCTATTCTTGATCTTTAAACATCACTAACAAGGGCAGTCTTTGGATGCTGACAATTATCTTACCCACGACTCAGAAATTTCCTCCAAACCTTGAATGTTAAATCTGCCTACCTTTGGGACACTGCACTTGCAATGCCTCTCTTGCCAGCCAAATTGAAATATGGGGGGATCTGTATTACCTCAGGTCCCCCCACATTATCCTTACTGCCACCTGATTCTTACCCACCCCTCCCCAAATCAATACTCTTCTTTCATGGATGGCCAGCTGATCTTTAGGGCAGTGGTACTCTCTAGCTATCTGCTGGGTGAGAGCAGCAATTATCCACTTTAGCTCAGTGGATCTATGCTTGGTACCATGACAACTTGTCTCTCCTGAGTCAAACAATACCACAAGCTCTTGTGGTACCAAGAAACTATAGAATAGGGCATTATTTTGTTTTGTGGTGTCTAATAAACCATAAACTCCATGATTGGCTTTGGATGACAAAGCTGATGGACTGTTATAAAAAAAGCAACCATTGCTTGTTCTGTCCTGTAAACCCACACAATGAGTATGTTTTGTTTTGTTTTGTTTTATTGATCTGTTATATTTCCCTGCTGCCCAATGGTCATTGCTTTCTGAGTAGTTCAGAAGAACTAGTTTAAAACTGATGTATAATATAGAAAGCAAAATGCAGGAGCAACACAAAGGCTGAAGATACAGCCAAGCATTTAAAAGGAGAGAGACTGAACAGGTAAAATATCCAGGAAAGCAATATCTGCACCTGGTGCTGGAAAGAGCACAATCTGGCAAAGGGCCAGGCAAGCTCTCTGGGATGTTCACACCAAAGTGCACTGGCTCAGAGAAAACTCTCTTCTCAGTAGCCCCCATCTCACTTCCCTTAGCAGGGACTTCCAAGGAAGTATAAATTTATGTTTGTTTTGATTTAAAGTATTTCTCTACCATATATATTTTTATAGAACATCCTGAGACCATTTACAATAATAAAAATATTAAACCAATTTACAGTATCTGATTAAAATAGGATATTTAAGAGGAGATGCTGTTCTTGGTAACCAGGCCTCAAGCCATGTAGGTTTAGAATATTTATTCTAGCAGACATCAGTCCACATATGAACTGGCAGCTGGTGCAGATATTATGCCAGCCTTTTAGGGCTTCTTAGCAATTTCCTGCCCTGCTTTGGACCATCTGAAGTTTCCAGACTATTTTTAAAAGAAGCTTTTAATAAAATGCCTTACCGCAATCCATCTAACAGGCTACCAGAGCATATGACTGGACATGGATATGATTGGCATATCAGCCTAATCTGGTGAAGGGTCCCCCTGTGTCTCAAGGAACAGTTCTGCCTAACCTGAACTGTTACGGGGAGTGCAGCCTTCTTTAGAAGAAGTGTAATATCACTTTTCCAGGCATGTGAACCACACCTGCAATACCCCCATATTGCTTGGATTGAATCTCAGTTTATTACCCCATATCAATTCCATTACCGTGGTCAGGCACTGATTCTAAGAATTGCTTGCCTCTCCTGGACTGAATGAAAACATGTAGGATAATTTTGAAGTTTGAGCAAGTATATAGGAGAGGAGATGCTCTTTTTAATCACCTGGCCTCAAACTATTTAGGAATATTAATTCTAGCAGATATCCATCCAGACACATCGATAACATGTTGATCCACACCTCCAGATCACTTACCCCACTGATTTCATGAAAACATTTCAAAAGATAGGGAATAACACAGAAGAATGTGGAGCTGCATTCCATGAGTGCCAGGGCATAGTACAATAATCAGAGATTAGCCATTCAAGCAGCAGTTCAACGGCTGCAGTTTCATTTCTCCAGTTTCAAACCCAGACAGTTCATCCAGAAGGATACCTTTTGTTAGTATTATTGAACACTAGTCAAAAGTCCAAGAGATTCCACACATTTCCACTTTTCTTTCTCCATTCCTTACAAAACCTTCTGATTCCATTTGAACCACAGAAAAACAATGACCCCAATCTACAAATCTGCCACTTTTAACATCTGTCCAATGAATGCATATCTCCTACCCTTCTTGCTTGAAATCTTCCCGGCTGGACAAGGGATGCAATCATAGCAGCAATATGGCTCCCCCTCCTTCACTTTCTTGCTAGAGCCTGGACAGCAACTCTTGGTGCATACAGAAAGTGGTCGTGTCTAATATGTGAATTAAAAGCAGCATAAATATATCGAGACAAATCTTCTATAAAAATGGAATGTTCACAAGTTATTGCATGTGTTACAAACCGGCCTGGCATTTCAGGAATCTGTGATTCTTAATTGACTACCATGTATTGCAAGTTATCTTTATTTGGTGGTGGGTGCCCACAGAGACCCCTATTTTGTAGGCAGAAATACAGCAAATGATAGAATAATTTACTGGATGAGATGCCACCCCTTGAAATTGGATTTCTTAACTACCTGTAAGATATTATCTTAGATGGGTGCATTGAACTGCTTAAAAATCTGTTAATTTCAACAGGCAAATGTTTCGTCTTTGCTGGAAACCAGTAGCATCATCATCGCGGATGTGCTTCAGCAGCACCCTTTGAACCCAGAGCTCATATCCTAGAGAAGGTACAGCTCTGGAATTAACTGAGAAACTGTGGGAACAAGAAAGTCATGATAATGACTTTCAGCATATTTCTTTGATCTAATTTGAGACTCAAGTCAGTAGATATCCCAGATAATTTGCTGAAGATCATAGCAGAAGTCTACTATGCTGATGGACCAAGTTTTGTTGCTCCTGGAGATATAGTAGTGCAACTGACAGATCTATCAAAGAGGACAGAGACAGAGCCTGGACAGGGGACTAACAGAATTACTCCCTAATATATGCTCCTTGGAATGCTAAAGATGTCCCAAATGTTGGTGTAAATGTACATGAAGGGCTGAAGCGGAATGTGTAAAATTGAGTGGGTTAAATTCAATGGAGAAAGAAATCCTGCCTTAAAAACCTTTGTTCCGTGTCCATATCATCACTACAGATTGCTGAAGAGGACTGAACTCTTCAGAGAAATAGCTTCATAATAAAAAGCAATGCAGATGAGCGGCTGAAATGGTAGTTATACATCAAATGGAAGGCAGCCAGAAAGGACATGCCCTGGATGCTCTTTGCTTTCCTGAATTGCAAGGCTGAGAAGAACAGTTATGGGGTAATTCTGGTGAGGAAAGCCCTGTAATATGGGCCTTCAGTACAAAAAGGGCACCTTGCTTAAAACAGTCGATGCTTAAACACTCATAATTGGACTACCTTATTGACACTTCCCTTCTCTTGCACTTTTGTAGCATGTGCCTTGAGACTTCCCAACAATATTGCCACAATCTAATCCAAATTGGAAGGCAAGGGCAAAGTATCAGGAGAAGATAAACAAGGGAAGTGGGGGGAGGGCCTGATGGGAAGAGCAGAGATGACCTTTCTCTCCCTTCATTCTGTCCTGGATTTTTTTTTCTTTTTGCATATTGCTTAAAAAAAGGACTTTTCAGACCTCTTTTGTGGGTGCTAGCTGTCTTTGCTTTTGCAGGATCTCCAGCAAAGAATTATGAACAAGAGTTCCTGAATATTTATTTATTCTTACTTACAAGCCTTACTGTGACAAAATTTGGATGGTAGTGATCTGAGGTCTATGGCTGGTGTCATAGCCAGGCTCTGGATACTCTGTTACTCACTAAATGTTCCCAACACATCTGGGAACAAGCACAAGGGCAATAGACAGACATTTACAGCAAATACTGGTTGAATTAGCATGGCTGCATTTTAACTGAATGTTTCAAATGTTGGCTCTGATATTCCTTATATAAAAAACTGACATAAATTAACTGTATTTAAATTTCTTCCAGTGTTTTGGAATTAATAGTATTGCGGGCCAAGAGAGTTCTTCCCATGCAAGTTCTCCCTTTTTATGCCTTCACTTCGCCCAATATGCTTTTTTCAATCCAAAAATAATTTTGCATGACACCTTGTTTGAACTGACTCAAAATCAGCAGGATTGAAGGTCAGTGCTTCTTACACCGAGATGACCAGTGGCTCCTACCTGATTGAACCAGGGGTGCCATGTGATGGCAGCCTCATCAATAGCAAGAGTTTGGTCTGGAGAAGCCTGAAGATCGAGCTTTCCAACTTTCATACGGAGAAAAGATTCATTGGGGAAAAACTTCCAATTAATAAACTCAAATACAGTTATCACCTCCCCTTTCTCATTGAAGGAAACCTCATTCTGAGCACTGTTATTAAATGAAACACCTCTCAGAAACTGATGGAGCTAGATTGACAATGGAAACGAGAAGGAATAGTAGATTGAAGTTTAGCTTACAAGGCTTAGTTCTAACATCAACTGAAGAAGAATGTCATTAATAATTTCCAAGACTGAGAAAGGTGATTGAAGAAATGCTACTCATGTATTGAATAGGAGTTATCTTGATGCTCTTTCTTTTTACCCCAATGGAGAACTCAACATAACATAAAAGTAGTTTTTCATCCCCAACTTTTCTCCTCACAGCAACCCTCTAGGGCCTGTTAGGCTGAAAGTAGGTGATCGACCCAAATTCACACAGTGAGATTAGTGGCAAAATGGAGGCTACAAGTTGGGATTTTCCAGTCCAACTCTCAGAAAAGGAAATCAGAGGAAGGTGACTGGAGTATAATTTGAAGGGGAGTTTGAGGGCACTTGTGACAGCAAAAGACAAGGGGGTTTCACACTTGAATGCTTAGAGAATTTACCCTCCATGGCTCTTCATTCCTAAACTTCTGTCCTTTAGTCTTCAACATGGCCCTGTGTTTGACTTCAGATGAGGACCTGGCATGCATAGCATGGGCCACAGCATAGACTGCATTGTAGATGCTGTAGCTATGGCCAGTCATGCTCATCTCAAAAATAGATCCAGAAAGTCTCTCCAGCTTTTCCTTCCCAGTGCAAATCACTTCTTCCACATCGTTGGCTACTGAAGTTGGGAAAAGACAGCCAAAAGCTTGTTCCCAAAACAGCCTGAGAAAATCATCTCCTTTTGTGCTGATTGGATTTCTGCTTTTCTCAAATGATTGGAATCCTGGTACATCATTGGAGTGAATCCTCAAGGACAGAGTACCATGGAATAATCCTGTGTCCCAGTTCCTTTGATAGACAAATGCATTGATCTCTATGTGGGCTGAAGCTATCCATACTTTGCCTTTTATTTTGCTTTCCCTGTTTTCCAGTTCTGGTATATATGTCAGCACTCTAAAAATTGCAAAGGAATATGATTCTCCATGGAGAACTACTACATTGGCTTTACTGTCCACAAGTTTATCATGTATCATTGCCCCCTTTTCTAACATAGCATTAATTTTAATGATGTAGGTGTGTGTGGGGATCTTTTCAATGAAGGCAAAGCAGACACCTCTTTTGGAAAACATTGGAAAGACAGTTTGCAGGAATCTTTCTCCATTGTCATTATCCATAAAAACAAGTCCAATCCACTTCCAGCTGAAATGCAGCAGCAAAGACAAAATCCCCTCATACTGCAGAGTTTCGTGAGGAACCATCTGATAGAAAGGAAGTCCTGGTGTCTTATCATTCATGACTGGAGCCACGCCATAGATGAGCTAAGGAGAGGCTGAAGAAATGTTAGCATGAAGGCATTAATGATTAGAGCAAGTTCATTCTGATCTATAGGCATGCTGTCAGGAATTCTCAGTGAAGTATGCCAAGACTTGTGAAGCTTATTCTTTCCAACTTATGCCCAGCCTCCCTCAATCTGGAGTCCTCAACATGAATTTTAGGACAATTCTCATGATTCCCAGAAATCATGACTTGATAAAAGCTTCAGTGCAACACACCTCCATGGAATCATGTTCCAAAGTGTATTCTTTTCAGTCACCCTTTTTAGAGAAATACCTAAATAGTCATGAATGTACATGTCAAACTGGCACCCCATCTTTCTAGGATACAAGACATAATGTTAAGGTTGATGATGTACTAAAATACCATAAAAAGGGAGAAATAGTATTGCACACAAAAGTATTAAAACCAATCAAATAAGTCAAATCAAGCCAGAAAAGGAGGCATCACATTCCTCGTTTGAAAGAAATCCATGTCCTGGCAGTTCTGCAGTTCCTAATTCAGCCCTACATGACAGATTTTTTCTGATTTGCTCTGTGGAGGAACTTGCATTTGAATAAGGGGATCCCTTCATTTTGATAATTTTTTTTGCCACAGCAGTGTCAGGTTGTAATATTTTCTGGTTTCCACATCCATGTTATGCCAAACGGGTTTGTCAAATCATCACTTTTCCGGTAATGTTCCTAACTGTTCAAAGTCAGAATATGCCCCATATACCTCATACACTGCTGCAATTTAGGTGCTGCAATCTCAATGAACTTTGACAGATGGGCATCTTTTACTTTACATCTATGGGGAAAGAATATTTTAAATGAATTTAAGTGAAAACATTTTAAACAAATTTTTATTGTTTATGCTATGGTACTAAGGATAGAACCATAGAGCCTATTGGCAAGAGTGGACAATTGCCACTGTCACCCAGCAGCTAGCTGGAGTGCATCACAGCACTGAAGATCAGCTGGTCAGTGTCGCGAGGTGAGCACGTGATTTGGCAGGGGTGGTGGTGAGAATCAGGTTTCAGTAATGATAGGTGAGGAAGCAATAGTTCTGTGGTTTTCTTTGGTAACTTTTTCTGGTGTTCTTCCCCAGCATAAATTGCTGACTTGAGCTAGGATGCAAAAAAATACAGTGAAAAAGGAATGTTTAAAAAGTCACAAAAACTTGTAAGACATTGATTATAGGAATATTAAAATTGTTGATAGTAATTATAAAAGTGCACATGGTTACAACATATTTCTAGTCATCTTATGTTTGAACATCAGTGCAAACAGAATGTGTGTTCATTCTGGCAGAGGGCAGATATATGGAGTTTAAGAAAGAGCACCATCATGAGGAGAGAGTAATGTATTCTCCCGTTATATAAATGAATTAAAAAGAAAATGACTAGGAACTCCTCCACTTGGTTTCACAGGAATGATTTCTCAGACAGGAGCTGGAAACAACCAAGGAAGAGTGGTATTATAGGAGTATTCAAATCTCTTACATATAGAAAAGAACAGGATTCCTACCTGTGGAATCTTGTAGATGTCCAAGATATTTGCCACATTGAGAGAGACTTCGGAGTCTAGTGCTTCAATGACTGCTATTAGATTATTGTGGATGTGGCATTTATAGTTGGGGACCAATTGCTCCTGCACTGACAGAAGTCGCAGGGTGGCCTGGCAGGTTCTCCTTGCATTTTCATAGCTGTCATAGATACGGAAGCCCAAAGTGTGGTTGGGCAGTATGTGAGGGCTCTCATTGATCTCCTTTACTGCAAATGTCAAGGCCAGAAGATGCTGGTAATTCTTTGGGATCATGCTGAAAGGAGAGGTGACACCTGAGGCACAGTGGAAGTCAGCACTTATGAAGGAAAACTGTACAAGCATGGCCAGAAAGAAGGTGCCTTGAGTTTGGGCATTAGCCTGGAAAAGTGCAAGTCACAGAATGAGAGTCTACATGGACAGAGCAAGGCTAAACCATAGGATGCAAACTGCTTTGAGTTTGAAGAGTCTCAGTTCCTGAGAACAATTGATGTGGCTGTGCACAAAAATGTCTACAACAGAGAAAAAGGACTGGAGACATGAATATTGGAGAGATTATGGCAAAAATATATAGTCTTGAGCAAGATGCTTTTGAGAAAATAGCATTACACAATTAATGCACCATCTTTGACTCTGTGTGTGTGTGTATGTGTTTTGTCAAAGTCTGCATTCATGAGCAGCCTGATTTTGTGGTAATTGGAGGGAATGAACTTATGACTGAGTAGAGTTAAAACAGACATGGATGGGGCATAACTTCATTTATGGGTCCTTTTTGCCTGGGTGTGTATGTACAGTTGCACCTTAAGCCACAGTTTTGAGGCAAAAGTTCTGAGACTGATCATTGCTGTGGCAGATGAAGAGGATAGTGAAACAATCAGCAATGCAATTCTTACATGAGTTGTTTCAGTGAGTCTGGTGCGGGTTCTTCAGTGAAGGTGACTAAGTTGGACATGAATAAACCATGAAAAGTGATGCTGCCAATGAGGATATCTCCTGACTGATAGGCCTGCAGTAGGTAGGGTGGTTCCCAGATGCTGCTTTTGAGAATGGGTGTCAGGCATACAATTTGGGAAAACATTGTTAGAAGCAAAACCACAAGAAGCACCATTCTTAGCACAATGCAAACTTTACCCTTGTCACCCAGATTTGCTTCTTTTCATCAGCCACACTGCATTCTTTGAAGTGCTCTAGGATGGAATTCCTTGTTTGAATGGTTGTTTTGTTTGCCTGAACATGTAGAAGCATCCTATGCTGCACCATAGGCACCTTGATTATCCTAGTCCCTTTATTATCTATGCCTTGTTCTCAGCATATTTATGGCAGCCTTCACTTTTCTGTTTCGTTTAGCCTGTTTCCATTTGAAACTCCAGAGGGGTTTTATGGAGCAGTAAGAGTAATTACTGTCATTCTGAGAATTAAAATGCACATTATCAGTCAAAAGTTGCAAATCTCCTGTTGAAAAGGTGGGGGGGGCGGGAGGTGGATATGTTTGTTGTATCTAAAAATTGGCCACTTTATGCTTGGAATGCCTCAATGAAGGAGCAGAACTATGTTCCGTTGGGGACATTTTGTGTGAATGCGAGGTATTACAACCATTAGTGTTGTTTGTCATGAGCACACAGAGGCATTTTGCAGTGCACATCCTTTTGATATAAAGTGGTAGTTATGCACACATGATGCTCCCATGATTCTTTGGAATCATTTTGGAATCTTTGTGAACTCAAGCATTTTCATCATCTCTTGCTCTCCTGTTCTACTCTTCTACTCATCTTCTCTTTTTACTTTGTGTAATAAGTTTTAATTCATCTTGAATGAAGTGTGGTCTCTTCCAGTTCATCTCCCTGCTCATTATCTCAGTCCAGGGTTCTGGCTAATTTTAGGGGTTCATTTTGGAGAAAATATATGAAGCCCATTCCCATCAATCATGATCTAGCTCTTTTCAAAGGTCCAATGAGATTTGAGGCTAAACTTCTTTGAATTGCAGTGGATGATTCCAAGCTCCTGAACTGCTTTGCACTAGCTCCCTTGCAGGGGGATTGGATCAACTTTCCCTAAGCATCATCTGAATGTGCTGAAGTATTTGTTTGCAATGTCTGCTTTTCTTCCACCTAAAAGAAATGATTAATTCTCAGCAAGCTCATAAATTTTCAGGTATGTAACATGCATAAATGCAAGTTCCTTGTGAGCTTGCCCAGTGTTTCTGCAGCACTAGCCCAGAATGGAGATCTCCACAATGCTAGCAGCATCCTTCCTCCATGTCACCTCCAGTAGCAGTTTGTGCTGCTCTACCAGATATGGAAGCAGGTCATGGGAAGGTCAGCAGGACTGAAACTCTGCACAAACACTAACTTGTGCCCCTTCTGTGTCACGTGCAGCAGCTACTTGTGTTGCCAGTTCCTCAGTTTTGCTCTTTGAGCATTTGTGGATTTCTTGGCTTTGCTTACTCTGTAAGATGGTGCTGAGCAAGAGAAGAAGTCTGCATATGCCAGGTGAAGAGCTGGGGTTGATCCCAACTCTTAGCATTTCCTCCTCTTCACATTGATGGATTATGTTGGTTCCCTCTGTTTTCTCCACCCAGTTCTGAGTAGAGATGTGTAAGGAACCTGTTAGGTGCAAAAAAAGAAAAAGAAAAAAAAAGTTCCATTGGATTCCCTAGGTTTGGCTTCCCAAATTTCAGTCCATTCAGCAGCCCAGTCGATGTTCTGAGTGAGTGTTCCCAGAATTCATAGGGTGTTGGCCAGGAAATGAGCCCCATGTGCTGTGTAAGCAGTGCCATTCTTCCATGCCCACTGCTGCACCTTGCTAGCAGGAATGCAGCAAGTCAAAGCTCAGTGTGACCATGAAGAAGTCACTGGAACAGCTCATGCTGCTGTGGAAAAAAGCAGCAGTGCAGGGAATCCTCTGATACACCTCTCTGGGCTTCCAGGTGCACTGCATCATTGCCACCCTCTTGTTTCCTGATAGCACCTTCATTTGTGTCCTGCCTTGCTGGCACTTTCTTGCTGAATCATGCTCTGACACTGACAATAAATAAGAAAGGAAAATGTTCTAAGTACTACATATGCCAATTGTAATTCATTGTCAGGATTCCACAAAAGGAAGATGATACCCTATGAGTGAAATGAGTAGCATTGATTGCTTTTGCTTCATGCCAGGGTCCATATACTTAAGTTCATTGGTCCAGAAGCATGATTTTGTGTTACATGCTCAGGATTAGCTGCTACAGAATCATTCTAAAATCACTGGAAATATTCAGAAACTGATGGTCTTCATGAAAGGCAGCTAAAAGTAAATGCGGGGCTATGTGCTGGAATTGTCATGTGTTATGATTTTATTTCAATATGAGGTGATTTTTATATGATTTTTCCTGATGATGTACACATAAATCAATTCTCTAAAGCAACACAGCCCTCTAGACAAAAAATGATATTGAAGAACAGGCATGTACTCCTCAGTATTATCTTTTAATAATTTGTTCTTTGTTGTTCAGTTCAGACCTCAACATAAATACATAACATTTGGGTAAGAAGATGCAAGCCAGCAATCCTGCACTGGAAGATAACATGGAGAAGATCTCCACAGCCACCATGGATTTCCCCTTGGTGCTGAGGTAAGAAGGAACAAAAGAGAGCCAAACACTGCAAAAGACCACCATGCTGAAAGTGATGAACTTGGCTTCATTGAAGCTTCCAGGCAGCTTCCTGGACAGGAAGGTCACAGTGAAACAGGATTGCCAGGAAGCCCATGTAGCCCAAGGCGCAGCATAACATCGTCAAGAGCCCTCATTACATTCCAGCATGATTTCTTCAGCCATAGAAAACATGTTGACATCTGGGAAAGGGGGTGAAGTTCCCAGCCACACACTACAGATGCCTGCTTGGATGAGGGAGCAGGAAAGAACAATGACACTGGCCCTCTCCTTTCCCAACCACTTCCTCATCCTGGATCCTGGCTGAGTAGCCATGAAAGCCAGAACAACCAAGAGGGTTTTTGCCAGCACAGAAGAAACAGCCACTGTGAAGATGATGGCAAAGACAGCTTGTCGGATGGGGCAGGTGAGCTCCTGAGGCTCACCAATGAAGAGCAATGTAGAAAGGAAGCAGAGCAGGAAGGAACTGGGCAGAGTGTAGGTGAGCTTCTGGTTGTTGGCTTTGACTATGGGAGTGTTGTGATGTTTGTTAAATATCCCCAGCACCAGAGCTGTGGTGAAAGCAAAGGCAAGAGCAAGGAGGGCTAAAGTGAGCACCAAATCTTCATAGGACAAGAAGGTGGTGGTCTTTGGAAGACAGATATCCTGATTTTTACTTGGATACTCTCTGTCTGAGCATAGACTGCAATCATTCATGTCTGGAAAGGAAAGGAAAAAGAGATATTCTCGATCTGAGAAAAAGAAGACAATGCAAATAATTCAAACATGTCATAAATTTCAATATGATGTCATGTCTCTTCCCCTCGTCCGGACTCTTGTGATAGAAAGTTACACCCAGCTTGGTAATTTTCACTCTTCTACTATCAACTTCACTCCTTCAAATGGTTCCTCATTTTGGTTCTCACACTTTCAAAATGGTTCCTCACATCTTCACATTAGTTCCTCACTTTACTAACCATAAGGCAAGCTGAATTCATTTTGAAATGTCCTTCAAAGAGTCTCCTTTTTGCCAACAGTGCTCATGCCTTGAAGTGTAGCAGAGTGGACAGACAGCTTAACAGCAACTCTCCCTCCTACTCCAGCAGGGACTGCTGCATAACAGTCTGATCTATGGGGCTGTTTGCGCCAATGGACTCCCCCTGCACCAGTATCTTTGCCGGCATGAGTGAGAGGGGTGAGAATCAGAATGTAGGTTTCTATGGATGGATTTCATCAATGAACTGTAGTGACTAAGCTGTCCCAGGCATAAAACCACCTTTCCTCCAGCTGTAAATCTGAGCTTCTCTCCCATTCCTGGCACCCTCCCAGCTTCAGTAATTGCCTAATAAAATGAATTTTCAGATGTTCTGGTGAGTTTTCCTTATTTGTCAGAAGACGTAGGTGCATCTGCTTCCGAGATTTCCTTCTATGAATGGAGGGATGTTTTTTGGGAGGGTGTTTTCCACTATTTAGCTCCACCAGAACAGTAAAAAATCAACAGCTTCCAACAGCTTCTAGATGACTTCCTTCTATTGGGCCATCTGTACATTACTAGTTTCATAAGAAGTTGCATTTGGGTTTTGATAAATAAACTTATTGAATTAACATGGTTGTGTTGCAGAAGAAGAAACCATTGAAAAAAATGGTCTCCTTTTCTTTTAGACATTGGTCATTTTTTCATTACAGTAATCAATTTATATCTTGCACCTTGGTGCTGATGTAATTGGTAGAAATGTTAGATGGACCAACATTGCTTAATGTATGGAATTTTGGTATACACTGATTATAAAAATGTCAACAATGTCTGACAACACTGTAAGAGTAAATTTGATTTTTGAAATGATCTGGCTAGATTAGGGATTTTATGACTCTGAGTGCTTTGAGCACCTATGCTAAAACAGAATATTCTTTTATATAAAGAGCCTTTTTGGCTCTGGCCTCTTGGCAGGGCAGTAGAGCAGCAGAGGCACAGGCTGGGAGAGAGCGCAGAGTGGCCAGGGGACCTGCGAAGGCAAGGGAGGAGCTGGGCTGTGGAGCAGAGGGCCAGGAGCAGCAGAGAAGAAGGGGGCAGGGCCAGAGAGGCTGGAGGGGCCAGAAGGGAGCAGAGGGGTGGGGCGTCGTCCCTTGTCTGCATCCCTTCGCTGCGGCCCGGGCTGTCCAGAGACTCCCTTCCCTGAGACACAGAGGTTTGTTTTGTTTTGTTTTGTTTTGTTTTGTTTTGTTTTGTTTTGTTTTGTTTGTGCTGTGCTTTGTTTTTCTTCCAATTTAAATTTAAGTTTATTTTATCCTTGTGTGTGTGCGTGAGTGGGTTTTTGTCTGGGAGAACTGGGTGAGTGAAAGGAACTGCAGGACTAACAAGGCAGGGGACCAAGGTAAGGTCTCAGAAGGGATAACGATGGCAGACCAGGAGATGGCCTTGGCAGGAGTTACGTGTGTTGCTGTCCACTGCAACAGCTGCAACATATTTGCCCTTCTCCTCCAGGAGAGGCAGGGATACACTTGTCCTCGGTGCAAGATGGTGACCCTGCTAGAAGAGGAGGTGAGGTGCCTGAGGGCCAAGAGAGCTCTCCAGGCCCCCCAGAGCAGCCCCCCTCTGGACAGAGGGTTGAGGGAGATGCTACAGAAGGAGCAGCCCTGGAGACATGGAGTCATGTCACCCACAGGAGGAGCAGGCCAGCATGGCCTCCTCCTTCTCCTGGCACCAATCTGGAGCTGGGAAACAGGTTCTCTCCACTTGGGGAGGCTGGGGCTGATGAGGCCTCGGGGGACCAGCAGGACCCCCAGCCTGAGATGTCAGATGGCAAGGGGGCTGCTGCAGGAGAGGCGAGGGCCAGGGCATGGCCGCCCATCAGCACCGGAAATGTACGGAGGTGGGTGATTGTTGTTGGGGACTCCCTGCTGAAGGGCACTGAGCCAGCAGTGTGCTGCCCCAACCTGGAGACAAGGGAGGTTTGCTGCCTGCCGGGCGCACACATCCGGCATGTGAAGGATAGAGTGGAGCGTCTTGTTCGCTCCAGGGGTCACCAGCCGCTCCTGGTGATCCATGTGGGCACAAACGATGTGGCCAGGCAGGGTGTGGTTGGAACCACCAGGGACTTTGAGACTTGGGGAAGAAACTCAGGGAGCTGAAGGCCCAAGTGGCCTTCTCATCAATCGTACCTGTCCGGGGACTTGGGCCAGGAAGGGACAGGGGGGCCTCTGAGGTGAACGACTGGCTTAGGGTGTGGTGCCAGAAGGAACGCTTCGGGTTCCTCGACCACGGCACTCATTTTCTTGCCAATGGACTTCTGGCAAAGGATGGGTTACACCTCACGAGGAAGGGGGAAAGGTCCTTTGGAGATGCTCTAGTGAGCTTTGTCCAGAAGACTTTAAACTGAGCTGGGGGGGGGGTCAGGTCCTCCAGGAAAGTGTCTGCACTGGACAAGTGTGGGGGGAGGATCAGGGCTCTAGGAGCAGGGTTTTAGAGATACTGCAGGGACTGACAGGACTCCTTCAGAGAGGGGCCAGGTATTAGGGAGGATGGGAGGAAGGAGGAGGCTGGGAACTCCAAGGAAAGGAAGTGGTGGGAAGGAGTTGAGGTGCATGTACACCAATGCTAGGAGCATGGGTAATAAGCAGGAAGAGCTTGAAGTTCTCCTGGGAATAGGAGGGTATGATCTGGTGGGAATCACAGAATTTGGTGGGATGAAAGGCAAGTCTGGAATGTGAACATAGAAGGGTATCACCTTTTTAGAAAGGACAGGAAGGGAAAGAGAGCTGGGGGTGTGGCTTTATACGTCAGGGAAGGGATAGGATGCAGTGAGATAGAATGCAGCACAGATGGGGATTCGGTAGAGGCAGTCTGGGTGAAACTTAGGGGTTTTGACAGGGAAAGAGACCTGACAGTGGGGATATGTTATCGCCCTCCAGGTCAACTTGAGACCCTGGATGATATCCTGACAGGCCATATTCTAAGGATATCTCAGGGGAGAGACACAGTAATTATGGGAGATTTCCATCTCACGGATATTACTTGGGAGACTCACTCATCTATGATAGCCAGGTCACGTCACTTCCTAGAAGCTATTGAGGGAGCGTTTTTCACACAGAGGGTCCAAGAGGCGACGAGGGGGGAAACATCCTTGACTTGGTCTTGACCAATAGGGAGGAGCTGCTAGATGAAGTACAAATTAGGGGAGCTCTGGATGCGAGTGATCACTCCATCCTTTGCTTTTAGATCAGGGGACTTTAGCTGGGACTTCTAAAGGGCCAACTTTGACCAACTGAAGGCCAGGCTGGGGAAAGTCTCCTGGGATAGGTTACTGGAAGGTAAGCGAGTTGAGGAGGGGTGGATAGCACTCAAAAGGGAGGTTTTGGAGGCGCAAGCCTTGACGATACCTCTAGTCAGTAAGGTGGGGAGGCGGAGGAGAGTGCCGCCATGGATGTGAAAAGATGTGGTTAGAGGGATTAGACAAAAGAGGAACCTCCGTAGGAAATGGGTACTGGGGGAAATAGACAAAAGTGTATACCGGGAGGAGGAGGGGGCCCATTGAAGAAGGATTCTTCGCAAGGCTAAGGCTGATTACGATCTGAGACTTGCCAAGAATATCAAGAGCAATAAAAAGGGCTTCTTTCAGCATGTAAATAGGAAGAGGAAGGGGTGACAAGTGGTGGGACCACTAAATAAGGAGGAAGGAGATGCAGTGACTGATATGAGGGAACAGGAACAGATGCTAAATGACTATTTTGCCTCTGTGTTCTCCCCAAAGCAGGACGGGGGATATCTGCATAGGAGATTGGATGAGGCTGGGGACTTAGGGGCACTGATTAGAGTCACCCCCCTTGAAGTCAAGGGGCTCCTCAGGGCATTGGACGTTACAAAGACGCCAGGCACTGACGGGTTACACCTGAGAGTACTTAGAGAGTTGGCAGGGGTTCTCTCACACCCGCTGGCCTCCATTTTTGAGACCTCGTGGAGAATGGATGAAGTTCAAGAGGACTGGAGGGTGGCATCAGTGGTCCTAATTTTCAAAAAGGGTAGTAGAAAGGACATGGGGAATTATAGACCGGTTAGCCTTACGTCCATTGTAGGAAAAACAATGGAAAGGCTCATAATAGAGAGAGATCTAGTGATGCTAGATAGGGAAGGGAGGCTGACAGCCACACAACACGGCTTCCGTAAAAACAGGTCCTGCCAGACAAACCTTGTGGAATTCTATGACAAGGTTTCGAGATGGCTAGATGAAGGTGATGCAGTGGATGTGGTATACCTGGATTTCAGCAAGGCCTTTGACAAAGTGCCCTATGATATCCTGGTGGAGAAACTGAGGAGTTTCGGGATACACCAAAGCACTGTCCGGTAGATTAGGGCATGGTTGACTGACCGAAAGCAGAAGGTAACCATTAGTGGGCAATCATCAGGATGGCGGCCAGTGACAAGCGGAGTCCCGCAGGGCTCTGTCCTGGGGCCGATCCTGTTTAATCTTTTCATTAATGACAAGGAAGAAGGGGTGAACAGTCTGCTGATCAAATTCGCAGACGACACTAAAACTGGAGTAGTGGCCACAACTGAGGAGCAGGTACTCCAGATCCAAAAGGATCTGGACAGACTATGGAAGTGGGCAGGAGACAGCAGGATGGCATTCAATGTGGATAAGTGCAAGGTCTTGCACTTGGGGCATAGGAATAGCTGTCATAAGTACAGGTTAGGTGATAAGTGGCTGGAGAGCAGCACTTGTGAAAGGGACCTCGGGGTGCTGGTTGACTGCAGGCTAAACATGAGTCAGCAGTGTGATGCGGTGGTCAAGAGGGCGAATGCCACCCTTGGTTGCATAGCCAGAAGTGTGGCTTCTAGATCAAGAGAGGTATTACTACCACTTTATACGACTCTAGTGCGCCCGCAACTGGAGTATTGTGTTCAGAAAGGATATAGCCAGGTTGGAGTCAGTGCAGCTTAGGGCCACAAGGTTGGTTGCTGGTTTGCAGGGGATGCCGTATGAGGCGAGACTGAGGGAACTGGGTCTCTTCAGCCTGGAGAAGAGGAGACTCAGAGGGGATATGTTGGTGACGTACAGGTATGTGAGGGGATGTCACATGGAGATGGGTAGAGACCTGTTCTCCCCTGCAGAGGAAGGCAGGACGCGCTCCAACGGAGCAAAGCTCAGGGAGCCAAGGTTTCGTTTGGATGCCAGGAAGCACTTCCTGACAGTCAGGACCCCGAGGGTGTGGAATGAGCTTCCACGAGAGGTCGTTGAGGCCCCATCGGTGCGGGTGTTCAAGGATAGGCTGGACGTCCACATGGTGGGCATGTTGTGAGCGGAGCCGGCTGGTGCCGGAGGTCAGACTAGATGGCCCAGGAGGCCCCTTCTGACTCACTCCGTTTTCTATGTTTCTATGTTTCTATAAATCCGTTAGTTACATTTTCTTTTTCTGATTTAGTGTCAACAGTTCTTTCTATGCCTCTTGATCGTTTTAACACAAACCATTTGAGATCTTTCCATGCTACAAAGTTACGTCACATGATATATTATACAAAAGTGAAACAAGAAAGACGAGGAAGACTTAGGAATTAAAAGAAGAGATATTTGCACAACTCTGGATCAAAGGAAACCCCTACATTCTGATTAAAGAAATGTAGCAGCTGTCCATGTTTTCTGCTTTAGACAACATGGCAAGCCATTGTGGTACCAGGAAACCATAGAATTGGCCACTGTTTCTGTTTTTGGTTTCTATTAAACCATGAATCCATGAATGGGTTTGAATGACACAACTGAACAGAATGGTTAAAAACCAACCAGTGTGTGTTGTGTCCTGCAAATTTCTCTGTCAGGTTTTTTTTCCCTTGAATTTCTATGCTTCCCAATGGTCAAAGCTTTCTGAATGGCCCAGTTAGATCTTGATATGGATATAAGTTGCATATCAGTCTAAAGAGGTGAAAGGTGCTCCATGCCATGAGGTCCACCTGTGTCTCAAGTGACAATGCTGCCTAGCCTGAGCCCCTGGGGGGTGGGGGTGTGCAAACCTCAATAAAAGAGGTGGAATATCACTCATCCAGGGATGTGAAACATGCTTTCAATACATGCAGCTTCTCTGAATTGAGTCTCAGTTTATTGCCCCTAATTATGTCCATTATCCAGGCCTGGCACAGATTCAGGGAATCCACTACCTTGTCTGGAATTGGTGAAAAGGAGAAAAATCTAGTGACTTATTCATATCGAATAAGATAACCTACACACCAACAGGTAACCTTCGCAAATGATTTCATGTAGACATTGAACAGGATGGGGAACTACAAAGAGCCCCATAGAATGCCATTTGCCTTCATTGTAGGAATTGAACCACTGTGGTTTAGTGTCTCCAGTTTCCAAACCAGACAGCTGATTCAGAAGGATACTGGCATTGATAATATCAAAAGTCAATGAGAGTTCCAAGAGAAGCAATAAGTTCCTACTTATCCAACTCCTTCACTTACTCCTTTTGATCCCATTTGAAACCCTGAAGAACAAACACCCCAATCTACAATACAGCCACTTTTAATATATTTTCAATGAAAGCCTATTCCATGCTGAGAGATGCTTCTGATTTCTCAAATTTCAAACTTAAAGGGAGTTAAAAATGAATGTCTTCTTCCAGGTCTTCCCAGATTAGTTTTCATATCAGTTTTAAGTAATACATTGTCTTACTCACTATTGAGTGCAAATTCTTGTAAACAATCTGGAGCCTATGGGAATGGGGCAGTATAGAGAGAGAGAGAGAGATAGACAGATAATTTTTTCCTACCCTCCTGGTTTGAAATCTCCTCAGCTGGATATGGGATGCAGTTGTAGCAGCAATATGGCTGCCCCTCCTTCACTTTCTTGCTAGAGCCTGGATGGCAACTCTCAGTACGTACAGAAAGTGGTTGTGTCTAATACGTGAATTTAAAAAGCAGGATAACTATATGGAGAGAAATCTTCTTCAAAAGTGGAAGGTGCGCAAATCAATAGATGAGTTACAAAACAGTAATGTGCAAATCTTAATTCAATACCATGTATTTCTAGTTTTCTGTACTAGTGCTGTGTGCCCACACAGATTCTTATTTTGTAGGAAGAAATACAGCAAGTGATAGAATAGTTTATTGGATGAGATGCCACTTTGAGGATGCCTTGCTTGACTAGACATAAGAAATTATAGGGAGGATGTTCCCTGGTCTCCTGAATTACAAGGTTTAGAATAGCAGATGTGATGTAATTCTGGTTTGAAGCAGCCTTGGAATATGGGCCTTCAACACAGAAAGGGCACATTATTCAAATTAGTCTGCTGATTAAACACTCATAATAGGAGTACCTTGTGGCCTGTACTATTTTTGAGCATCTTTGGGCACTTGCCTTGAGGCTTCTGACACAAATGCTGCACTGTATTCCAACTTGGAAGGCAGGGGCAGAATATCATGAGCAGACAAAAAGGAAAGTGGACAGAGGTGGCTTTTGGGAAGAGTAGAGGTGACCTCTGTACAGTCTATTGGTGTTGTCATAACCAGACTAGAGGTATTCTGTCTTGCTAAATATGCTCAACACATCTGGGAACAGGCACAAGGGAATTAGGTAGACATTTACAATAACATCTAGCTGAATATGCATGGTTGCCATTTAGCTGAGTATTAAAACTGCTGCTTATGATATTCCATATATTAAAAAAGTAAATAAATTTAACTGTATCTAAATTACTTTGAGCTGTTTGCAGTTAATAGTGTTCCTGATGAGGGAAGCCCTCCTCATGCGAGTCCTCTCTCTCTTTTGTCTTCACTTCATCCAATATACTTCTTTCAAACCAAAATCAGTTTTGCATGATGCTTTGCTGGAATCAATGGAAATGATGCTTGTGATATTCCATAAATTAAAAACTGACTTAAATTAACAATATTTAAATTACTTCCAGTTGCTTGGAGTTAACAATATTGCTGACTAAGAAATGCCTCCACATAGGAGTCCTTTCTCTTTTATGGGTTCACTTCATCTAATACGCTACTTGAAACCAAAACCAGTTTTGCATGATGCTTTGATGGAATCAACTGAAATGAAAGCCAGCAGGACAGAAGATCAGAGCTCATTCCAAGGAACTGAGTGGCTCCTACCTGATTAAACCAATGGTTCCATGAAATGGAATCCTCATCTATGGTGAGTATATGGCCTGAAGAAGCCTGAAGATCAATCCTTCCAACTTTCACAAGAAGAAAGGACTCATTGGAAAAGAACTTCCAGTTGATAACATCAAATCCAGCTACCACCTCCCTTTTCTCATTGAAGGAAACCTCGTGTTGAGCACTGTTATTGAATGAGACACTTCTGAGAAACTGATGGAGCTAGATTGAAATGGAAATAAGGAATAGAAGATTGCAGTTTAGCATACAAGGTGAAGTTTTTGCATCAGGTGAAGAATGATGATTAATCAGTTATTAATTATTTCCAGGGGTGAGAAGACTGACAGATGACATGTTAATCTTGCATTGAATGATAGTTATGCTGATGCTCTTCTTTTTTGCCTCCTGTTAAGAACTTAAGACAGCTTAAAATGATTCTCTCCACTCCAACTTTTTCCCCGCAGGGACATTGTAAGGCTGAAAGTAGTTGTCTGATTCCAGATGACACTATATGATTAGATATATGGAGGCTAAACATGGATCTCCCCAGTCCAACACTCAGTAGAGGGAAGAGTAGAAATGTGGAGTATAATTTGAAAAGGAGTTCAGGGGCACTTTTCACAGCAAAAGACATGGGCTTGAGCAATGGGAGAACTTTACCTGCCATGGCTCTTCATTCCTAAACTTCTGTCCTTTGGTCTCCATGATTGCCTTGTGTTTGACTTCAGATGAGGATATGGCATGCAAGGCATGGGCCACAGCATAAACTGCATTGTAGATGCTATAGCTGTGGCCAGTCACACTCATCTCGAAGAAAGGTCCAGGAAGGCTCTCCAGCCTTTCCCTCCCAGTACAAATGTCCTCTTCCACATCCTCCTCTACTGAGGTTGGGAACAGGCAGGCAAAAGCTTGTTCCCAAAAGAGCCTGAGAAAATCATCTCCTTTTGTGCTGAGTGGATTTCTGCTCTCCTCAAATGATTGGAATCCTGGTACATCATTGGAGTGAATCCTCAAGGACAGAGCACCATGGAATATTCCTGTGTCCCAATTCCTTTGATAGATAAATGCATTGATCTCCATGTGGGCTGAGGTTATCCATACTTTCCCTTTTAGCGTGCTTTTCCTGTTCTCCAGTTCTGGTATATATGGTAGCCATCTAAATAGGGCAAATGAATATGATTCTCCATGGCCCACCACTACATTGGCTTTGCTGTCCACTAGTTTGTCATATATTTTTGCCCCTTTTTCTAAAATGGCATTCATTTTAGAAATGTAAGTGGATGGGGGGAGTCGTTCTATGAAGGCAAAGCAAACACCTCTTTTGGAAAACATTGGAAATACAGTTTGCAGGAATCTTTCTCCATTGTCATTATCCATAAAAACTAGCCCAATCCATGTCCAGCTGAAATGTAGGAGCAAAGACAGAATCCCCTCATACTGCAGAGTTTCATGAGGAACCATCTGATAGAAGGGAAGTCCAGGGGTCTTATCTTCCATGACTGGAGCTACACCATATACGAGCTAAGGAGAGGCTGAAGAAGTGTTAGCATGATGATATGAATGATTGGAACAAGTTCAATCAGATCCATATGCATGCTGTCAGCAATTCTGAGAGAAGCACTGCACGAGTTGTGAAGCTTATGCTTTCCAAACTGTAACCCAGTCTCCCACAAAATATATCTCCATGTTCAGAGTGCTTGTTCTTCTAAGTAACCCTTCTTTAAGAACTGTTGAAATAGTCATGACTGGCATCCCAACTTTCTATGACATCAGACTTTAGCCTAGTATTAATAATAATATATTGAAATAGCAATAAAAAAGACAAATAGCATTACAGCTGAAATTTGATAAAGCCATCAAATCAATATAAGCAAGCCACAAAATGAAGCTTATTTCCTCCTTGACAGGAATATATGGGCAGGCCATGTTGAATTTCTTGATTCTCGCCTTCATAGCAGAATTTGACCAATTTGACCTGTGGAGAAACTTGCATCTGAATGAGAGGGACCATAAATTTATTTCTTTTTTCCACCTTAAATTTGTCTGGTTGGACTATTTTCTGGTTTTGTCATTCATGATATGCCAAATAAGGGGTTCAGAATTGAAATATTGATAACAGCAGGCAATTATTGATTTCATATAATTATAGGGCTATTTTGCTAACTGCTTGATGTCAGAACTGTTGTCTATATAAGTCTTATTTATCTGTATAGCTAATTGAGTACTGAAATTCAGAGGTCTAATAATGGTAACAATGTTAATAAAAGTGAATAGTAAAGGCTAACTTTACAATTATTATAAAATAATAAAAATAGTAAAAATAATACTGAAGTACCATTAGTGGTTAGATTTTTCTAGTCATCTTATGTTCAAATGTCAGCCCAAAGGTATACATGTTCCTCTCTCAGAAGGCAGTTATTTTCCTTTGGGAAGAAACTCCATCATGAGGAGGGAATAATATAATCTACCATTATGTAAATTGATTAAAAGGAGATGAATAAGAACTCATCTGCTTCATTTCACTGGAACAATTTGTCAGACAGGAGCTGGGAACTACCAAGGAAGTGCGATTGTGTGTCTGTATCCCATCTCTCACATAAAGAAACAAGATTCCTACCTGTGGGATTTTGTAGTTATCCAAGATATTTGCCATATGGAGAGAGATCTGGGAGTCCAATGCTCCAACAACTGCTACTAGATCTTTGAGGATGCCGCATTCATAGTTAGGGACCAATCTCTCCTGTACTGAGAGAAGTCGCAGGGTGGCCTGACAGGTTTTCCTTGCATTGTTGTAGCTGTCATAGACGCGGAAGCCCAAAGTGCAATTGGGCAGTAGGTGAGGGTTCTCATTGATCTCCTTTACTGCAAATGCCAAGGCCAGGAGATGCTGGTAATTCTTAGGCATCATGCTAAAAGGAGAGGCAACTGCTTAAGCTCAGAGTGGAAGTCAGCACCTACGAAGCACAGCTATACATGCATGGCCAGAAAGAAAGTGCCTTGAGTTTGGGCACTAGGCTGTAAAAGAGCAAGTCACAGAATGGGAGTCAAAATGGGCAGAGCAAAGCTATGCAGATATACACAGTATGAAGTAAACTGCTATGAATTAGATGGCGGGGGGGGTCAGTCCCAGGGAACAGGTGGTAAGACTACATGCAAAAAATGCCTACATCTGAGAAAATGGGCTGCAGACATGACTGTGGGGAAAACTGTATTGAAAATCTGTAGACTTGCTGAAACTGCTTTAGAGAAAAAGCATTATAAATTTAATGAATTGTCTTTGACCCCCTCTGTGTGGTGTGGTGTGTCCATGTCTTCATTCATGTGCAGCCTGTTTATGTGGTAATGGGGTGCAATGCATTGATTACTGATTAAAGGTAAAACTGGCAAGGATGAAACATAGAATCATTTATGGATCCTTTTCCCAGTGGTGTCCTTGTATGGCTGCAACTTCAGTCACAATTTTGAGAACAAGTTCTGGGACTGACCAGTGCTGTGATAGATGAAGGAGAAATAAAAACAAGCAGCAATGCAATTCTTACATGAGTTCTTTGAGTGAGTCTGGTGGGGGTTCTTCAGTGAAGGATACTGAACTAGATTTGAAGGAGCCATGAAAAACAATGCTGCCAATAAGGATGTCTCCTGACTGATAGGCTTGTAGTGGAAAGTGGGGCTCCCAGATGCTGCATTTGAGAATACGTGCTGGACATAGGATTTGTGAAAAGAGTGCCAGAAGTAAGACCTCCAAGAGCACCATTCTCAGCATAGTACCGCTTTTCTGAACACTCAGATACCCCTTTTTTGTGGACAACACTTCAGTCCTTGAAGTACTCTGGAATCAAATTCCCTTCTCGAATGGTCATTTTGTCTGATGAAAGTTGATTCTGCTGATAGAGAAGTATGCAAGATAATACCACAGGCACCTTGGCTTTTCCTAGTCCCTTCCTCATCGCAACCTTGTTCTAGGTATATTTATAACTGCCTTCACTGTTTTCTGTTTATTTGACCTGTGGCCATTTGGAACTCCAGATGGGTTTTGTGGAGAAGCAGGATTAATTGCTTTGAATAATTAAAATGCAAGATAATTACCTTGATTGACATGTGCAAACAGAGCTATTACTTAGTTCAAGAAAAATAGTAAAACACTGGGTGGTTAAATGTTTAGTTCCAATATAGAGTCCAGGAACTTTCACTCAGGAAGCAGGAGATTTTACACTGCCTTTCTGTGTAAAGCACTTACTTTGCACCATGTTTCCCCAGTCATGTTCATCCTTCATTCTTTAGAACCATTTTGGTTCAATTATGTACTATTTTGGGTAGATAAGTTAGCTTTTGGTCTTTTTAAACCTTTCGGTCTTTTATATTATGAAAAATACATGTGAGCTGTTGTCTTTTCATCCTCTCTTCCTATCCTCCTGCACTCATTCCCTCTTTTTAATTCATAGTATAGTTTGCAATTCTTTTTCAGTGAAGTGCAGTTTCATCCAATTCAGGTCATTGTTCAGTGCCTCACTTAAAGCATCTGGCTACCATATTGGGGTTCAGGCAGGACAGAATATAATACAGCCCATGTCCATCACCCTTATCCAGTTTCCTCCAAAAGTCCAGGAGGCTAAACCTCTTTGGGTTGCAGTGGATGCTTAAGAGGTGATTCCAATCTCCTGGGGTGGTTTCACAAGCTCTCTTGCAGGGGGATTGGTGGACTTCCTGAGGTGTTCTTGTTTTTGTTTGTTTGTTTTTGCACCATTACATTTCAGTGTCAATAGCTTTAAATGTGCAGCTGTAGCAATAGGATGTCATAAGTATAACGTCCAGGATGTGGGCAGTAGGCAGCTATGGTCAGGATGCTAGCGGCAGGGTGAAGATGCAGGGGGGAGACTGGCACCATATTTTGAAGGCTAGAGGTGGGAGGCACTTCTTCAAAGATTCCAGTGTCAGGAGCTGATGAGACAAGAGAGTCTAAGTAAATGGACCATCCAAGAGCAGGCCAAAGGTCAGAGACTGGTAAGACACAAATTCAGAAGAAAGACCAAGTAGGGAGAATGGGTGCTAGGGTAGAGTCAGGCTGAAGACAAGGATAAAGACAGGGACCTTATTTATTTATTTAAGAAGCTTCTATGCCGCCCCATTCACTGAGGCCTCGGGGCGGCTCACAATAATAAATAAATAAACACAATATAAAAACAATATAATTTGAGTTGACCTGGCCAAAAATTAAAATAAATAAATAATATTAACAATTTAAATACCATTTGAATAGAAAGGTCTTCGCCTGGCGCCGAAAAACAAATAACAACGTAGGGGAGCGCATTCCATAGATTGGGCGCCACTGCAGAGAAAGCCCTCCTCTGAGTACTTACCCTCCTAATATCCTTCCCGGAGGGTTCCTGGAGAAGGGCCTCTCCCACTGATCTCAAGGGGCGGGCGGGCATATATGGACGTAGGTGTTCCTTCAGGTAACCAGGACCCAATCCGTTAAGGGCTTTATAGGTCATAACCAACACCTTGAATTGGGCCCGGACTTCAACGGGGAGCCAGTGAAGCTGACGGAGAACTGGAGTCATGTGAACATAACGCCCAGTCCCCGTCAGCAGCCTGGCAGCTCTATTCTGAACCAATTGTATCCAGACCGTCTTCAAGGGCAGCCCCACATAGAGCGTGTTACAGAAGTCAAGTTGGGAAGTCACCAATGCGTGTGTCACTGTCACCTGGCAATCGTTCTCCAGGTAGGGACGCAGCTGATGGATCAGCCGAAGCTGAAAGAAAGCGCTCCTCACCACCGCTGACACCTGAGCTTCCAGTGAAAGCTCTGGGTCGAGGAGCACTCCCAAGCTGCGGACCTTGTCCCTAAGGGAGAGTGCAACCCCATTCAGGACTAGGTCAAGGTCCCCTTCCCCGAAGCCCGATCTGCCAACCAACAGGACCTCTGTCTTGTCTGGATTGAGCTTCAGTTTATTGGCCTTCATCCAGCCCATTACCTCAGCCAGGCACTGGTTCAGTACAGCCACTGCCTCACCTGGATTGGAAGAGAATGCAAGGTAGAGCTGGGTATCATCAATGTACTGGTGATTCCGCAGCCCACACCTCCTGATGACCTCTCCCAGCGGTTTCATGTAGACGTTAAATAGCTAAGGGGACAAAATGGATCCCTGCAGTACTCCATGGAATAGCTGCCATGGCGCAGAGCCATAGTCCCTCAGCATCACCTTCTGGAATCGGCTATTGTGATAGGAGCGGAACCACGGCAAAGCAGTGCCTCCGACCCCCAATCCCATTAGAAGGATGCCATGGTCAATGATATTGAAAGCCACTGAGAGGTCCAGTAGAACCAACAGGAATGCACTCCCCCTGTCCTTCTCCCTGCACAGGTCATCATTCAGGGCGACCAAGGCATATTCAGTACCATACCCGGGTCTGAAGCCAGACTGAAATGGGTCCAGATAATCAGTTTCATCCAAGAGTGCTTGGAATTGTCCCACCACCACCCACTCCAACACCTTGCCCAGAAACGGGATGTGGGCCACTGGACTAAAATTAGTGGCCATCTCTGGATCCAGTGACGCCTTCTTCAAGACCGGTCAGACTACTGCCTCCTTTAAAGGGGCAGGTACCCAGCCCTCCCTCAGAGAGATGTTAACCACTTCCAAGATCCAGGTCCCTATCCTATGCTTGGCCTTGTTAATCAGACAAGATGGGCAAGGGTCCAATAGGCAGGTGGTGGGACGTACTTGTCCAAGCACCTTGTCCACATCATCAAGTTGCAGTAACTGAAATTCATCCATCAATTTTGGACCAGACAGTGACATTGGTACCTACCCAGAAGCCTCTGAATCAATAGTGGATGGGGCCAGGTAGGAGCCAGGTGGGTGGGCACCTGCTGAGGCAGGTGCTTAGGGCAAGAAAAAGCTGGGAACATGACCACGAAGTAGCAACTTGGATTGCTTGGCAAAGAGTAGCAGTGCAGCGAATCCTCTGATGCAATTCTGTGGACTTCCAGATGCACTGCATCATTACCACCCTCTGGTTTCCTGATAGCACCTTCATTTGTGTTCCTGTCCTGTGGGCACTTTCTTGAATTGTGATCAGACACTAAGTAAGAAAGTAAGATGCTCTAAGTACTACATATGCCAGTTGCAATGCATTGTAAGGTTTTTGCAAAAGGAAGATGATACCCTATGACTGAAATGAGTAGCATTGATTGCTTTTGCTTCATGCCAGGGTCCATATGCATACATGCATTGGTCCAGAAGTATGATTTTGTGTTACATGCTCAGAATTAGCTGCTACAGAATCATTCTGAAGTAATTAGAAATGCAATGGTGCTGATGGTCTTCAGGAAAGGCAGCTAAAAGCGATATAGGGCTATGTGCAGGAATTTGCATGATTTATGATTTTATTTTAATATGAAGAGATTTTCATATGACTTTTCCACATGAGGTATGCATAAACCACTTCCCTAAAGCATCACAACACTCTAGACTAGAAATGACAGTGAAGAACAGGCATGTATTCATCAGTATTTTCTTTTATTAAGCTGTTCCCTGTTGTTCAGCTCAGGCCTCAACATAATAATATAACATTTGGGTAAGAAGATGCAAGCCAGCAATCCTGTGCTAGATGCTAAGATGGAGAAGATCTCCACAGCCACCATGGATTTCCCCTTGGTGCTGAGGTAAGATGGGAAAAAAGAGAGCCAAACACTGCAAAAAACCAGCATGCTGAAGGTGATGAACTTGGCTTCGTTGAAGCTGCTGGGCAGCTTCCTGGACAGGAAGGCCACAGTGAAACTGATGGTTGCAAGAAGGCCCATGTAGCCCAAGGCACAGTAAAACATAGTCATAGAGCCCTTGTTACATTCTAGTATGATTTCTTCTGTCATGGAGAACATGTCGACATCTGGGAAAGGGGGTGAAGTTCCCAGCCACACACTGCAGATGCCTGCTTGGATGAGGGAGCAGGAAAGAACAGTTGCACTGGTCATCTCCTTTCCCAACCACTTCCTCATCCTGGATCCTGGCTGAGTGGCCATGAAAGCCAGAATGACTAAGAGGGTTTTAGCCAGTACAGAAGAAACAGCCACTGAGAAGATGATGGCAAAGGCAGTGTCTTGGAGGAGGCAGGTGAGCTCCTGAGGCTCCCCAATGAATAGCAATGCACAAAGGAAGCAGAGCAGGAGGGAGCTGAGCAGAGTGTAGGTGAGCTCCTGGTTGTTGGCTTTGACTATGGGAGTCCTGTGGTTCTTCACGAACACGGCCAGCACAAGAGCTGTGATGAAAGCAAAGACAAGAGCAAGGAAGACTAATGTGAGCCCCAAAGCTTCATCATAGGACAAAAAGGTTGTGTTCTTTGGAAGACAGAAATCCCGATTCTTGCTTGGATACTCTGTATGTGAGCATGGAGTACAATCATTCATGTCTAAAAAAGAAATGAAGTGAAAGGAAAGGAAAGGAAAAGAGATGGTGCTGAGCTTATGATAAGAAGGAAGGCAAACCAAAATTTAGAATTCAATGTCATAAATCTGTGTAGCAACAGAAATGGAGCAGTGTCAGCCTGAGGCTCTGCACTGATTTCTGTTTGGCCTACTCTGGGTGCTTAAGAATCACTAACCAGGGCCATCTTTGGTTAGTCAGAATTGATAGAATAGGTCAGTTATTCTGCTCATGGTTTCTAATAAACCACAAACTCAATATTTGAGTTTGAATGCAAAAACAGACCAATTAGTATAACAACTCAAACATTGCTTGCTGTGTCCTGCAAACCTACCATTCAGCATTTTGATTTTTTCACTATCACCCAAACCGTATTACATTTCTATGCTGTCCCCAGGTCAAAACCTTCAGTGTGGCTCAACAGATCTAGCACCAGAAAGTATACTGATAATATCTAACATTTAAGACTGCAGTGTAAAATAGAAACATTTTTCAAATCAAACCACAGGAACATCACAATGGCTTAACATGTAGTCATGCAGTTAAAGCAACAGAGACTGAAAAGCTAAAATTTCTAGGAAAGCAATGTCTCCACCTGGTGCTGCAAAGGGCACAATCTGTGTGCCAGGCAAGCTCTCTGGGAAGTTCATTCCACAGGTGTGGCACCACAGAGTCTCTTCTCTTCTTTCCGGAGCCACCCACCTCCATCCTTTTAGCCAGGACTCCTGCCGATGAATCACTTTGGATGATTTTGAAGTTTGGGCACTTATATTTCAGAGAAGATTATTTTTTTGGTAAACTGGCCTCAAACCAATTAGGATTAATTGTAACCAATTAATTTGAATGTAATTCTAGGACACTTTGGTCCAGATATGGAATGGCAGCCAGTGCAGATAGGAATGACCTAAAAACCACCGTATTACCCAGTACTTGTTACCCATTTTGCTACCCTAGTTTGGACCAGCTGTAGTTCCTAGACTGTTTCTAGAGGCAGTCCTAAGTAGAATGCATTTCAATTAGTGTATACCTGACTGGAAATAGATATGATTGGCATATTGGCCTAAGCTGGTTAAAGATGCTCCATGCCACAGGGAACCCCTGTGTCTCAAGTGACAATTCTGCCTAACCTTAGCCTATATGAGGAGTGCACCCCTCTATAGAAGAAATGAAATATTACTCCTCCAGGGATGTGAACCACACCTGAAATACCTCCATCTTATCTGGATTGAGGTTCAGTGTATTGTTCACTGTATGTATTCAGTGAAGTGCATTACCATGACCAGGCACTGATTCAGAAAATGCACTGCTTCAACTGGATTTGGTGGAAGGAGGGAAAAAGCTGGTGTTTATGCATATTGATGACATGGGGGTCCACACCTACAGATAAACTTCCCAAGTGATTTCATGTAGATTTTTAATAGGAGCAGGGATAATACAGAGCCCTGTGGAGCTCCACTGCATGACTGCCAATGCATAAGATCATCATCGTCATCATCCCAGCAGGAGTTGAATGACTCCTTTTGAATGACTGAAAAAATCTTCCCATTCTACAAAACAGCCACTTTTAATGTGTATTAAAGTGAATGCATATTGCCTACCATCATGGCTTGAAATCTTCCCAGCTGGACATGGGATACAATCGTAGCAGCAATATGGCTCCCCCTCCTTCACTTTCTTGCTAGAGCCTGGATGGCAACTCTCAGTGCATACAGAAAGTGGTCGTGTCTAATACGCGAATTAAAAGCAGGATAAATAGATGAAGAGAAATTTTCTTTTAAAATGGAAGGTTCTCTTGTCAATAGATGAGCTCTAAGACTGACTCAGTATTTCAGAAATGGGTGGATTTTCATTTACTACAACTTATTGTTAGTTTTCTTTATTTGGTGCCCATACAGACACTCACTTTCTAGAAAGAAATACAGCAAATAACTTATTTATTTATTTACTGGATTTTATCTTGCATCATTAGCCAGAAGCTTCCCTGAAAACCACTGGAATATACTGAATAAGATGCCACTTTTTGAGGTATATCAAGAATCTTATCGCATTGCTTGCCTATATATTATCTTAGAATAATGCCTTGAATGTCTTACAAATCTATCAGTTTCATTAGGCAAATGATTACTCTTCACTGGAAATCAATAGCATGATCATCATCAGCAGACGTTTAATTGAGTGCTAATATACTACAGAAGGTTTATGAAATCAAAGTGTATGAATGTGTGTATTGAGAACTACAATTCATGTATAAGCTGTCAGAACAGGTTTATGATAATATCTATCCATATATTTCTTTGATCTCATTGGGATTCAGGCTTGTAAGTACCCCAGATAATGTGCTGAAGGTCATAGCACAAGTCCACTATGAGGATGGACCAAGTTATATTGGTAGTGATCAGAAGTCTATGGTGCATGGCATAACTAGGCTCTGGCCATTCTATGTCTCATCAAATATTGCCAACAGATCTGGAAATTGGCACAAGAACATTAGAAAGATGTGTACAACAACTGGTTGTATGTGCATGATTGCAGTTTAGCTGAATTTTAAAGATGCTTACTGTGACATTCCCTGTAGAAAAAAACTAATATAAATTTAAGTGTATTAAATTTCTGCCAGCTCTTTGGAGCTTATATTGGTGGAGAAGAAGGTCCTCCACATGGGAGCCTTCTCTCTTTTTTGTCTTCACTTCATCCAATATGCTTCTTTCTAATCAAATGAAATGAAAGCCAGCAGGACTGAAGATCAGAGCTCATTCCAAGGAGCTGACCAGTGGCTCCTACCTGATTAAACCAATGGTGCCAGGTGATGGTCTTCTCATCAATGGCAAGTGATGGAGAAACCTGAAGATGGATCTTTCCCACTTTCACTCTGTGAAAGGATTCATTGGCAAAAAACTTCCAGTTGATAACATCAAATCCAGCCACCACCTCCCCTTTCTCATTGAAGGAAACCTGGTTCTGGGCACTGTTATTAAAGGAGATACTTCTAAGAAACTGATGGAGCTAGATTGAAAACAGGGATGAGAGAGTTTAGAATAGATCACCGCAAAGTATATAATTCTACATTCTAAGAGCAGGAGCAGAATGATGTTGAGAGTGCTTTTCAGGTGAATTAAAGAAATGTTCCTATTTATACATTTATTTATTTAAACATTTTTATGCCTCCCCATTCGCCGAAGCCTCAGGGTGGCTTACAACAATAAATTAAAATAATTATAATCTTAAATTAAAAAATATAAACATTAGATTAAAAATACAAAAATACAATATAAAATAAGCCACCCTGGCCAGATAAAATTCAATAATATTAACATTTAAAATGCCGCTTAAATAAAAAGGTCTTCGCCTGGTGCCGAAAAACAAATAACGACAGCGCCAGGCGGACCTATCTGGGGAGCGCGTTCCATAACTTAGGCGCCACCGCAGAGAAAGCCCTCCTCCGAGTACCTACCCTCCTAATTTCTTTCACGGACGGTTCCCAGAGAAGGGTCTCTCCCGCCGATCTCAGGGGGCAGCTGGGCATATATGGATGTACATTTATGCTTACATTTATATTCTTCTTTCTTCCTTTGTAAAGAACTGAAGGCACCTTAAAATGTTCCCTTCCACTCAAGGTTGAACATTAAAAACCCCTTGTGAAGTGGCTTAGGATAGAAATAGATGATTAGCCCAAAATTACAAGGGAGTTTTATGGCCAAGTGGAGAATGTAGACCAGATTTCTCAAGTGTCACTCCAATGATCTAACCACTATACAGGACAAGCTCTCAAAAGTAATAGGGTGTTAACCTGCAAAATCACAACACTAAGTCACTGATTACAATGCGGACAGTGTTCTGAGCAAATTAGAAGTTGGTTGATGCAGAGACGGAATATATAAGGCTGTTGTAGACCCAAGAAACATGATGCTCTCTTATATAAGAAAATTGAGAAAATTAGATTTCTATCAAACTTGGGACTCTTTTTATTATTGGCTAGAGAAACGGGGCTTCACATAGATTTAAATATGTTCATTAATTAACATAAAAAGAAAAAATGTGGGGGGTCAACCCAGTAGGTCTGATGTCTCCAATGATTGATGTTGTTTTTAGTTTTTCTTTGTATTAGCTTTATTTAGAATGAAACTTATTGAGAGAGAGAGAGAGAGAGAGAGAGAGAGAGAGAGAGAGAGAGAGAGAGCATTACCTGCCACTGCTGTTCATTCCAAAGCTTTTTTCCTTCATTATCCATCACTGCTTTGCACTTAACTTTAGATGACAACATGGCATGTAGTGCATGGGCCACAGCATAGACAGCGTTGTAGACAATGTAGCTTTGGCCAGTCATGCTCATTTCAAAAAAATATCCAGGAAGTCTCTCCAACTTTTCCTTCCCAGTGCAAATTTCTTCCTCCATGTCTTCCATCATCATTTCAGGAAATGTACAACCAAAGACTTGCTGCCAAAAGTACCTGATAAAATCATCTCCTTTGGTGTTGAAAGGATTTCTGCTCTTCTCAAATGATTTGAACCCTGGTAGCTCATTGGAGCTAACCCTCAGTGAGAGAGCACCATAGAATATTTCTGTCTCCCAATTCCTTTGGTAGGCAAATGCATTGATTTCCATCTGGGCTGTCATTACCCAGACTTTGCCTTTCATTTTGCTTGTTTTGTTCCCTGCTTCAGATAAATACGGCAACCATCTAAAAACTGCAATGGAATATGATTCTCCATGGGCCACCACTATATTGGCTTTAGTGCTTTGTAATTCATCACTTAATTTTGCTCCCTGTTTCATTACATCATAAAGTTCAGTGACATAAGTTAATTTGGGAATTCTTTCTATGAGAGCAAAACAGACACCTCTTTTGGAAAACATTGGAAAGACAGTTTGCAAGAATCTTTCTCCATTGTCATTATCTATAAAAACAAGTCCGATCCACGTCCAGTTGTAATGTAGGAGCAAAGACAGAATCCCCTCATACTGAAGAGTTTCATGAGGTACCATCTGATAGAAAGGAAGTCCTGGGGTCTTATCATTCATGACTGGAGCCACACCGTATATGAGCTAAGGAAAAAGTGAAGAAATGTTAGCAAGATGACATTAATGATGGGAGCAATTTTCATCCAATCCACATGCAACATAATTGAATTGATATGAATCAATGAAGCACTTTCTAGGCTTCAAAATAAATCAGCAATTCTTAGAACAACTCAAATTTGCATTTTATATTTTCCTCAAATCCTCATCAGGACAGCTAACAACAGCAATAACAATGCACTAAAATACCATGCATTACACCTGAAATTTAAACACTAATATAATACAGGTAATGACATTCGACTCAGTAGAGGAAAACAATATCAGATTTAAGATATTTTCCAGACAGCTTATGATACAAATGTCAGTCCACATAGAAATGACTGCCTTCTGACAGAATGCAACTACATCTACTTTGACAAATAGCTCTAGAGTCAGGGGAGAGAATCTTTTATTCTCCTTTATCCTTTAAAGTGAGCAAGTTTCCCTACACTTTGAATGTATAGTATGCATATATCAGTGCAGGTGTTTCACAAGGCAATAAAGGGGAGGAGAATTACAGGGATGATGTTGGAGCAGAGTAGTAAAGCAGGAGCTGAAATGTTAGAGAAACCAAGCAAGGCCAGAAGTTACAAAGACTTTTTCTAGCATTGCTTATCATTTCAAGTTAGCTTGTATGATAGTTTGACCGAGTCTCACCCTTAATCCAATACTGCAGACATTCTGAGGTAGCTTGAAATACCCTGCAAGACTGGAACCATGGGTTGCAGAATAGCATCCCTCTTTGGGGGAAAATTTGAGCAGGTATCATTCTCTCTGGCTAGGAGCTGGTTCCACCTCTGGCTCTAACACCATATTTTCTTGTCATATGGGAGAGATGCCAAGGGTTTCTGGGAGGATCCTGGCTCCACCGCCATTGGCCAGTTCTGTCTTGGACTTCCCCCACTAACACCTTAGGTGAAGGAATGTTGCGATCCAAGGAAAGGTCCTGAACTGGAGTCCTAGCCTGAAATCCTTCTTCCTTCTAAATAAGAGTCTTCTAGGGGAGCTATGACACACGTACCTCATCAGTAGTCAGCAGAACTGTGGTGTAGTGAGTGGTTGATCAACTCACTAAGGGTCAGTTTCTGCATGGCTTATGATGATGCATAAAGCAGCCTGTTGCAAATCACCCACAAGAACAAAATTAACCCTGAGAAAAAAATTGTCTCATCCAGCTTGCGTCTCTACAAAGATGGGTCCTATTTTCAAATATTTTCTATCAGGTGTACAAACACCTCCACACACACACACACACACACATCCTGCAGTCTGAGTAGAATTAATAATTATAATTATTCTTTTCAGTGATCAGATATGAGATACACACATACATACTAGTGTTCTTAGACTGGCTATGTCATTGAAAAGAATATTTAAAAAAAGATAATGTCTAATCTGATGATTTCTGATGCAACACTTTCTGAGACAGAATTTGGGAAGAAGCAAAGACGTGTGCAAGATGCTTTTCATTTCCATTTTCACCTACATATGAGAGCAGGTTTCCTACCTGTGGAATCTTGTAGATATCCAAGATATTTGCCATATTGAGAGAGACTTCGGAGTCCAGTGCCCCAATGACTGCTATTAGATTATTGTGGATGCCACATGTGTAGTTGGGGACCAATCTCTCCTGCACCGAGAGAAGTTGTAGTGTTGCCTGACAGGTTCTCCTTGCATTGACATAGCTGTCATAGATGCGAAAGCCCAAAGTGTGGTTGGGCAGTATCTGAGAGCTCTGATTGATCTCTTGTATTGCGAATGCCAAGGCCAGGAGATGCTGGTAATTCTTAGGGATCATTCTGAAAGGAGGGGCAACACCTGAGGTGCAGAATCAAACTCAGAATTTATACAGCAAAGTTTTATGCATGGTAAGAAATAAAGTACTCTGAGTTTAATGGTGCTTATTCCCTGGCAAGTGCTTGGAAAGCCACGTATGAACATGTCAGTATTAGAGGGAAAAAGATCCACAAACATGTATATTATGGGAAGTGGCATACTAATTCTGTTTTAGGGGAAGTTGCATTCTGAAAGCAGAGAAAGTTGAATTAGATGGTTAATATGGGCTCTCTCTCTCTCTCTCTCTGTATGTGTGTGTAGACTACTTTGGTTATTTGATGGAATGAATTCATAACTGAATATATGAAAAACTGAAATGGAATGGATAAAAAAATGACTTTTGCCTCTCTTCCCCAAGGATGTGTGAATAAAGTTGTATAAAGTTGCAGCATAAACCCCTGTTTTGAGGCAAGAGCCTTTCAAAAGATCATATCCATGACAAAGTAAATGCAATAAGACATGCAACAATCAATCCTTACACATATTCTTCAAGCACATCTGGTGGGGGTTCCTCAGTGAAGGCTGTTGAACTGGACATGAAGAAACCATGAAAAGCAATGCCACCGATAAGGATGTCTCCTGACTGATGCATGTGAAGTGGAAAGGGAGGCTCACAAAGGCTGCATTTGACAAAGGGAGCCTGCTGTACCCTGGATGGTAAGTGTGCCAGCAGCAAGACCTCTAAAAGCACCATGTTCAGTACCATGCCAAATCTTTTTTCTGCACACACATTTTTTCTATTGCTTTTGCAAGCCCACCACACTGAAATGCTCAATGACTGAATGGGCTTCTTCCATAGTACTTTATTCTGCTAATAGAAACCTAACTAATATAAAACTTGCAACATCTCCAGAAACTTTTCTTGTTCTTAACCCCTTTCTGATCAGCAAGGTGTAAGAGGTATACATATATTTAGGACATCCTACATAATTGTGTGTCATTTGGCTCTTGCCCAGTGAAATTGCAGAGGGGTTTTATGAAGCCACAATCTTAATTATTATCCTTTTGATGATTATAGGGGAAGTTAATGATCATTTCAAAGTTTTAGATTTTCTGTAGAAATGCTAGGAAATACACACACACACACACACTGTTGCCCCATCTGGAAAGATTCAATCTTGGCAAAGCTACTTAAAAGCACTCTTTTGACATTTGTTATGGGAAAGCAATGTGACATTTTAACCTTTCGTAGCCTTATTTTTCTCAGTGCTTCTGAATAGTGCATCCTGCACTTTGAAAAGAGAAGCATTGGTGAGGAAAGGTTTTTCATGTTGGACCACTCTAAGTGTGTAGGTGCAAAATACCAACTTAAATGTTTTTGGTTTTTTTTTTTTTTTTTTTTTGCAAATTACCATATATAAAATTTCAAGATCATTTTTTAAAATGAAGGCATTACCATGATTAAAAATGGACTCTTTCTGCTAGATTGATTCAGTGCATATTATGTTCTCTAGTAAGTACTTCCATATAGCCCAAAGTGCCTGACCCTGCCAAATTTTTGAAGCTAAGCAAGGTTGGGCCTGGTTGAAATATGTAGGGGTGACTTAATGTTGTAAATCACCCAGACAGCTTTGGCTACATGCAGTATAGAGACGTAAATAATAATAATAATAATAATAATAATAATAATAATAATAATAATAATAATAATACAGTTTTAATGAACTTTGAGATTTTCTTTGGTGAACAATAAACTGGGATGAAATATTTCATACTTGGAACTTTGGCTTGGTCCTATCTATGGTAGTACTTATTCTGTGCACAGATGAAACACTGAAATTCTGGCTGTCATACAGCTGAGGTACACAGATTATCAGCAGGTGTGGCCTTCATCATCACATGTCATGGAAATCTGCATCTTCCGAATTTCTTTTTGACCTGCATTTAACAAGTGTATTGGATACTGTGCCCTAGATGTTTAATTCCTCTAATCCTCTCTCTTTAAGAGGCAAGTCTTAGGGTAAAAAGTAAAACTAAGAAGTGAAATTAAGTAAATTGTGGAGGCCTCTAAATATCTCCCTGGTCATCTAGGGGCCTGATGGGTTTCTCCAGGTTCCTTTCTTCTTGACTTGGTCTTTTTATTTTATTTATTTTATTTTATTTAATGCTATTTTAATTAATTGTAAGTGTTGTTTTATGTACTGTATATTATTGTTTTTATATCTTGTTGTGAACCTCCCAGAGAGCTTCAGCTACAAGAGGTATAGAAATGTAATAAATAATGATAATAATAAGAACAACAATAATGTTAAGTAAAATTAAGATGCAGGCTATATTTATTTAAAAAAAAAACCTAGAGCAGCTATTGCAGGGCAACTTTTTTGGACATATAGTTTCTTAGCCTTAATACTGTTTTCATTGGAACAAACGGCACTGATATACTTGAGCAAAAGGAAAACCTTCTGATTCTATGGCTTTAGTCTGCATGACTTTAGCCAAGAGGGTAGTTCATAAACCTTTTACCACTCACTCCAGTGTTCCTAAGGAATTTTAATTTCCCAGCATTCAAAACTGCTACTTCTGGTACTTGTTAACATAAAAACTGTTCATGGAATGAGAAGCCAAAAATTTTCTCACTAATTATATTCAGAATGTATTCCATTAATTTGTCTGTTTGCAAAATCTATCAGCTGTGTATGTGTGTGTCTATGAGTGAAAAGCATCAGTGAGATCTGGGATCCATTTATGTGTGTGCATAAAAATGGGGTTTTATTGAAAGTCTAGCACGTCAGTATTTTCTCCATGGTGTTTTCCCAGTTACAGAATTTCCCTACATATACTGCTATTTGATTTATGGGGGGAAAACTTACAAGCATCGTATGCATTTATTCATTTCAGTTTTGTATTGACCAATGGTCAAACTACTCTGGGTGAGTTGCAAAAGTTAGGGAGCTTTAAATTATTTTTCATGGTACATATATGAGCCTCAATTCTCAAGTGAGTACCTTTGACCAGGAAGGTGGAATTATTAAAAAAGCATAGACTCATGTCCTCTATTGCAACGATTCTAATCCAAACTCACTCCCAGTATGACTGTGGTGAGAGATATTAGTCTTCTTCTTAGTACTGATAATCCATAGGTGATCTCACCCAACTGCTCCATGCCACATTTATAACAAACGTATGGGTGTGCACCTTGACATGTTCATGGTTCTGGCAAAAAGGGATTTCTCTGTTGTTGTTATCAAAATAGATAATCCTTGCTCTTCTTGATGAACAGATGAAATAAAGTTATAGTTCTTCAAGTATCAGTCAAACAAAATTTTGCCATGGTGTTTTGAAATGTAAATTTCACTATTGCTTGTTTCTTAGGGACAGATGTGTTTCTATCCAAGAAAGAATCTAAAAGCCCGTTAAAATCCTCACCCACAATTCTATATTCAGAAGTAGCACCAATCAGATCATGAAACATAACAGAAACATTATTGGGTCCATACTCATTAAACAGATTGATTATACTGTCATTATGTTACCCAGCCAAAATCAAAAAGCACTAATCACTAAAGAGTCACTAATCACCAGTTGACCTAAGGAAAAGAGCTGCGTATAGGTTAGAATCACAATTCATTTATATTATGTTGAAATATCAGTTATATATACCTCTCAACCTCGTTGTTTTCCCTCAACAAATGTACACAAGCTAACATTAAATGTGTTCTTGTAGAACAACCATATCATATTATGTTCTTCTAACTCTGAAAACATTTTCTTCCAGTTATATGGATGATACAACTCCTTGATAGTTCCTGGGATCACATTACACACCCAAAACTGCAAAAATGATCAGTTGTCCAACACATAGAAATGTAACAAAAACTCCTAATACTTCACTTATTTAATTAACTTGTACAACATAATTTTATAAGAATATTAATCACTGGCAGAAAAATCCTAAGCAGTATAGCATCATTTGGATGCCTCTCTTTGAGTTCAGAAAAACACTGCAACTTACAAGCTGGGGAGCTTTGCTCAGCTCCTCCACCTGCCACCTGCAGTCTGTGTGGAAAAAATCATGTAAAGTTCATCACAGCAATCAGAATACATTTTACTACTTAGAATTAGGAGCACAGATGAATACATTTGCATATTCATGCCCCCAAAAGAATCCCACATTAGTTTCCTTATCAACAGCTACAACTACAGAAACAAACTTACATTTTTTCTAAAGTTAATAATGGATTATTAAGAGATATGAGATGCTGCTGAGAGAGAAGATTATGGGAAAACACAGGTTCTTGGTGCAAACATGATAGTTTACATTAAACACTTCAAAACTGGTTCATGCTATACACGAATCTTTCAACTAGCAATAGGCTGGAGGGGAAGATCTACATAGTGCAGGGGCAGAAAAGGAAATGTTCATAAACATTCTACAATACAGACACATGCCTCCAGTTTTTCATAATAGCAAATACGTAACATTGTTCAATCTTTTCTTCTGATAAGCTGATCCCTGCTGTTGAGCTCAGGTCTTATTAAAATAATGTAACATTTAGGGGAAAAGATGCAACCCAGCAATCCAGCACTGGAGGCCAAGATAGAGAAGATCTCCATAGCTACCATGTGTTTTCCTTTGGTGCTCAGGTAGGTTGGAACAAAGGATAACCAAACACTGCAAAAGACTAACATGCTGAAGGTGATGAACTTGGCTTCATTGAAGCTGTCTGGGAGCTTCCGGGCAAAGAAAGCCACCATAAAGCTAGCAGTTGCCAGGAAGCCCAGGTAGCCCAGCACACAGTAGAACATAGTCACAGAGCCCTCATTACATTCCAGTACCATTTCCTCAACTACTGAGTGAACATTGACATCTGGGTAGGAAGGATGTGTTCCCAGCCACACAGTACAGATGCCTGTTTGAGTAAGAGAGCAGGAAAAAACAATGGAGCTGGCCAGTCCTTTCCCCATCCACTTCCGCATCCTGGACCCCGGCTTGGTGGCCATGAAAGCCAGAACCACTGTCATGGTTTTTGCCAGTACACAAGAGACCGCCACTGAGAAGATGATGCCAAAAGTGGTCTGCCGGAGGAGACATGTCACCTTCTTTGGCTGGCCAATGAATAGGAACACACAAAGGAAGCAGAGCAGGAGGGAGATGAGGAGAACATAGGTGAGGTTCCGGTTGATAGCAATGACTATGGGAGTGTCATGGTGCTTCACAAATATCCCTAAGACCAGAGCTGTGGTCAAAGAAGAGAAAAGACCAAAGAAGGCTAAACTGAGACCCAAAGGTTCTTTGTAAGACAAGAAGGTAATTGTCTTCGGAATGCAATAATTTTGGTCCTTATTTGGATAGCTTTTGTCTTCACATTTATGACAATCATTCATGTCTGAAACAAAAAAGATGTGATCTTAATCTCACAAAGATGACATAAAATTTAATTATGTGCTTTATTTGTCCTGTTATAGCAGTAAAATATCTTATTTCCACAGATATGATGAAATGTGGCAGTAGTGATTTAAGTAGCGCAGATTTTTGTAGATAGTAAACAAACAAATTTTGGATTCTAAATTCAAAGAGATCACTATACTCTGCCAAATAGGTCTGGTACTCCACAGTTCAGCATTCAAACAATATTGAAAGATAGATGCAGATAAACTATATTTCAATAGTAACATTTTAACATACTTGTAGATATATCAGCTTACTTAAACTGGTCTTGGAACAAACTTTGAATTTTTCTTGACAGTACCCTGATGATGTGTGAGAAATAAAGGAATAGAAAAAGCAGTGAAATATCAGCTTGTTAAGATTGTCAAGTTTTTCTGAATTCCACCTTGAAATGCAGATCACCAGATATGAATTTGGACAGTGGTTTGGACTTCAAATCTGAAGAATCCTATGGCCCTCTATATGCTGTCCAGAGTTAAAGTGTACACTTGTGTACTTTTTAAAGACAAACAATAGTACTTAAAAGTGTACTTTTTGAACACACATGCAAATCCAAGAATATGCATGGGTTTTGTTCTGGGTTTTTTGTTTTTGTTTTTATGCAAACAAAACTATTTGTGTTCTTGTTTTCATTCAGTGATGTTACTAGCATATTTGAGTAAAGATCTGAGCAAAATTACCTTACCATACACCCCTAGTTAATAATACATTTTTGTTATTGATAAGGCAGGAGAGGAAAAGTCTTAAAAGCTGGCAGGGAAAGATGGACTAATCTGGCAGTGTTGGTTCCTTTTACAGCATAATACTTTGGCCCCATAGCAGATGCCTGCAGGCCTCTGAACTTAGAAGCTTTCAACCTCTAATGGCAGCAGGAGGTGCAGGGGTAACAATCTCAGCTGATGAACCTGTCCTTACCCATACCTTGCATTTCCCCTATACAGCTGTTTTTGGTTGTCTAGACTTAGCACTCTCCTTAATGGATCACTGCCTTGTCATGGTGAAGGGACATGTGTAGCTCATTGAAGCTATAAGCTATGCTGTGCAGGGTCACACAAGATGGACAGGTCATAGCAGAGAGCTCTAACAAAACATGATCCATTGGAGAAGGAAATGGCAACCCACTCCACTATCTTTGCCATTAAAACCCCATGGACAGTACCAAAAGATAAAAAGAGATGATGTCGGAAGATGAGCCCCTCAGGTCAGAAAGTGTCCAATATGCTACTGGGGAAGAGCAGAGGGCTAGTACTAGTAGCGTCAGAAAGAATGAAGCAAGTGGGTCAAAGCCGAAAGGACACTCAGCTGCGGATGTATCTGGTGGTGAAAGGAGAGTTCGATGTTGTATAGACCTATACTCCATAGGAACCTGGAATGTAAGATCTGTGAATCAAGGCAAGCTGGACATGGTCAAGCATGAGATGACAAGACTGAACATCGACATCTTAGGAATCAGTGAACTAAAATGGACAGGAATGGGTGAATTTAATTCAGATGACCATCAGGTATACTACTGCGGGCAAGAATCCCTCAGAAGAAATGGAGTAGCCTTCATAGTCAATAAAAAGAGTAGGAAAAGATGTACAGGGATACAGTCTCCAAAATGACAGGATGATCTCAGTTCGCATCTCATTCAACATCACAGTGGTCCAAGTCTATGCCCCAACCACTGGTGCCAAAGAGGCTGAAGTTGATCGGTTCTATGAAGGCCTACAACACCTTCTAGAATTAACACCAAAAAATGAAGTCTGTTTCATCATGGGGGATTGGAATGCTAAAGTTGGAAGCCAAAAGATAACCGGAATAACAGGCAGGTTTGGCCTTGGAATACAAAATGAAGCAGGGCACAGGCTGGTAGAATTTTGTCAAGAGAATACAATGGTCATAGCAAACACTCTTTTCCAACAACCCAAGAGATGACTCTACACATGGACATCACCAGACAGTCAACACAGAAATCAGATTGACTATGTGCTCTGCAGTCAAAGAAGGAGAAGCTCTTTACAATCAGTAAAAACTAGACCAGGAGCTGACTGTGGCTCAGATCATGAGATTCTGGTTGCAAAATTTAGACTTAAATTGAAGAAAGTAGGGAAAAACACTAGGCCACTCAGGTATGACCTAATCATACCCCTGATGAATATACACTGGAGGTGACAAATAGATTTAAGGAATTAGATCTGATAGACAGAGTGCCTGAAGAACTAAGGACAGAGGTTTGCAGCATTGTACAAGAGGTAGCAACTATAACCGTCCTAAAGAAAAGGAAATGCAAGAAAGCAAAATGACTGTCTGAGGAACTTTACAAATAGCTGAGGAAAGAAGGGAAGCGAAAGGCAAGGGAGAAAGAGAAAGATATACCCAATTGAATGCAGAATTCCAGAGAATAGCTAGAAGAGATAAGAATGCCTTCTTAAATGAACAGTGCAAAGAAATAGAAGAAAACAATAGAATAGGGAAGACTAGAGATCTCTTCAAGAAAATTGTGGATATGAAGGGAATGTTTCATGATAAAGGACCAAAATGGCAGGGACCTAATGGAGGCAGAAGAGATTAAGAAGAGATGGCAAAATTACACAGAAGAACTATACAAGAAAGAGGTTAACGTCCCTGATAACCACGATGGGTTGGTCACTGAGCTTGAGCCAGACATCCTGGAATGTGAAGTCAAATGGGCCTTAGGAAGTCTGAGCAACAACAAAGCTAGTGGAGTATTCCAGCTGAGCTATTCAAAATCCTAAAAGACAATGCAGTAAAAGTGCTACACTCAATATGCCAGCAAATTTGGAAAACTCAACAGTGGCCACAGGATTGGAAAAGGTCAGTTTTCATTCCCATCCCAAAGAAGGGCAATGCCAAAGAATGTTCAAACAACTGCACCATTGCACTCATTTCACATTCTAACAAAGTTATGCTCAGAATCCTACAAGCTAGAGTCCAGCAGTATGTGGACCAAGAACTACCAGAAGTACAGGCGGGATTTCGAAGAGGGAGAGGAACTGGAAAACAAATTGCCAAAATATGCTGGATCATGGAGAAAGCTAGGGAGTTCCAGAAAAACATCTACTTCTGCTTCATTGACTATGCTAAAGCCTTTCATTGTGTGGATCACAACAAATTGTGGAAAGTTCTTAAAGAGATGGGAGTACCAGACCATCTTTTTTGTCTCTTGAAAAACCTATATGTGGATCAAGAAGCAACAGTGAGTACTGTGCACGGAACCACTGATTGGTTCAAAATTGAGAAAGGAGTTTGGCAAGGCTGTATACTGTGGCCCTGCCTATTTAACTTATATGCAGAACACATCACGAGAAAGGCGGGGCTAGATGAATTACCAGTTGGAATTAAGATAACCGGGAGAAATATCAACAACCTCAGACATGCAGATGATACCACTCTAATGGCAGAAAGTGAAGAGGAACTAAAGAGTCTCTTGATGGGGGTGAAGGAGGAGAGCACAAAAGTTGGCTTGAAACAACATTAAGGAAACTAAGATCATGGCATCCTGTCCTGTCACTTCCCTCCCCACTTACCCAAGCTGAAAAAATAATTCTCAAAAGACAAAATACAAATGGAGAAATATTATGTTAAAGGAAACCCAATCTAACTGTAGAAGGAAAATCCCAAAGATGGCACTTTGATAAGCACTCATTAAATTTTGAACTACAGTAAATAAGCCATCTATTTCAATTTCTATGTCAGCCTGGTCCCAGACCATCCCCCATCACACCTCTCCTAAACTGGAAAAAAAATCAGAACAGTTTGTTTTACTATATTGCAGTAGAAGTCATGGAATCTAATGCCTTGCTGCCCCATTTCTTATGGCAAAACCTGAATCCACCAACTCACCCTCTTGGTCAGAAATCTTCCCTTCTGGACATGAAATGCAATTGTAACAACAGAATGGCTCTCCTTCCTTCACTTGCTTGCTTGTACCAGGATGGCAACACGGAGTACAAACAGAAACAGGCTGGACCTAGCAATCACAATGAGCAAAAACCCCTAAGATTTTGGGAGTCCTTTCATATTTCATGAAAACGATTGTGGTGCTTTTGGTTCTATCTGAACTGTCAATGCTTGATATGCCTCAGACTATTGCTTATAAACAATCAAATATATAAATATTGTTCTTGATCTGGACTTAGTTATACTTACAATTAAAATACATGGGGATTAATGCAGTCACGCCAAACATCTCACTGATTCCAGTGGGTCTGCTAGAGTTTGCCTAAGGGTGCCTCTGAGTTCATGGGCTTACACTTTTCCAGTCAGGACTGGAAGAAGTGGTGGAACAGATCTTCATCTCCTGGCTCTTCCCACTCTGCATTTCACTAGATGGATGCTTTCTGATGAAGTCTCAGAAGTGGAGGGAAGGAAGCTGAAGTTGCTTCAGAATATCTTGAATCTTGGCCATTCAGGTCTTCACTTTCAATACTCCCTTTAAGTCTTCCCCAAGATTGCTTAGCCAGCTTCAGAGAAGACCCTGTGTAGTTCCTTGTGAGGGAGCGGGAGAGGAAGGCCAGGGCTGTAGAACCCAGCCTGGAGGTGGAACACTGTCTCTCACCTTCGAGCTGGGGATCCAAACTGTCTTATTTATTTATTTATTTATTTATTTATTTATTTATTTTGTGATTTATATCCTGCCTTTCCCCTACAAAGGGTTCAAGGCAGCTTACATCTCCTCCTCCATCTTATCCCCACAACAACAACCCTGTGAGGTAGGTTGGGATGAGAGTCTGTGACTGGCCCAAAGACACCCAGTTGGCTCCATGGCTGAGCGGGGACTCGAACCCGGATCTCCTGAGTCCCAGTCCTGCACTCTTCACCACTGCGCCACACTGGCTTATCACCCCTCTAAAAATGCCTAGGGGATATATCAACATTCCTTAAGCCTCTAGTCAATTGGTAATATTCTCACTGCTATACTGTGAAGAAACAGGACTTCTATTCAAAAATAAGCAAGTACACACACAGATTTTAAAATAATTTTTGATATAGACCTTGGGTAGTATTTCTTCTTTATGCATGACTGAAATTCTTTTGAGATATCTATGGTACATATGACTGGAAATGAATGACTGATAATGGCCTCCCCTTTTCTTTGGGTTTTATTTATGCCAATGAATATCATGCCACAACTACGTAAAAACTTTTCAGAGTGACATTCTGGGCTGTTGGCCATAGTATTGATCAGATTCCCATGTTCAAGTTTGGAGAAGGAGATCTGACATGCAGCCCTAGGACCTGAGTCCAGATTGCCTTTTCCCCTGCAGCTGGCAAGGAAAGAACTGCTATCTGCTTTTCTGAGGTTGCAGAAATGTTCAACTTCCTTCCCTCTTCCTTCAAGGTGCCACAATTAGGTGGCTGAAATCAGCTATTTAGCTGCTTTCCAGCATTGGAGTAGTCTGTGAAAACATTGCAATGAAGTATCAATTGAATTAACAGAATGAAAACCACAGCTCCACTCTTCAAAATACTCGTCCACCCTGTATGTAAAATATTTAATGAACTTGGATGGAATTTGACCAGCTTACGGATAAACAAAGCCCCTTTACACTGTATGTTGTGCTGCAGTGACAGAGAAGATGAGAAGAACCCCTGCAATGCACCCCATTTATGGGTTTTCCCCAGATGAACTGTGAGGATCAGTGTTGGATGTGATTTCATACTCAGAATTTTCCTCCCTTCCTGTCAGATCATTGCTCACCAGATAAAATGGACAAGGAAATGTGAATTTCCATTATATTAGGTCACATACCTGCTTCAACTACACCACATGGAAGTATTTTTCAGGCTGTGGCCACAGCTTACCACCAAAGACCTTCAAACCAGCCTATCGCAGCTGCCGAAAGATTCCAATTCTGGCCCATGTCTATTTTGTGAGTGTTTATTCAACTCTATTCCATCTGGTTCCTCTCATACATGCACATCATTGCTTCCTATGATTGTAAGTCAACCTGATTCCATTTTCTTGGTAGAAAGAGAAGGTACAAAAATAAGAAGTAAGTCTCACCTGATTAAACCAGTGGTGCCATTTTATAGCCTCTTTTTTGATCATTAATGCCTTGTCTGAAGTACCCTGGAGATCTACCCTTCCAACTTTCACACGGTGAAAAGATTGGTTGGAGGAAACAACCCAATTAATCACATCAAATCCAGCTACTAGCCACCCACTCTGGTCAAGCGAAACTTTGTCTCCAGCGCTGTTATTAAAAGAGATACTTCTCAGAAAGTGATGGAGCTTGATGAAGAAGAACAAACAAGAATTTGGAAAAAGCTACAACTGAACATTCCCAAGTAAGGCATAATGACATTTGACAAATAATAGCAAAGGCAGTTTTGATGGTAAGGATGTTTTATGGAAGAAATGCTTAATTATAATATAATATATATTATAATATTGTATATACATAAATATTAGATGGTATTGATACTCATGTGATGCAGCTCCCTAGTTTGTCTTTGGTGAGGAATCAGGGTGATTGACACTTATTTATTCATTTATTTGGGTATTTTTACCCTGTCCAATACCTTGCATGTCTCTGTATTTAATCGTAATGCTCTCGAGACAAAATATTCTGTAATGGAGATTTCAGTGAAGGCTTTCTTAGATGCTGTTTTAGAAGGTACTGGAAGTTTGTGAACTATTAATGGCTTCCATAGCTTTTCTGCTTAGAACTTCCCACCATGTCTTTCAGTGGCTTTGTGCCTGGATGACAGCAGTTTAATATCCAGCACTGAATTATTTCATTGACTTAGATTACCTATGTTCCCAGGCAGTGGGTGCATTTGCATCCCTTGCCAACCCACTCCATCAGGAAGCCTTGGTGGGTTGGTTGTGCAAAAACTAAACCAAAAACTGAAAAGAAAAATACCACTTCCCCGATCCCCAAAAGAAACCTCTCAATAAGCCCGACAAGTCTCACTGAGGGTTGTTGGCCTCCTTCCTCCCCCATTACCCCCTTGGTTTCCCTGTAGGAATCATGGGGAATCCCATGGGGGAAACAAGACTTTTCCCCCTTCTAACTCCTTTCCCAATGGATGCTCTATTTTGAAAAGTTTCCAAAAGTAGCTGTCAAACCTGTCAAAACTCCTGTTCCCCTTGGAAAAAGGGAGGAGCACATTTGTGGTTTTCCAAACAGAAGAAGACCATGGTGGAAGAGATCTGCACATATAACCATCAGGAATCACAGACAAAGATTCTGCATCTGGTGGATCTGCTGAGAGAAGGAAAACCTTCTGCAGAAACAAGAATGCTTTGACTGAGGTGGCCTCCTTGCTTTGTGACATTCTAGAAAGACTTGAAGAACAAATGCCTCAGCCTCTTCGTGCATTAAGGGTATAACAGCCACTCATTATGAGACCATTTGGACACAGAGTGGAGACAGACCAGTGCATTTCCCTGTTCATAAATATATATATATATATATATATATATATATATATATATATATGATAATTTCTTATTAGAGATGTATATACCACCTTTGTGGAAAAGCCATCAATGTGGTGCACAGCAATGCAAAACAATAAATAGAAATGTTGAAAGAATATTAAAATAGTAAAAGCATTATAAATTAAAGAAATACACATTTAAAAAGCCAGATTGAAAAGATACCTCTTTATACCCTTTTTAAGTGTTGAGTTAGTGGGAGGCCAGTTATACTTCTTGAAGGAGCATGCTCCATCATTTGGAGGCAACACAGCCTAAGGGAGGGAGTAAACTTACTGGTGGGAGGAGATATTTCTAGACCCCTGTTCTTAGAAGCATAATGGGAGAGTGCAAAAAGGAGGAGACTATCACTGTAGGGTCTGACTGGTCTTTCTGTAACTAAACAAAGGAATTGTTCTCATGATAACCATTGGTTTTCACATTTTAGAGCAAAGAAGAAAGGGTAGCAGAAGGTTAGGATTTTGTGGATTGGTGGAAGGAACTACATGGTATGTATGAAATATAAGCTTGAGTTCAGTGGGTGTTATCATGGACCCATTTGCAATACAAAGGTTGGAGAATGCACTTGCCAAGAAATTAGACAAGACATTATCAGACAACATGATTAGACAATTAGAAAATGAACAGCATTATTGTCTTTCTTTTAAGAAAGAACATAATGGCAGTACAAAACTCCTGATTCCACCAAGATACAGTGAAGTCCAATGTCATTTTGTGGCCACACTCTGTTGGAACACTAGTCATCCATACAGACACATGCACACTATATAATTGTGGCAAGTTAAATATTATTATGTAATGATATTAATGATTTCAATAATTAATAAATATTATTAATAATTTCCCAAGCAGCAAGGGCATGGCTGATTTATGGAAGCTGAGAAGGCTGACTTAACTGTAGACTACACCTTTCATATTTTTTCCTGATGGGCAGAGATAGAAGGGTCTCCATGTGAGCATGGGAAGAGTTTAACATAAAGTTTACTAGACTGTTTGTGGGATGCTGTAACACCACACATTTGTTGATGTTCCTCCTGAGGTTGTTGAGAGCATTACCTGCCAGGAAACTGGATTCTGAAGCTTCAGACCTCCTTTACTTGCCATTGCTCTGTGTTTGAGATGTGATGAGGACATGGCATGCAAAGCATGGGCCACAGCATAGACAGCATTGTAAATACTGTAGCTGTGCCCAGTCATGCTCATTTCAAAGAGGGACCCTGGAAGGCTCTCCAGCTTCTCATCTCCTGTACAAAGAGTCTTCTCCTCTGTTTCTGGAACCTGATCTGGGAATACACAGTTAAATGCATGTTGCCAGAAACCCCTGATATATCCATCTGCTTCCACACCAGAAGGCCTTCTTCTCTGAGGAAATGCTTTGAACCTGGGTAGATCACTGGAATGAATTGTTATGGACAGAGCACCATCAAATATGCTTGCATCCCACTTCCATTGATAGGCTAATGAAGTGAGCTCCATCTGGGCAGTCATTATCCATACTACACCTCTTAGTTTAGCTGTCACTTTTTCTATACTTGAAACATATGGCAACCATCTCAAAAGGACCAGGGAGTAAGAATCTCCATAAACCACCAGTGCATTAGCTTTGCTGTCCATGATCTGATTATACATCTTTGCCCCACGTTGGGATATATCAGAAAATTCAGTGATTAATTTGAATGTGGGAATTTTTTCTATGAAGGCAACACACACATGATTCTGGGAAAACTCTGGAAACACATTTTGCACAAACTTTTCTCCATTCTCATCATCCATAATGAGCATTCCAATCCATGTCCACCGAAAGTGCAGAAGAAGAGAGAGAATCCCCCTATATTGAAAGGATTCCTGGGGGACCATCTGGTAGAAGGGAAGACCTGGGGTTTTTTCATTCATTATTGGAGCAGCGCCATATATAAGCTGGAGAGAGAGAGAGAGAGAGAGAGAGAGAGAGAGAGAGAGAGAGAATAAGTGGCATCCATGCAGCAATTTTCCATGTTCCATGATTTATATCAACATTCTTAATCAACTATTATTGTTTCTATGCAACAGTATACATGGCAGTAGTTGAAATAACAGTTGTACAATATCAATTTAGCGAGCCTGAAAGATTCCATATAGTTAGTACAACCTATGTTTGGGAAAATTTCTCAAAGAGTCCAATATGGAATAAGGGGCCATGGCACTGTAACTGTGTCAGAGTAGAGGGGCATCAAAGGATTGTCCATTTTCTTACAGTACTATTACTGCTGTCACTTTCAAGTATCTCCTGGAACTGCATGTATGTACACATAAGAGAAAGAAACAGAGAGACAGATGTAAAGCAGTCTAACATCGGAACAGTTCTGGATCTGTCTACTTGAAGAGAAGGCTGAAACAAAAAGAGTACTCTTCTTAACCTGGAAATATCCAAAATACAGAAAAATAAGGCCCATTGGATTATTTCCATAACAATCATTTCTTTATTTGAAACACACAGCAAGAAATCTGAAAGGACAAAAGAAGTGTTAGTTACATTCTGATATTCCATTCCATCCTGAACTTATACAGATTAGTATCCTACCTGTGGAGTCTTATAAATATCCAAGAGGGTTGCCACATGGAGGGAGATTTGGGAGTCGAGTCCCCCGATGACTGCTACAGGATTATTCTGCATGTCACACACATAGTTGGGGACCAATCTCTCCTGTGTGGATAAAAGTAGCATTGTGGCATGATAGGTCCGATCTGCATTTGTATAGCTGTCATAAATGTTGAAACCCAGAGTGAGATTGGGTAGTATCTGAAGGTTTTCATTTATCTCCTTTATGCCAAATATCAAGGCCAGGATATGCTGGTAGTTCTTAGGCACTATACTGAAAGAAACATTCTGCATCAGAAGAATATCCACCAAATCAAAGTATTGACATTCTGTCTTGTCCTCCTGATAGAGCCATCGTTTAAGTGAAAAGGATGGCAATTAGAAGAAGGGCCTTCTTGGTGGTGCCTTCCCCCCCCCACCCCGTAAAGGGTTTCCTAAAGAGGTCCACCTGGCACCATCACCACTTTCATTTTGGTGCCAAGCAAAAACTATCCTCTTTCACAGATACTTCAAGACCACCAGATTATAAGAACTCTCTCCACTAGAAGCAAGTTTTTCCCCCTCTCCCCTTTGTATTACAATTGTAATTGTAATAATTGCAAAGTTAACCTGCATTTTAGCATTAATGCTGTTAGCCACTTGGAGAGCCCTGCCACACTATTCAACAGCCTAAACATTTGAACATGCATACACAAACACTTAAATCTGAAGTGGCATGCACAAGAATAGCAAGGAGAATCAATATGTGTGTATGAATTCAGAACACAACATTCCCTATACACAAAAATGGCAGTAGGAATGGTGTCTGAGAGGATTAAAGAAGAGAGATAGTATAAAAAGTGGTTTTCAAAGGATAAGATAGGAGAGTCCTAGCATGCAGCTAGAATAGACATGTGAAAATATTCACATGGAACCATGGTAATTCCTTAAATGGCTGTAATGAGAAGGAGGCTTTGGACTCCAAACTTCCACCAAGTATTTCTCAAAGGGACTACAGTTATAAAGCTGGAGGGGTTTATCTGAGCCCTAAGCAGTGGTAGACATTCTAGATTCAGTCCTTGGCATCACCAATTAAAGATGGCTAGACTAGGAAAAAAGTGCTGTCTCTGGTCTGGGAGACTGGTGCCAATCCATAAAGAGAGCAAAACCAACTTCAAAATCAGGAAATTTCAAATATTTAAAAGTTGCACTCATGAAGCCTCCTATAGCAAATAACATATGGGTAAAAAGACATGTGGGTAAAAAGAGCCCTAATTTTTCGGCATTCCTAAAGCTGCTTTGTATTTCTCCATGCTCAGTTCATACACCTGCTGTTCTAACTATAGAGCTCTTTAACTGAGAGAAAATGAATGAAAAGAGAAAATGAATAATAATAATTAAAGCAATAAGAACAATGAAGACAGCACTAATAAAACAAACAATGGCTAATTCCTTACATAAGTTGTTCCACAGCTGGTGGCAGGGGCTCTTCAGTGAAGAGCATTTCAGAATTGTGGATGATAGTGGCATGAGTCACAATGCTACCAATCATGAGGTTTCCTGGCTGATGATACGAGTGAAGCAGGGAATGTGGGTGGCAGACCTTGCATTTTACAACGCCAGCCCTGCATACCCGGTGAGGAAACAGCACCAGCAAGACCACCAAAATCATCATTCTCAGTGCAAACAAAGATGTTCCTTACATAGATCGTAGCATTCTTAGTCTTTACATGATTGAAACTGTCTCATTTGACTGTACTATGGCTTGCATGAGCTGGACCATGCAGTAACCAAGACTGAAATGATGTATCCTCATCTGTTGCTTGTCCTTCTCCCTAAGAGTTAACACTGATGGATATGTATTTCACCATCCTCCACAGTCTTCTCAGTTGGATTCACAAGTGGTCACTGAAATCCCACAGAGGTTTGAAGAGCAGCAGAGTTAATTACAGTCATTTTAATTAAAAAAACAGTCACAGGTGAGCATAGATTTTCAGTTGGAGATAGCTTGCTATTAGTTTTTCCTTGTGGCTATTAGTTTGTCCTTTCTTAGTGAAATTGCACTGGGGCTTGGATGAGCATTACCAAGGAACATCCTTTTGCTAACAGGAAGTCAATTAATAAGTCAAAAATGTGATTCCCTGTGGAGTTGCTAGAGAATTATGGATACTTTGTCACATATTCTGTAGTTTAGTTTTTCACACTGATCTCAACAAAGCTGAGAGTTCCTGAGGTCACCGATCTTTGGAATTCCATCTTAAAAGTGCAAATGGCATTTTCAGGTTATGTTAGGGGAATTGCTGTTCTATGCTGCTTTCCTCCCTTGGCTGAAACTCATCACCACTTTTTTTTGCCAGTGTGGCTTCTCCAGTTCCACAACTGTGAAATTGAACAATGCTGGAGGTGTGAAGATTCACTGCTGCACACATATTCTGGTCTAAATGCACATCATCTTGATTAGCATCAGGTCCACTGATGCTTGATTAGCATCAGGGGATTAAACTTTCCCCATATCTGGTTTCTTTGATATTTCATCTGTCCCAATGGGCGGGGGGGGGGAGTGAAGAGTAAAAATAAAGATACATTTATCCCGTTTAGATCCTTCCTCCCTCCCTCCCTCCCTCCCTCCTTCCTCACACCTGGGTGTGCACGTGAACTTTCCAAAGAAAAACTGGTGTCAAGCAAAATGTTTAACCCTGTTCTCCTGAAATGCCATGGGCCCAAGCTGGACAGGTATGTACTTACACAAGAGTTAAAGTGAAGCACTGAACCTCTTGACTTTCAGGCTTGTTTAATTCCATGATTGTGGGGATGAAGAAATAACCCTGATTAGATAGGTAGGGAAGCAGGCCTTGAATGCTCCATCAAAATGCAAGGTCATCAGGGGCCTCCAGAAACAAAAGCAGTTGTGGATGAGAAGTTACTCATTCATCTTACCTACACTGAATATTGCAAGTGTCCTTCCTCAGCCTGGTGACCTCCAAATGTGTTGTATTATGACTTACATTGTGCCACTCCAGAAAGGCAGCACACTAGGAGAAGGATGGAATTGGAAAACTGTCTGTGGAGGAATTGGGGCCATCCAATGAAATGTGCGAATTCTGTGGTTTGAGTCCATGGTTGCTTTTTTGCAACCCAATGGCTTAGCATAAAGCTGGTCATTTACTTGTTTCATTTAAGTAATTAATGTTTGACTATACATAGTTTAAGTATGATTTGCCACACTTAAAGATTAAGATGTAGAGATGTCCACTACACTGGTTGGCTTTAAAAATGGGATTGCCACACCTATGAAGGATACAGCTATCAACAGCTACTTTTTATGGTGGCTATGTATTCCATCCAATAACCATCTGTATGTCTACATGATTCTGGAGAACAAGTGGGAGAGAACTACTTCATATCATCATTGTGGATTTCTCACATGTAGTTGATGACCCCTCTATGAATACATTTCTAGACCACATAGTCGTTACGTAGGTTCTATTCCACAGTAACTGCTATACCACTGCTACTACTAGAGGTTCCACATAACCATCATAACTAGTTGCCTCATCCACCATGAATGGTTGATGCAAAATACACTATTTTGAGGCAGCAGCTTTAGAAATGAACATGTCCAAGAAATGAGAAATGGAATAAAAAGAAGCAGCCATTCCAATCATACACAAGAACAAAGTCTGGTGGTGGGATGACTGAAGACTGCTCAGCTAGGGAAGAGAGCACCATGGATGGCTATAGCACCAGTAATGCAGTCTCCTCACTGATGGTACATTTGAGGTAGAGCATGTGAATCACAGATATTGCATCTGACAATGTGTGCCTGGCATACTACATAACAGGACCATGCCAGTGGCAAAACCACCATCCTCAGTACAATGGCAAAGCCCCATAGATCACCCTCTTTTCTTCTATAACACTACCATCATTTAAGAATACACTCCCCAAGCTGGTAGCCTTTTGGACTGCAACTCCCCAAATTCCCATCCAGCAGGGACATTGACTGGGCATTCTGGGTGTTGCTGTCTGATCGTGTCTGGAAGGCACAAAGTTGGAGAAGGTTGATTTAAGCCATCTGCACATAGAACTGAGAGAAAGGGTAGGTAGTAAGGAAAAAGTTTCTTCCTGAGTTTCTTAATAAAAAAGAAGTCAGAGTCACTGGAAATGAAGAGCAGAGGAAGAAATTTTGACCCAGGAAAATAGAATGGCACTTAGGAAAGGGACCTGGGTAGAATAGGACCCTTTTAACTTAGGGTAGAAGGATGTGTTTATAACTGGTTGTTTTATTACCCCTTGACTCTCATAGTGTGTGCATCTTTTGTGGTCGGTGGAAGCTTTGTGTGCATACTCATTTACATTTTAAAACTCACTCTTCTTAATGAGATGATTTCCAATCAAATTGAAATTGTATTATTAGAAACTTTGTGGTCACTTTTTTGGGGTGGTGATAGAATGTGCTACCTGCTATCCATGTAATGCCCAACCTCCACTGGAGATATTGGAGACCTAGAGATACTTGACCCAAAAGAGTGAAAGAAATAAAAATAATCAAAGGTTTCCTCTTGCTGGCAACAGAAAAGGCCACTAAAGGAAATGAGCAAAGAGGTGTGTCAGCACTTTCCTGGTTTTCCTTCCACCCATGAAACAGGACACTGCCAGTCCATGGCAGCACCATAGCAATTAAATGAGACAACAGACTATACTGAGGTATAGTGAAGGATAAAATGGCACGCAGTGATGACAAGATGGTGAGCACGATATGCAGAGTTGACCACAGTTTGTTGTGGATGACTGATGATAACTTTGGGCCACTGACTTCTCTTGTTTTTAGAAGAACCTTGTCCAACCTTGTAGCCTTTAAATGAGCTGGGGGATGAGGTGAATGATTCCATCATTGGCAACTAGCATGGTTGCTGGCACCCTGGATTTAGAGTTATGGGGGGCAGGGTAAAGCTGGCACAATGGGGGTTTTAGGCATTTCCTCCTTTCTCATCCTCTATCAGTCATCTAGCCAACATCCCAGGAGGGACCATAGTTGAGTATTGAGGAGAGCAGGATGACAGATGCAGAAAGTGGTCATTATTCCATTCCATATGCCTGTCCATGTCAGCAGGGAGGATTGCTTATGGGCAACTCCACTCTCACAGCATCTACAGGGCACAGGGAACCAGAAGTAGCTGTCAAGAAGGGAAGACCCACTTCTTGCTAAGCTTCCAGTCCCAAAGTGAAGTAGCTCTTCCTTCCTCACTACTCAGCTATGTCATGCTGATACTGAGCAGCAGAGGGTGAGAAAGAGTGACATCAAACTGAGCTTCTAGGACAAGGTAGTCCTTTCTTCCTTGTTGCTCAGCATGAGGAAGCCCATATTCCTTTCCTGCTGCTTAGGTGCTGCTCAGTACTGAACCTCAATGGTGAAGTTCTCACTAGTCAGGTTGCAGGGAGGGATCCGGGCTGTCTGCACTGCATATGTGCAAGACTAACACCACTTTATGTTTCCTCTTGGCCTGATTGCCTGAGCAGACCTGGAAAAGGAGGAGATACAGGGCAACCAGACACGCTTGGCCAGACTAGCAACACTTCATTGATTTTGCCCAGGGAGTCTTGTATTTTAGCTCAGCTTGCTGTTCAGGTTTGAATTGCATGCTAAGACATGGGGAGTTTCCTAAACTCCAGGGTGGTCTATAAACCACTGCAAAGGAAAAAGGAAGGCACACTCAATGTGAGTCTTGCATACCTGCTGAAGAAACAGCAATGACAAGGCATTAAAATTACCAAAGTCCATGAAATATTACTTCTACAGAGGTACATTTAGGGTGTTAATTTCCATTGCAAAGGGAAAGAATTTGACCAACACTGATGACAAAAAATGGATGAGCAGCAAGGATGTATAAGCAGCTGATCTTTGCCAAGGACATCACTACTGAGTTTTTTAGGGTTAGATAATACAATATAACTTCATAGTAACTTAAGAAGCACACAGGCATTCTTCAGCATTTTCTTCTTATTAACTGTTCCCTGCTGTTCAGGTCAGGTCTCAGCACAATAATGTAGTATTTGGGGAGGAAGATACAACACAGCAATCCTGCACTGGAAGCTAAGATGGAGAAGATCTCCACAGCCACCATGGATTTCCCTTTGCTGCTGAGGTAAGAAGGAACAAAAGAGAGCCAAACACTGCAAAAGACCAGCATGCTGAACGTGATGAACTTGGCTTCATTGAAGTAGCCAGGCAGCTTCCTGGACAGGAAGGCCACCATGAAACTGATGGTTGCAAGAAGGCCCATGTAGCCCAAGGCACAGTAAAACATCATCACTGAGCCCTCATTACATTCCAGTATGATTTCTTCAGCCATGGAGAACATGTCAACATCTGGGAAAGGGGGTGAGGCTTCCAGCCACACACTACAGATGCCTGCTTGGATGAGGGAGCAGAAAAGAACAATGACACCAGCCTTCTCCTTTCCCAACCACTTCTTCATCCCAGATCCTGGCTGAGTAGCCATGAAAGCCAGAACGACTAAGAGGGTTTTAGCCAGTACAGAAGAAACTGCCACTGAGAAGATGATAGCAAACGCAGTTTGTCGGAGGAGGCAGGTGAGCTTCTGAGGCTCACCGATGAAAAGCAATGCAGAAAGGAAGCAGAGCAGGAGGGAGCTGAGCAGAGTGTAGGTGAGCTTCTGGTTGTTGGCTTTGACCATGGGAGTCCTGTGGTTCTTCATGAACACGGCTAGCACCAGAGCTGTGATAAAAGTGAAGGCAAGAGCAAGGAGGGCTAAAGTGAGCCCCAAAGCTTCTTCATAGGACAAGAAGGTTGTGGTCTTTGGAAGACAGAAATCCTGATTCTTGCTTGGATACTCTGTATCTGAGCATGGATTGCAATCGTTCATATCTAGAAGGGAAAGGGAAAGAGATGGTGTTGATCTGACAAAAAGACAGGCAACCCAAAAGAAAGAATTCAATATCATAAATCTTGGCATCAAAGTAAATCCTGACTCTCTGAATACAGAAGTGAAGCACCTGTCAGTCTCAGGCTCTGGACTGAACTCTGTTTGGCCTACTCTTGGTGTTTAAGCAATGCCAAGCAGGGCAATCTTTGGATTACAACAATGATCCTTCCCATGATGCAGAAATTTCCCCAAACCCTGGAAGTTAAATGTGCCTACTTTGTGGTCACTGCACTTGGGATATTCCTCCTGCCAGCCAGATTGAAAGATGGGGAAGCAGGGCTGCCTCCTCTCATTGCTACTGCCAGTTGATTCTCACTGCACTCCTCCCCCCAGTTCAGTGCTCTTCTCTCAACATGGAACAGCTGATCTTTAGGGCGGGTGAGAGCAGCAATGTTCCACTGTTGCCAAGTGGATCTATGATTCTATCCTTGATCCCATGATGTGTCGAGATCCGGCTCGACAATCGGTGCAAGAGAGTTCTTGTGATCCCGGATCCCCGTCCTCCATAATTGCTGTTTGCAGAACAGCGGCTAGGGAAGTTACAACTGGCACCTTATCTGATTCCATATCGTCGGGCGGTTTTGATGGCGGAAGGAAGTGGTGCCTCTCATTTTGAGGAGGAGGAGGGGCTCTAGGAATCGGAGCTGGCGCGGGCAGCAAGATTTTTGGCAAGTGAGCAAGTGAGGCAGTCCCAGCTTCCAGTTGCTGATTGAATAATATATTAGTCGGCGTTAGTCCTTTAAGACAAGCCTGGACTTTACACCATGTGGATAAAATCCTGGAAGTCATTCTGGGATGATCCTGAAAGCAGCTGCCAATTTTACACCAATCCTCAAGTTTCATCGTGCCTGACTTTGACATCCAAGGGCAAATATCATGAATTGCTTTAATTAATGCTTCGACGTCACTTTCAGTGACAGAATGTCCCTCTTTAGTAAGTAAAAAATGAATGTCTCGTTTAAAAGCCTGTTGCTCAGTAGACAAAGAAGAGCCCATTGTGTTCTAACTTGACCAATCACACTCACCCGGGATCCGAAGATGCGTGGCGCCTGTAACCCGTGCCGGGCGTGGGGAGGTGACGACCGCGGGAACCGCCAGCTAGCAGCCGGGTTGAATCAAGGCAAACCGCTTGCCTTACAAAGTTGCTTCACTGGGAACCGCCAGCTTGCAGCTGAAGGTTGAAATCAAGGCAAACCCTTTGCCTGACAAAGTTGCAAAATTGCCTGACAAAGTTGCAAAATTGCCTCACACGGGGCACCAGCTTGTCGAGATCCGGCTCGACAATTGGTGTGAGAGAGTTCAGAGAGAGAAATAAAACACTGCAGACAAAGAATAAGTTTTAAAGCATGCTTGGTTGGTTGTTCGGGAGAACAAAGAAGATCTTCGCAGAAAATTCCACTGCGTCAACACAAGCAGCCCTTTTTATTATTTCACAGATTGATACATTTATACTTGCGTAATCCAATAGCCATCGAGTAAAGCAGTGAACACCCTAGTTGATTGTGCGCAAGCGCAGGATTCACAAAGGCTTATTGATTGCTTATGCGCAGGCGCGGGTAACAGGAAGCGTACTTATTGCTATATATGGTCACAAGCCTTATATGGTTACACAGGTGAAGTACAATGCTATTAGCTGAGTAAGTTGCAATACTGCTGGCTGGTAAATCACATTACTATTGGCTGAGCGTAGCGTGCCTAGCTACAGCATGAATGCGGAGAGGCAGGGGTGAATTCCCACAATGATGTGTTGTGTTTCCAGATTCAGACAAAACAACAAGCTATTCTGATACCAAGAAGCCATAGAATAGGCCACTGTTGTGGTTTGTGTTTTCTACTAAACCATGAACTCCATGATTGAATTTGGATGAAAAATCGAATGGACTTGTGTAAGGAAGCCACCATTGCAAGCCCACCCATCCTATATTTGATTTTATCTATCTGATGCATTTATATGATGCCCAATAGTCATTGCTTTCTGAGTTAGTTTAAAACTGTAGTGTCAAATAAAAATAATGTCCAAAGAAAAACCCCCTGAGCAACACAAAGGTTTAACACACAGCCACACATTTAAAAGGAGAGAGACTGAACAGGTAAAATATCCTGGAAAGCAATATCTGCACCTGGTGCTGGAAAGAGCACAATCTGGGTGCCAGGCAAGCTCTTTGGGAAGTTCATTCCACAAGTGTGGTGGCTCAGAGAAATCCCTCTTCAGGAGCCACCTGCCTCCAACTTCATCCCTCACAAAACTTTCGGAAACCATCTGAACCATTGAAGAACAGTCACCCCAATCTAGAAAACAGCCACTTTTAGTATCTATCCAATGAATGCATATCTCCTACCCTCCTCTCTTGAGATCTTCCCAGCTGGACATGGAATGCAATCATAGCAGCAATATGGCTCCCCCTCTTTCACTTTCTTGCTAGAGCCTGGACGGCAACTCTCAGTGCATACAGAAAGTGGTTGTGTCTAATATGTAAATTAAAAAGCAGGATAAATATATGGACAGAAATCATCTTTGAATATGGAAGATTCTCAAGCCAACAGATGAGTTACAAAACTGACTTGGCAATTCAGGAATGTGCAAATCTTAATTTACTACCATGTATTGATTGTTTTTTTCTTTGGTGGTGAATGCCTGCAGAGATCCCAATTTGGGAGGAAGAAATACAGCAAATGATAGAATAGTTTGCTGGATGAGATGTCACTTCAAGGAGCTGCATTTCTTGACAACATATCAGGTATTATCTTAGAAGCATGCCCTACACTGCTTCCAAACCTATTAATTTCAAGAGGGAAAGGATCACTAAAAACCAGTAACATCATCATCGCAGATGTGCTTCAGTAGCATCCTTTGAACCCAGAGCTCATATACTACTGAAAACAGAGATCTGGAATTAAGTGGGAAACTTTGGGAACAGCAAGGTCATGAGAATGACTATCGAAATATTTGATTTCATTTGTGATTCAGGCTGCAAGTGCACCAGAGAATGGACTGAAGGACATGACAGAAGCCCACTATGCTGAGGGACCGAATTACATCATTGTCAATGGAGATATAATCCCAAAGTGGACAGAGACAAGAGCTGGATGGGGAAGAATAGACTTACTCCCAAGTGGTGATAGAACTTTACATGAAGGATTGAAACGGTATATATCAAATACCTTGGATTAAGGACAATGGGCAAAGAAATCCTGATTTAAAACCTTTGTATCATTTGCTTATCACCATAGTAATTACTAAATAGGACCTAACTTTTTATACATAAGTAGCATGGATCCAATATAATAGCATCTATTAAATAGTAACAGGGAAACGGGTGCCATAAGTGAAATGGAAAGGCAGCCTGCAAGGAGGCATGGTGGATGCTCCCAGCTCTCAATTACAAGGCTGAGAAGGCCACATGCAAAATAATTCTGGTGATGGCAGCCTTGGAATATGGGCCTTCAGCACAAAAACAGTACCTTCTTTAAAGCTGCCTGTTGCTGAAACACTCCTAAAAGGAGTACCTTGGGGACACTCTCCTTCTTGAGCATCCTTGGATACCTTCCTTAAGGCTTCCAGACACAAATGTCACAGCCTATTCCAACTTGGAAGATGAGGGCAGAGTATCATAAGAACATTATCAAGGGAAATGGGGCAGGGGAGGGGCTTTCAGGAAGACCGGAGGTGACCTTCCTCCCCTTTCCTCCCATCCTAGCATGTCATTCAGAAAGTTATATGGTAGAACCCGCCAAGTCCTATTGTAAGAGAGTTTGGTTGATGTCTATGGCTGGTCTTATAAGCAGGTTCTGGCTGTTCTATGTCCCACTAAATATTAAACAACACAACTGACAATAGGCACAATGGCATTAGACAGACATTTACAGAAACATGGGGCTGTATTTTCATGGTTACAGTTTAGCTGAGTATAAAATATGCAGGCTGTGATATTCCACGCAGTAAAAAGACAGAAATTATCTGTATCAAAATTACTTTTAGCAGTTTTGATTTAACAATATAACCAAGAATGCCCTCCTCATGGATATCCTCTCCCTTTCATATCTTCCCTTCACCCAATATGCTTCTTTCAAAGCAAAATCAGTTTTGCATAATGCTGTGTTGGATTTTCCTGAAAGTAACACACCAGGAACAAAGATTAGTGCTTACTCCAAGGATGTGTCCATAGGCTCCTACCTGATTAAACCAATGGTGCCATGTGATGGTGTCCTCATCAATGGTGAGTGCTGTGCCAAGAAAAGCCTGAAGATCAACCTTTCCAACTTTTACAGGGAGAAAGGTTTCATTGGAAAAGAACATCCAATTGATAACATCAAATCCAGCTACCACCTCCCCTTTCTCATTGAAGGAAATCCTGTTCTGAGCAGTTATTAAATGAGACTCCTCTGAGAAACTGATGGAGCTAGATTGAAAATGGAATTAAGAAGGTTAAAAAGATGGCAGTTTAGTATACAAAATTAAGGTATAGTATCAGGGCGAGAATAAATAACCATTAATGATTTCCAGGAGTGAGAAGAAGGATGAAGAAATGCAACTCATTTTTTTTAATAGGAGTCATCTTTATGCTTTCTTTTTTTTTGGGGAAGGGGCACTGTGAAAAAGTCAAGAAAGCTTAAAATACTTCTCCCATTTCAACTTTTTCCCCACAGGAACCCTCTAAAGCCTGTTATATGGAAAGTACATGATTCACTCCAATTCACAGAGTAAGCTTAGTGGCAGGCCGCACTTAGCCACTTTAATCTCCCCAGTCCAACACTCAGAAGACGAAAGCAGGGGAAGGTGACCAAAATTGGAGTACAGTTTGAGGAAGAGACATTTGGAATATAATTTGAGGTTAAATATATGAGGGCTCTTGTCACAGCAACAGATATGGGGGTGTCACATCTGAGTACTTGGAGAACATTACCTGCCATGACTCTTCATTCCTAAACTTCTGTCCTTTAGTATCCATGATTGCCCTGTCTTTGACTTCAGATGAGGACCTGGCATGGATGGCATAGGCCACAGCGTAGACTGCACTGTAGATGCTGTAGCAGTGGCCAGTCATGCTCATCTCGAAGAAAGCTCCAGGAAGGGTCTCCAGTCTTTCCTTCCCAGTGCAGATCTCCTCTTCCTCATCCTCTGCTACTGCACTTGGGAAAAGACAGCCAAAAGCTTGTTCCCAAAAGATCCTAAGAAAATCATCTCCTTTTGTGCTGATTGGATTTCTGCTCTCCTCAAATGAATGGAATTCTGGTAGATCATCTGAGCGAATCCTCAAAGACAGAGCACCATGGAATATTCCTGTTGCCCAGTTCCTTTGATAGACACATGCATTGAACTCCATCTGGGCTGAGGCTATCCACACTTTGCCTTTTAGTTTGCTTGTCCTCTTCTCCACTTCTGATATATATGTCAGCCATCTAAATAGTGCAAAAGAATATGACTCTCCATGGGCCACCACTACATTGGCTTTGCTGTCCACTAATTTATAATATATTTTTCCCCCTGCTCTAGAATGTCATTAAGTTTAGTGATGTAGGTGAGTGGGGGGATTCTTTCTATGAATTCAAAACAGACACCTCTTTTGGAAAACATTGGAAAGACAGTTTGCAAGAATCTTTCTCCATTGTCATTATCCATAAAAACAAGTCCAATCCAGTTCCAGCTGAAATGTAGGAGCAAAGACAGAATCCCTTTATACTGCAGAGTTTCATGAGGAACCATCTGATAGAAGGGAAGTCCTGGGGTCTTATCATTCATGACTGGAGCTACACCATATATGAGCTATGGAGAAGTTGAAGAAATGTCAGCAATACAACATTAATGATTGGAATAAGTTCAGTCCAAACCACATGCATGCTGTCAGCAATTCTCAGCAAAACACGGAAAGACTTGTCAATGTTGAGCTTTCCAAACTAATGCCAAGTCTCTGGCAATCAGTAGTCCTCAACATGTGTTTGAGGAAAATTCTCACAGTTTCCAGAAATCATGGCTTGTTGAGAGTTGGGGTGCAGCACATCTACCATGGTTTCATGGTCAGAAAGCTTGTTCTCCCTATTGTCCCTTCTTTAAGAAGTGTTGAAGTAGTCATGAATGTGCATGCTAACCAGGTATTCCATTGCACACAAGTCTAATAAAAATAATGATGATGATTTTGCATATCAAACTGTTATCCCAGTTTCACATGACATCTGACTTAAGACCAATAAAAAATCCACTGGAACTCCATGGAAAGGGATAATCAACTTTTCTCCCAAAAGCTTAAAAGCTCATCAAATCAATTGAAGCATCAACCCACACAATGAGGTTTCTGTTTCCTAGTTTGACAGGAATACAGAGGCAGACAAACTGAGTCTATCAGTTCAGGCCAATACAGGAGAATTTGGCTTGTTTGCCCTGTGCAGAAACTTGCATCTGAACAAGACAGGCTATACATTTTGATCTTTTGTCTGTCATGACTATGAGTATGTCAGTTTGAACCCCTTGCATGTTATGCCAAATCAATATTTCAAATAATCACTTTTTTGGTTATGTTGCTAACTGTTTAAAGTCAAAATATACTTCCTGGACCACTATATACCTCAGAAAGTGCTGTAATTTAGATGATGCAATCATAAAGGACATTGACAGACGGACATCTTTTACAGCACATCTAGGAGAAAAGGTGAAAATATTTAAAATAAATGTAATGTTTTAAATGGTGCATGTTTTGTTCTATTTCTTTCTTTCTACCTGACCAGCATTTCTAGAATTTTATTTTTTTAAATAAATCTTCATGGTTTTTTACCCTAGAATGAATGGTTGACTAGCACTAAATTGCAAATAATAATAATAATAATAATAATAATAATAATAATAATAATAATAATAATTCTATTTTTGGTTATTTAATTGTCATAATTTACGGTGTAGTTTGATTACAGTGGGTAAAACACAATGCAATAGTAACCATGATAGTAAGATAAATGATGAATACTAGTGATGATTAAAAATGCAAGTGTTTAGTACGTATTTTTCAATATCTGAAGTTTGAATGATAGTCTAAATCAAAATATGTACTGATTCTGGCAGAAGCTGGCTATACAGGGTTTGAGCAGCAACAGCAGCATGAGGAGAGGACAATGCAATCTCCCATTATGTAAATTGAATAAGAAAAAGGTGAGCAATAACTCATCTGCTTGATTTCACTGGAACAATTTGTCAGACAGGATCTGGGAACTACCAAGGAAGTGTGATTGTGTATCTGAATCCCAATCTCTCACACAGAGAAAGGGACAGGTTTCCTACCTGAGGAATCTTGTAGATATCCAAGATATTTGCCATATTGAGAGAAACTTCAGAGTCCAGTGCCCCAACGACTGCTATTAGATTATTGTGGATGCCGCATGCATAGTTGGGGACCAATCTCTCCTGCACTGACAGAATTCGCAGGGTGGCCTGACAGGTTCTCCTTGCATTGTTGTAGCTGTCATAGATACGGAAGCCCAAAGTGCGGTTGGGCAGTATGTGAGGGCTCTCACTGATCTCCTTTACTGCAAATGTCAAGGCAAGGAGATGCTGGTAATTCTTAGGGATCATGCTGAAAGGAGAGGTAACACCTGAGGCTCAGAGAGGAAGTCACCACCTATGAAGCAAAGGTATACATGCATGGCCAGAAAGAAAGTGCTTTGAGTTTGGGCACTAGGCTGCAAATGAGCAAGTCACAGAATGAAAGTTAACATGGACAGTGCAGAGTTACACGAATATACACAGTAGGAAGCAAACTGCTTTGAATTTGATGTGGTTCAATCACTGGGAACAGGTGGTGAGGCTGCATACATCTGTCTACATTAGAAAGAATGGACTGCAGGCAAGAGAAATTATGTGGAAAATGTGTCAACCTGAGGAAGCTGCCCTAGGGGAAATTGCATTACAAAAGAAATGCATCATCTTTGCATGTGTGTTTTTTTCCATGCCTGCATTCATGTGCCGTCTGATACTGTGTTAATTGGAGGGAATTAATGTATAATGTATGTGGTAAAAATGACAGGGATTGGGCATAGAGTCATTTATGGGTCTTTTTTCCTGGGGTGTACATGTACGGTTGTACCTTCAGTCACAGTTTTGAGGCAAGAGTTCTGGGACTGATCATTGTTGTGGCAGATGAAGAGGAAATAAAAACAACCAGCAATTCTGTCCATACATTAGTTCTTTAGGTGAGTCTGCTGAGGGTTCTTCAGTGAAGGTTATTCCACTGGACATGAAGAAACCATGAAAAGCAATGCTAGCAAAAAGGATGTCTCCCGACTGATAGACCTGTAGTGGGAAGGGCGGCTCCCAGACTCTGCATCTGAGAATGTCTGCCAGGCACACACTTTGGGAAAACAGTGCCAGAAGCAAAACCTCAAGCAGCAACATTCTCAATGCAATGCCAACTTTAACACCAATGCCTAGACTTCCCTGTTTTCATGGACAAAACTGCAGTCTTTAAAGCATTCTGCCATGGATTCCCCTTTTCTAAGGGTAGTCTTGTCTGCTGACAGCTCTGCCTGCAGGTAGAGTAGTATCTAAGATAATACCAAATGCATCTCACTTTTTCCTAGTTCCTTTCCCATCTCTCCCTTGTTCTAGGCATATTTATGATAGCCCTTGCTGCTTTTTGTTTAATGTGATCTGTGGCCATTTGGAACTCTAGAGGGCTTTCATGGAGCAGTAGGAATAATTTCTGCCCTTTGGAAAATTAAAATCCAAGTTAATAACCAGTTCAAAGTTACAATTCCCCTGTTGAATTGCAGTGGAGGGAGTGTGGTATGTTTGTTGCATTCAAACATGGGGCATTTGAAATGCCTCAGTGAAAAAGCAGATCTAACTTCCAAGCTGGGGCATCTTGCGTGTGCAGGATAGTATGGAAATCAATCTTGTGTGTCATGTGTACACAGGAAAAATGGTTAAGCATTGGGGGAGGTTAAAGGTTTAGTTCCAATATTAGTAGGTAGGTAGATAGTTCATTGTATTACACATTTACAAATCCAGAAGATACAATTCAAGAAAAGAGAGCTTTAAATCTTCTTTGACAAGTTAATTAAAACTGAAAGAGTTAAAAAGGGATAAAAACTAATACTGGACTGGTCATGTGCAAGGAAGCAACCCCTTCGAAAACTCCCTAGATCTTATCTTCTTAGCTGCAAAGCCAAAGACAAAAACTGTATGACGCATGTGCATCAAGGTCTGAAAAAAGAAATACTATTTTCTCAAAATCAGACCCTTCATTTATAGCAGATAAGAAATCCATCAAAATTTTTCTCCCAGCTCTTTATATATAGAGAGCAATAAATAATGCATTGAGGAAGGTTCTCCTCTTCAAGGGATCCACAGATACAGGTGTGGTGCTCCATTGGAACTGGGAATATCAGGCAAACAGGAGAGCTGTATGCATGGTTTGAAAGTGCAGAGCTAAAGAATTGCCCTAAGTTTATAATTATAGGTGTTGACTAAACAGTTAGATCTAAAATGATCATACTGGAATAGTTTATAGCAAGGGGATATTTTGGACTTTAAAATTCATGATCAATCTTCCAGGATTTCTGAATAGTAGATCCAATTCCTGAGGTGAGAGTTTTCAGCTGCAACCCCTAGAAGATCATCAGGGATACAGTATTGTGGATTATGGAATTTAAAGAACTCAAATGTTTGGAACCTTTTGATAATAGATTAAATTTTTTGTGACCTAAAGAATTGGGAAAAAAGACCTGTTCCTATTCCAATGTTTGAGAATGCCTGTGTGCTCAGGTCCTAGGAGAAGGAAGCCTTGTTTCAGCTCTCAATAGGACAACTGAGGTGTCCCTTGGGAGAGCAAGGATACACCTTAGAAAGTGATTTTGGATTATCTGCAGGATAGATTGAATATCCTCATTCCACCCCCAGACTTTATCTCCATATAGGAGGTGAGGAATGATCTTGCTTTCCAATAGCATCATTGTTGGGTCTATCAGGCATTCACCTAGGATTCTTAGTGCTGTAAATGTGAGCATTACCAGATGGCAGTTGCAGTTCAAAATATCCTTGAAAGTAACTCCCAGGTAATTAAAGGAACAACATTGTTTAAGTGAGTTACCAAGGTTGCTTCAAGATGAAATTCTAGGCTTTTTCCTGCAAAATATTACTTTAGTCTTTGCTGATTTATGGTAATATCTTCTTCCTTGAAGTATTGCTCTAGTTGCTGTAAAAACTTTCTTAGGTCAATTTTGGTTGAGAAATCATTGCAATGTTATCAGCATATAACAAAATTGATTTTTTGTGCTGATCCAATGATGGAGTTGTAAATTGTGCTCCTGGTAAACTCTCTGTGGTAAATTCTCAGCTCCTGCTTGGATGAGCTAAAGGTGAATCTGCGGGTTTAATGAGTAGGAATTTTCATATTTATTTTCTAAAACTTGATTAAATTACATAGTAAAAAAAGTAATCAAATTAGGTACATAAAATACACAATAAATAAAAAAATGGAGAAAAACCTACAATTAAAATTATGCTAAACTAAAGCAAAAACAGTGCATCCAGCACCAAGACCATTGGATACATGTAAAATTGTTAACTCTTTCAGGATCCACTGTCTCCCTTCCAAAATTGCTGTGAAACTCATGGAGGTTCAGAATCTTTCCCTTTTGTTAATACATAATAAGCAGTCCCCCAAAATCAACAATAATATGCTTATGTGTCATGTCTTTTTTACTTTAATATCACAGGTTAATTTATCCCAACCTTCTCTGTATCAATCACTCAACTGAGACACATATTCTACTTTCCAATTCTTTGCTATCATTCATCTAAAAGCTGTTAAGAAATTTGCTATTAGTTTTTTTTTATATTCCCTTGCTCTCTATGATATATTAACAATAATGCAAATCCAGGTCTTGCTTCAATAGTTAAAGTCAGCATTATACTAATTTTTTCAAAAACCTCTTTCCTTAATTTCTTTCTGCAGATTTCTATGGAAATATGCAGGGAACATTTATCCCTTCTGTGGTCACATCTCAACCTGAAATAGAATTTTTACTATCCATTTAATTCAATTTTACCAGGGTTGGGTACCACTTTCATGCTAGTTTATGCAAAATTTACTTTATTTGTCCTGACATACATTTTCATATTTGCTTATCCCACTTTCCCCACTCTTCATTACTTATATTCTTTCCTAAATCTGTTTCCCATGGCACTTTAAAAGGATCATATTTTGCTTATTATCCTGGTCATGTGTACATTGTCTTGTTTTTCCTTTTCCACTATCATGTCTTCCAATTTAGTATAATCTCCATATCCAGCTTTTTTCTTGGACTCCTTAACCAATTTTTAAACCAACATTCTTATTGCGTCACATTAAACCAAATGATTTTCCCCCTTCTAATGCCACCTTTCTCTTTTTCTTATTATTCATTTTCTCTAATTAATGTTTCACTTAATCATGTGATTGTTCTGCAATATTTTTGCCAAAATTTCTCTCAAATTTACTGCAAATCCTTCTAATTCCATAACTGGATATAAGGGGAAACTGGTGGCATAGTATTTTTTAAAATTTTATTATTATTTCTATTAATTACAATTACATAGGGAAAAATAGAGATCAAAGGAAAAACAAAAACAGAACAAACTAAAGTGAAAAAAACAAAGTTGCCAAGGGAATTACAATCAACAGAACCCAAATATTGCAGCCCCCAGAACCAACTCTCCTTATATCTTCCCACGCTCTGTGAGAGTTTGCAAAAAACAAAAAACAATCAGTATTCTATACATCAACAGGTTTTCTAAGCAATTCAAATTCTAATGCTTTCCTTTTTTCCTTCCAAACTTCCCTGAACTTCCATTAATCATGCTAAGCACAATAAAACAATGACAATTTAACTTGTCATTAAATTCCACTAATGGTCTTCTGTTTACATAATTGGATATCTTCGTCTTCACTGAATATTCAGTTAATATATTTCTCCATTCTTCAGTGTTTGCGGGCTCCAGATATTTCCATTTCAAAGCTATTGTGATTCTTGCTGCTGTAATCATATACATGAATAACTCTGACTTTTTTTTTAAAGGACTCTGGAAAGATATTCAAAAGTGTGTTCTTTGGTCTCAAACTGAATTTTAAGGATTGTATATTCTATAGGATTGCACTGTGGCATGGTATTTTTTAAACAACTCTTTTTTCTACATGTTTCTTCTCCAATTCTCTTACATTCCTTTCCAAATTGGCCATGAACTTCATTCTCTTTGTTTCTCTATTATATGCCTCTTCAATAGATTCTCCCCTTGAAACAGCCTTCATTGTATCCCAAAATAGACTTCCTTCACTGCTGTCCCCATCATTAATTTCCCAAAATTCATTCAGTTTAACAAACATTTTATCTATATATATTCATTTTGCTTAATTTCCTCTCTTTATATTTATCATATTTACTTCAATTCCATAAGATAAAATTTCATTCAAAATTCCAGCAATGGAAAACTCTCTAGACTACAAATGATAGTGAAGGACAGGCATGTGTTCTTCAGCATTTTCTTCTTATTAACTGTTCCCTGCTGTTCAGGTCAGGTCTCAGCACAATAATGTAGCATTTGGGGAGGAAGATACAACACAGCAATCCTGTGCTGGAAGCTAAGATGGAGAAGATCTCCACAGCCACCATGGATTTCCCTTTGGTGCTGAGGTAAGAAGGAAGAGAGAGCCAAACACTGCAAAAGAGGAGGAGGGAGCATTGGGCCTTGGTTTTCTTTGGCAATTTTTAATGATGTTACATTCGAGCAAGAATGGGTGACCTCAATGAGATTGCAAAATATTACAATCTTTTATTTTATTTTTTATCTTTAAGGAGTGGTTTGATTGCATTGTGTAACACACAATGGAAAAGGAAATTTTAAAAGTCACGGAACTTGTACCATAGTAATCATGCTAGCAAGATTAATAATGGCTCACAAAAGCCAGAAAACTCAAGTGCTTGAAACATGTTTTTAGTCATCTTAAGAGTGAATGCCAGTCCAAACAGAAATATGCATTCATTCCGGCAGAAGTTTGCTATTAATGCTTTGAGAAGAAACTCCAGCAAGAAAGAATCATGTTAACTTCCACTAGGTATGTTTGGTAAAGGAAAGAAGAATAACTCCTCTGGTTGATTTCACTGGAAACATTTCTCAGGCAGAAGCTGGGAACAACAAAGGAAGTGTGGGAGTGCAGTTAGTTCCAACCACTTAGATACAGAAAGCAACAGGATTCCTACCTGTGGTATCTTATAGATATCCAAGATATTTGCCACATTGAGAGAGATTTGGGAGTCCAATGACCCAGTGACTGAGATTAGATTATTGCGAATGCCACATGCATAGTTGGGGCCAATCTCACCTGCACTGACAGAAGTCTCAGAGTGGCCTGGCATGTTCTCTTAGCATTGTCGTAGCTGTCATAGACACAGAACCCTAAAGTGAGATTGGGCAGTATGTGAGGGCTCTCATTGATCTCTTGCACTGCAAATGCCAAGGCCAGGAGATGCTGGTATTTCTTGGGGATCACGCTGAAAGGAGAGGCGACACCTGAGCTTCAGAGTAGAAGTCAGCACCTACAAAGCAAAGCTGTACATTCATGGCTAGAAAGAGTGTGCCTTCAGTTTGGGGACCAGGCTGAAAAAGAATGTGTCATATAACAAATTAAAAAAATAATGAACCATCTTTGACTTTCTGCCTGGGTGTGCTATGACTATGTAAGCATTCATAAGCAGCCTGATTATTTGGTAGTTGGGGGGAGTGAATTCATGACTGACATGAAATGGACTTAAAGACCTTAATGGATCCCTTCCCTCAGGGACATGCATGAAAGGTTTCCGTTTTAGCTAATTTTTAAGCAAGAGCTTGTGAATGATCATGACTTCGACAGATGAATAAGAAACTAAAACAAATATCATTTCAATGCTTACATATGTTCTTTCATTGAATCTGGTGGGGGTCCTTCAGTGAAGGTTATTGATCTGGATCTGAAGAAACCATGCAAAGTGATGCTGCCAATAAGGATATTCCACACAGATAGGCCTGCAGTGGGAAGGGTGGCTCCCACATGCTGCCTTTGGGAATACCTGTGAGGCACCCATTTTGGGAAAAAAGTGCCAGAAACAAGACCTCCAAGAGCACCATTCTCAGCACAAGGCAAGCTTTTTTCTAGACATCCAGACTTCCTTGTTTTCTTTGACAACACTTGTGTCATTGAAACACTGTGGGATGGAATCCTCTTCTCTAACTGTAGTTTTTTCTTATGACAGCTTGGTCAGCTCATATGGAAGCATCCTACATTGTAGCACACACACCTGAAGTATTCCGAGTCTCGTTCTCATTTCTGCCTTGTTCAAGGAATATTTATAACAGCCTTCACTGTTATCTGTTTGCTTTGACCTGTGGCCATTTGGAACTCCATTGGGGATTTTTCCAGCAGCAGAATTAATTGCTGCCCTTTTGACAATTGTACTGCAGGTTGACTACTGGTTCAAACTTGCAATTCCCCTGTTGAATTGCTGGGGGGACAAATATGGTTCTTGCATCTAAACATGGGGGAATTAATGCTTGGAACATCTCAATGAAAGGGCATTTGTGGTATTGCAGCACACACACCTTCTGCAGGATAATATGGAAATTAGTTTGGTTTGTTATGTGCACACAGAGATATTGGACAGTTCAAGACAACAGATAAAGCACTGAGAGGGTAAAAGTTTGGTTCCAATGTATTGGTCGGGCATTTTTCCTCACAGGGCAGATTTTATACAGCCTTCCTATAGGAAGCAAACCTATGTGATGTACTCTTGTAATTCCATTCATGATCTCCCTAGGACTTTTTGGACCATTTTCTTTCCATTCTGCATGATGTGCAGTAGATAATTAGGTTTTGGGTATTTTTTGAAGCATATTTAACCAAAGGAATCTTTGGGTGTTCCCATATTTTCATCCTATCTCTTCCTATCGGTTCTCACAATTTTAATTGTTTTTCAGTGAAATGGGGTTTCTTGCAAGTCATCTCACTACTCATTGCCTTAGACAAGGGTCTGGCCTCCTTATTGGGGTCCAGACTGGGGAAAATATAAGAGAGCCCATGTTAGTCCCCCATATTCCAGCTCTCCCCTAACATTCAATGAGGCTCAAAGCAACCCACTTTGGGTTACGGTGGATAATCTAGAGGTGATTTCACACTACTGGACTGGTTTTTAGCAGTCTAATTGGTAGGGAGGTTGAGAGGTTTGTCCTTCCTATTTATTCAGCTAGCCTGCCCCTGAACACCCATCCAGAGTGGAGAGAGCATAGTGTGACCATCCTAATCTGGAAATTATAAGGTTTTTATGTTCAGTTGTCCGCTTTCTTCCTCCTGAAATAAATGAATTCCCAGCAAGACAACTTTTCAAGAAATGGAACATTTATTATGCAGTGTCTTTGAGCTCTGCCATCATTCAGATTTAATGGATGTGCAGAGATGAATGAATGCAAACTGGTTCAATTGGTACCAATCAAGCTTTTATGTGAGTTTGTTCAGTGCTTGTGCAGCCCTCAGCAGGAATGGAGATCCCACAACTGATAGCAACATCCTTCTACTATGTCAGTAGTGCTTTGGATTGCTGCACCTGACAAGGAAGACTGGTCATGGGAAGCCCAGTAGAAATAGAGTCCTGCACATCCATTAACTGTTTCCTTCATCTGCACCACACACAGCACTGCTTGTGCTTTCAGCTGCTCTACACCCCCTGTGTGATTACTTTCTGACTTCCATTTGCAGAACTGAGCTGAGTTTGAGATGAAGCCTGCCGATGCTACAGGAATGCCTGGGGTTCATCCCAAAACTATTTCCAACTTTTCATCCTCTTCATAATGATGTAGCTTGTTCGATTCCCCTCTAGTCTCCAAGTACATATGAGCAGAATCATGCAACGAATCCACTGTGTGCAGAAAAGTTTGTAGCATCTCCATTTCAACAATATGCATGAACACACCAGTATTGTCTAACACTGATTGCTTTAAATGAGTAGCAGTACCAATAGAGAATAAGTTTCAGGTCAAAAAGGGGAAATAAGCAGCTATGATCAGGGTGTAGGGAGTAGGGTGCAGATGGCATATGGAGACTGGTGCCAGGTTAGGAGGGCACATCCTCCAACAGTTGAAGGTTAGGAGCTGAGAATAGGAGAGGGATGAGGCATATGCACAGTCCAGTGCAGGTGGAAGTTCAGAGAGTGATAAGGGACTCGTATTTAGGAGCAATATGAGGTAGGAAGGAAAGGGTGCAGGCACCAGCTGGGGTAGATGGAGACTAGATAAAGACAAGATAAAAAAAGGAATGAGCTGCAGCCAGACAGGTGTCAGGTGGGTGGGCAGGTAGGAAGGCACACAGGATGCAGGGGTAAGTGCTTAAGGTTGAGAAACCTGGGAGTCCAAGCTTGAAATAGGTATTGAAGTAGATCATATTTAAATGTATTTTTCCATGAGATATACTTGAATCACTTTTCCAAAGCAACAGAACCCTCTAGACTACAAATGATAGTGAAGAACAGGCATGTGTTCTTCAATATTTTCTTTTTATTAGCTGTTCTCTGTTGTTCAGCTCAGGTCTCAGCACAATAATGTAGCATTTGGGGAAAAAGATGCAACACAGCAATCCTGCGCTGGAAGCTAAGATGGAGAAGATCTCCACAGCCACCATGGATTTCCCCTTGGTGCTGAGGTAAGAAGGAACAAAAGAGAGCCAAACACTGCAAAAGACCAGCATGCTGAAGGTGATGAACTTGGCTTCGTTGAAGCTGCCAGGCAGCTTCCTGGACAGGAAGGCCACAGTGAAACTGAGGGTCGCAAGAAGGCCCATGTAACCCAAGGCACAGTAAAACATCATCACTGAGCCTTCATTACATTGCAGTATGATTTCTTCAGCCATGGAGAACAGATCGATGTCTGGGAATGCGGGTGATGTTCCCAGCCACACAGTGCAGATACCTGCTTGAATGAGAGAGCAGGAAAGAACAATGATACTGGGCCTCTGCCTTCCCAACCACTTCCTCATCCTGGATCCTGGCTGAATGGCCATGAAAGCCAGAACAACCAAGAGGGTTTTTGCCAGCACAGAAGAAACAGCCACTGAGAAGATGATGGCAAACGCAGTTTGTCGGAGGAAGCAGGTGAGCTTCTGAGGTTCGCCAATGAATAGCAAAGCACAAAGGAAGCAGAGCAGGAGGGAGGTGAGCAGAGTGTAGGTGAGCTTCTGGTTGTTGGCTTTGACTATGGGAGTCCTGTGGTTCTTCACAAACACAGCCAGCACCAGAGCTGTGATGAAAGAAAAGGCAAGAGCAAGGATTGCTAATGTGAGCCCCAAAGCTTCTTCATAAGACAAAAAGGTTATGGTCTTTGGAAGACAGAAATCCCGATTCTCGCTTGGATGCTCTTTTTCTGAGCATGGATTGCAATCATTCATGTCTTGAATGGAAAGGAAGGTAGAAAGAAGTTGTTGAGCTTAACAAAAGGAGACAGACAAGCCAAAACAAAGAATTCAATGTCATAAATCTTTATATCAACAGAAACCTTTGCTATCTCCCTAGAGAAATGGTGCAGCTTTCAGCTTTATGCACTGGACTGACCTGTGTTTGGCATATTCTTTGTGTTTAAGCATCACTAAGCAAGGCAATCTTTGGTTGACAACAATTATCTTTCCCATGATGCAGAAAGTTCCCTCAAACTCTTCATTTTAAATGTGCATACTTTTTGGACAATGCAATTAGGATGCCTCTATTACAAGCCAGAATGAAAGTGGGAGACCAGTTCTCCCTCTTCCTCATCACTACTTCCTGCTAGTTCTCACCCCCTTCCCCCAGTGCAGTGCTTCCCCCAGTGCAGTGATCTTTAGGGGAATGGTGCTCTCCAGCCAGCTGCTGGGGGAGAGCAGCCATTGTTCACTTTTACCAAGTGGTTCTGTGGTTCTCTCCTTGGTAGCATGTGTTGCTATGTTTCCTGATCCAGACAAGACAGCAAGCTTTTGTGGTGTGAGAAAACCATAGAACAGGTCATCGTTGTTGTCTGTGGTTTTTAATAAATCATGAACTCTCTAATAGGGCTTCAATGACACATCAATTGGACTTGTGTAAAAAAGCAAATTGCTTGTTTGTACTGCAAACCCACCTAGTCAGTATTTTATTCTTTTCATCTGTTACATTCCTATGCTACCCTATGCTCAGCACTTTCTGAGTGGTTCAGAAGAGCTAGTTCAAAACTGCATTACAAAATAGAAATAATCTCCAAAGCAAAACCCAAGAGCATCACAGTCCAGATATGGACTGCCAGCCACTGCAGATAGTATTTGCCTGAAAGGAGCATGCCAACCATTTACAGTTTGTTAGCAATTTTGCACCAGCTGATGTTTCCTCACCATTTGAAGGAAGTCTTAAGAATAATGCCTTACAGAAATCCATTGAATAGTCTATGGGAACTTAAATCATGAGTCCATACCTAAATGAATATGGATATAATTGGCATACAATAGTGAAAGGTGCTCCATTCTTCAGGGTCCCTGTGTCTCAGGTGACAGTTCTGCCTAATCTGAGTTGTTATGGGGAGTGCAGTGCTCTGTAGAAGAGGTGAAATATCCCTCCTCTAGGGATGTGGATCACACCTCCCATACATTCAAATTGTCTGGATTGAGTGTTTGTTTATGAGTCCTTATCAGGTCCATTAGAATGGCCAGGCACTGGTTCAGACAATCCACTACCTCACTTGGTCATGGTAAAAGGAGGGATAAAGCTGGTGTTTTACACACATTTAGAACAACAGAGACTGAAAATCTAACTGTCCAGGAAGACAGTGTTTGCACCTGGCACTGGCAAGAGCAAAGTCTGTGAACTAGGCAAGCCTCCTTGAGAAGTTCATTGCACAAGTGTTTTGCCACAGAGAAGTCTAACTTCTTAGGAGCCACCCACCTCACTTTCTTAGGTTGGACTCCCAAAGAAGAAAAACTAAGTCTGATTTCTAAGCCTGGACAAGTATATAAGAATGTTAATTCTAGCAGAAATCAGTCTAGCCATATTGATGACATGTTGGTCCACTCTTCCAGATCACCCTCTCAGGTGATTTCATGTAGACTTTGAACAGGAAGGATAACAGAGAAGCCTACAGAACTACACTTCAAGGCATGATAAAATAATCAGGGATTTGCCATCCCAGTAGCAGTTGAACCACTGCAGTTTCATATCTCCAAATCCCAATCCAGACTTTGCATCCAGAAGGAGACCTTGGCTAATACTATTGAACACCATTCAAAAGTAAAAGAAAATCAACACATTTTCACTTTCCTTTCTCCATCCCTTACACAACCTTCTGATCCCTTTTGAACAACAGAAGAACAATCACTCTGATCTAAAAAATAACAAAACAAAACACCAGCCACTTTAAATATCTATCCAATGAGTGCATATCTCCTACCCTTCTGACTTGAGATCTTCCTGGCTGGACATGGGATGCAATCGTAGCAGCAATACGGCTCCCCCTCCTTCACTTTCTTGCTGGAACCTGGAAGGCAACTCTCAGTACATACAGAAAGTGGCCGTGTCTAATGTATGAATTAAAAAGCAGAGAAAATATATGGACAGACATTTTATTTAAATATGGAAGCTTTTCAAGCCAATGATATTTGATATTTCTCCCAGCAATCGTAATTCTGACTTGCAATTCATCTAGCCCAGCATATAAATTAAATAGGGTGACAATATACATCTTTGCTGTACTCTTTCCCGATTTTGAACCAATCAGTTCTTCCATGTCCTGTTCTCTGAGTTGCTTCTTGACCCACATACAGGTTTCTCAAGAGACAAATAATATGGTACGGTACACCCATCCCTTTAAGAACTTGCCACAATTTGTTGTGATCCACACGTTCAATGGATTTAGAGTAGTCAAAGAAGCAGAAGTAGATGCTTTTCTGAAACTTCCTAGCTTTCTTCATAATACAGTGAATGTTGATGTCTAGTTCCACTGCCTCTTCAAAACCTAGCTTGTAGTTCTCAGTTCACATACTGCTGAAACCTACCTTGTAGGATTTTGAGCATAACTTTGCTAGTGTGTGAAATGAGCACAATGCTACGGTAGTATGAACATTCTTTGGCATTGTCCTTCTTTGGGATTGGAAGGTAAACTGACCTTTTCTGGTCCTGTGACCACTGTTGAGTTTTCCAAATTTGCTGGCATATTGTGTGTCACACTTTTATTCCATCATCTTTCAGGATTTTGAGTAGCTTAGCTGGAATACCATCACCTCTGCTAGCTTTGTTGTTTCTAAGGCTTCCTAAGGTCCCTTGACTTCACACTTCAGGATGTCTGGCTTGAGGTCAATGACTACACCATTGTAACTATCAGGGACATTAAGATATTTCTTGTATAGTTCTTCTGTGTAATCTTGCTGCCTCTTTTTAATCTCTTCTACCTCTGTTAGGTCCCTGCTATTTTTGTCCTTTATCCTGCCCATGTTGGCATGAATCATTCCCTTCATTGCTCCAATTTTCTTGAAGAGATCTCTAGTCTTTCCCATTCTGTTGTTTTCCTCTATTTCTTTACACTGTTCATTTAAAAAGGCCTTTTTACCTCTTCTAGGTATTTTCTAGTAATCTGCATTCTTTGGATATATTGTTCCATTTCTCCCTTACCTTTCACTTCCCTTTCTTTCTATTTGTAAAACCTCCTCAGACAGCCATTTTGCTTTCTTGCATTTCATTTTCTTTGGGAGGGTTTTAGCAGCTGCCTCCTGTACAATATAAAGAACGTCTGTCCACAGTTCTTCAGGCTCTCTGTCTATCAGATTGAATCCCTTAAATCTATTTGTCACCTCTGCTGTATATTCAGAAGGAATATGATTTAGGTCATACCTTAGTGACCTAGTGGTTTTCCGTACTTTCTTCAATTTATGCCTGAATTTTGCAAGAAGGAGCTCATGATCTGAGCCACAGTCGGCTCCTGGTTGTTTTTACTGACTGTGTTGAGCTTCTCCATCTTTGGCCTCAAAGCACACTGTCAATCTGATTTCAGTGTTGACCATCTGTTGATTTCCCTGAGTAGAGTTGCCCCTTGGGTTGTTGGAATAAAGTGGTTGCGATGACCATCGTGTTCTCTTGGCAAAACTCTGGTAGCCTTTTCAGGGCTTCATTTTGTAATCCAAGACCGAACTTGCCTGTTATTTTGGTTATCTTTTGACTTCCCAATTTGGCATTCCAATCCCACATGATGACAGGGAAATTATTTTTTGGTGTTAGTTCTAGAAGGTGTTGTAGGCCTTCATAGAACCTGTCAGCTTCAGCCTCTTTGGCATCAGTGGTTGGGACATAGACTTGGACTACTGTGATGTTCACCTGGTGCTAATGTTATATTCTTTTCAACACCAGGTAAAAACCTTTTTATTTACCCAGCATTTTAGTACTTAAATATTTTAACTAGCTTTTAATGGTTATGCTTAGTCACATTTCATCTAATTTTATTTTATTATGTTTGTTGCATTGGTTTTGTTTATTTATTGTTATGTTTATGCGGTAAGCCATTCTCAGATGTATTTAAGGACTGGATAAAGATACTGTAAAACAAACAAACAAATAAAAATACACTCCAGTACTGTTTTCTCCACTCTTTTATAGACTATGAAGGCCACTCTGTTTCTTCTAAGGGACTCTTGCCTGCAGTAGTATATAAGATGGTGATTTGAATTTAAATCGCCCATTCCTATTCATTCCTGTCCTTTTTAGTTCACTGATTCCCAAGAGGTCGATGTTCAATTTTGCCTTCTCATGGCCACATCCAGCTTATCTTGATTCCTAGATCTTACATTCCAGGTTCCAATGCCCTCTGGTCTTCCCGAGTAGCACATTGCACACCTTCCAGCCTTAGGGGCTCATCTTCTGGCATCAAATTTTTAGCCTTTTGATACCATCTATTGTGTGTTCATGTCAAGGATACTGGAGTGGGCTGCCATTTCCTTCTCCAAAAGGTCACATTTTATCTGAGCTCCCCCCTATGACCTTTCCATCTTGGGTGTCCCTGCATGGCAATAGCTTCATTGCTCTATGCAAGCCCCTTTGTTGTGACAAAGGCATGAATGTATTCACAGATACACTGGAACAATTTACTGCACCAGGGCAGAATAGAGAACAGAGACAGAGGCTGGACATGGAAGGGGCTGGACATTCCTAAGCTATATGCCTTGCAATGCAAACAGAAACAACACACTTACAATGTAGTAACAAGCAGGATACATTAACAGCTTATATGGAGGCTATAAGGGACCCAGCCAGGATGCATGACTGATGCTCCATGTTCTCCTGTATTACAAGGCTGAGAAGAACACTTGCAGTGTAATTCTGGTGATGCAGCCTTCTAATATGGGCCTTCAGGACAGAAAGGGCACCTTGCTTCAAACTGCCTCCTGAAGAAACACTGATAAAAGGAGGACCTTGGTGATTCTTCCCCTCTTGAGAAGGTGTGTGCCACCTGCCTTGAGACTTCCAAGCACAAATGCAACACCCTATTCCAACTTGAAAGGCAGCAGCAGTGTATCATGAGAAGATAAACAAGGGAAGTGGGCAGAGGGGTTTAGAGGAAGCAGAGAGAAGACATTTCTCTCCCATCCTCATTTCTTTTTCTTTCTTTTTCTTGATATCTGCGTTTTGCATATTGCATTAAAAGAGGCTTTGAATAGGCCATCTGCTGGTGCTAGCTACTTTTGCTGGCTTTCCAGCAAAGACTCAAGAGCATTACATTTTTTAGTACCATGTCACTCAGAAAGATGTATGTTAGAACCCTCTGAGTCCTGTTGTGATGGGTTCCATGGATTCTGTGGATGTGAAGTCAGTGTTGGTTTCATAACCAGGTTCTGGCTATTCTGCATCACACTAAATAATCCCAACACATCTGGGAAAAGAGACAAAGTCATTAGACAGACTTATATGATAATATATTTGCATGGTTGCTGTTTAGCTGAGTATTCAAAATGCTGTCTATGATATTCCATATACTAAAAACCTGACATAAATTTATTTAAATTTTTTCAACTTGTTTTGAGTTAACAATATTGTTAGCCAAGACAGCCCTCCATGTGTGAGTCTTCTTTCTCATTTGCTTTTATTTCATCCATAAGGCTTCTTTCAATCAAAAATCACTTTTGCATGATATTTTGTAGGGACCAACTAAAGTTAAAGCCAGCAGGGCAGAAGATCAGTGCTTCTTTGAAGGAGGTGATCAGTGGCTCCTACCTGATTAAACCAGTGGTGCCATGTGATGACTTCCTCATTAATGGTGAGTGAGTGGTCTGGAGAAGCCTGAAGATCAATCCTTCCAACTTCCACACGGAGAAAGGATTCATTGGAATAGAACTTCCAATTGATGACATCAAATCCAGCCACCATCTCCCCTTTCTCATTGAAGGAAACCTTGTTCTGAGCATTGTTATTAAATGAGACACCTCTAAGAAACTGATGGAGCTAGATCGAAAATGGAAAAAGAAACCTCAGAAGGATGCAGTTCAGTGTACAAGGCTACCATATAAGATCAGCTGGAGAAGAAACCCGTTAATGAATTCAGGGGTGAAAAGTGTAACTGAAGAAATATTCCTTGTGTTGGGAATAGAAGTCACCTTGTTCCTCTTCCCCCTTCTGGATAAATGAAGATAGCTTAGAAGATCTTCCTCATCCCCAGTGTTTCTACTCACAGAAATTCTCTGAAGTCTGTTATGCTGAAGATAGGTGATTGACTCCAATTCACACAGTGAGCTTAGTGGCTGAATGGGGGCTACAACATGGATCACCACAGTCCAACATCCAAAAGAAGAAAACAGAGGAAGGTGACCGAGATTGGAGTTTAATTAGAGAGAGAGTTTGGGTGGCACTTGTGACAGCAAAAGGTATGGGGGTCCCACACCTGAGTACTTAGAGAGCATTACCTGCCAAGGCTCTTCATTTCCAAACTTCTTCACCCTGTGCTTGGTTTCAGATGAGGACCTGACATGCATTGCATGGGCCACAGCATAGACTGCATTGTAGATGCTGTAGCTGTGGCCAGTCATGCTCATCTCAAAGAAAGATCCAGGAAGGCTCTCCAGTCTTTCCCTCCCAGTGCAGATCTCCTCTTCCTCATTCTCTGCCACTGCACTTGGGAAAAGACAGCCAAAAGCTTGTTGCCAAAAGATCTTGAGAAAATCATCTCCTTTTGTTCTGATTGGACTTCTGCTTTCCTCAAATGATTGGAATCCTGGTAGGTCATTGGAGTGAATCCTCAAGGACAGAGTACCATGGAATATTTCTGTGTCCCAATTCCTTTGATAGACAAATGCATTGATCTCCATGTGGGCTGAGATTATCCATACTTTGCCTTTTAGTTTCCTTGTCCTGTTCTCCACTTCAGGAATATATGTTAGCCATCTAAACAGTGCAAAGGAATATGATTCTCCATGGGCCACTACTATATTAGCTTTGCTGTCCACTAGTCTATCAAATATTTCTGCCCCTTTTTCAAAAATGTCATTAAGATTACTGATGTAGGTGTGTGGGGGGATTTTTTCAATGAAGGCAAAACAGACACCTCTTTTGGAAAAAGTTGGAAAAACAGTTTGTAAGAATCTTTCTCCATTGTCATTATCCACAAAAACAAGTCCAATCCACGTCCAGCTGAAATGTAGGAGCAAAGAGAGTATCCCCTCATACTGCAGAGTTTCATGAGGAACCATCTGATAGAAGGGAAGTCCTGGAGTCTTATTCATGACTGGAGCCACACCATATATGAGCTAAGGAGAGGTTGAAGAAATGTTAGGAAGGTGACAATAATGATTGGAACAAGTTTAGTCTGACTCTCATACATGCTGTCAGCAATTCTGAGAGAAGCACTGCAAGACTTGTGAAGCTTATATTTTCTAAACCAAAGCTCATTCTTCCACAATCAGGAGTCCTCAATATGTTTTTTGAGGAAAATCCTCATGATTGCCAGAAATCATGGGTTGAGGAGAGCTGGAATGCAACACATCTCCATGGAGGCATGTTCAGAAAACTTGTTCTTGTCAGTGGGCCTTTTTTATGAAGTAGTGAAAAAGTCATGAATTCGCATGTCAAATTGCTATGCAAACTTTTTCATGACATCAGGCTCAAGACTCATATCCACAGTAATGAACTGAAAGATCATGAAAAGAGAAAAATAACATTACAATCAAAGTTAAGAAACTCGTTAAGTTAATGGAAGCACCTTACTAAATAAGGTTTCAGTTTTCCTGCTTGACAAGAATTCACGGGCTGGAAAATTCAGTTTCCCAATTCTCGTCTGCATGGCAGAATTTGTCTGGTTGTTCCCATGGAGAAATTTGCATCCCAATGAAAGGGACCCTACAGTTCGATCTTCTGTCTGAGCAAAATATGTCTGATAGCATTATTTTCTATTTTCCACATCCATGTTATGCCAAGTCAGGCAGTGCAAATTGGAAATATTGGTAACAACAGAAAATTAATGATTTCAGATATTTATCTGGCTAATACCTCAGTGTCAGAACTGTTGCTGGTATATCTCTTATATCTCTGTATAGGAATACAACAGTATAATTCAGACTTTGCAATCTCAAAGGAATTTGTCAGATGGGCATTTCTTACTCTACATCTATGGAATATTGTGTAAACATCTGAAAAAATTCACATTGTTCATGCTTTGCTATCAAGGATAGACCCATAGAGCCATTTGTCTAGAGTGGGCAATTGCCATTCTCACCCAGGTGCTCACCTGAAAGCATTGCTGCCCTAAACATCAGCTGAGAGGAAAGCACTGAGTAGGGGGAAGGGGGTGACAAAGCACTGGTAGTAGTGATGGGAGGAGGCAGATCAGGTCCTGGGATTTCATTGGTAATTTTTTTTCAAGATTGAATGGGTTACCTGCCCTAGATTGCAAAATATTACAGCACTTTAGTTTATTTCATCTTTTTATCTTTAAGATTGCACTGTGTAACACACAATGGAAAAGGAATTTTTAAAAGTCACAAACTTGTACCATAGTAATCATGCTAGCAATATTGATAATGGTTCAAAAAACCAGAAACCTAAAGTGCTTGTAACATGTTTCAAGTCATCTTAAGATTGAAAGTCCAAACAGAAATGTGTGTTCATTCCAGCAGGAGTTTCCTATAAATGCTTTGAGAAGAAACTGCAGCAAGAGAGAATCATGTTAATGCCCATTAGGTAAGTTTGGTAAAGGGAAGAAGAATAACTCATCTGGTTGATTTCACTGGAAACATTTTTCAGGCAGAAGCTGGGAACAACCAAGGAAGTGTGGGCATGCAGTTAGTTCCAATCACTTAGATACAGAAAGCAACAGGAATCCTACCTGTGGTATCTTATAGATATCCAAGATATTTGTCATATTGAGAGAGATCTGGGAGTCCAATGACCCAGTGACTGAGATTAGATTATTGTGAATGCCACATGCATAGTTGGGAACCAATCTCTCCTGCATTGACAGAAGTCTCAGAGTGGCCTGGCAGGTTCTCCTTGCATTGTTGTAGCTGTCATAGATACGAAACCCCAAAGTGTGGTTGGGCAGTATGTGAGGGCTCTCATTGATCTCTTGTACGGCGAATGCCAACGCCAGGAGATGCTGGTAATTCTTGGGGATCATACTGAAAGGAGAGTGACACCTGAAGCTCAGAGTGGAAGTCAGCACCTATGAAGCAAAGCTGTTCATGCATGGCTAGAAAGAAGGCGCCTTGAGTTTGGACACTAGGCAGAAAAAGAGCAAGTCAAAGAATGAGGGTTGACACGGACGGAGCTACTCGTAAGTGGATATACACAGTTTGCTTTGACTTAGATGGGGCTCATCCCCCAGGAACAGGTGGAAAGACTGTGTACAAAAATGCCTGCATCAGAGGGAATGGTCTGCAAACATAATTACTTTGAAAATTGTGTTAGAAATATGTAGGCATGAGGGAACTGCCTTAGGGAAAATTACATTAGAAAATCCTTGAATCCTCATTGATTTTCTTTGTTTTGGTGTGTTGTGTACATGCCTGCATTCATGTGCAGTCCAATTCTCTGGTGATTGGACGGAATGAACTCAGGACTGGGTGGAGGTAAAATTGGTGTGGATGGAACACAGAGTCCTTCATGGATCCTTTACCCCAGGGTGCTCATGTACAGCTGCAGCTTCAACTACCCTTTTGAGGAAAAACTCTGGGACCAATTGGTGTTGAGAAGGGTGAAGAAGTAATAAAAACAAATAGCACTACAATCCTTACTTAAGTTCTTTGAGTGAGTCTGGTGGTGGATCTTGAGTGAAGGTTATTGGACTGGATCTGAAGGAGCCATGGAACACGATGCTGCCAATAAGGACATCTCCTGGCAAAAAGGCCTGCAGTGGGAAGGGAGGCTCCCAGATACTGCATTTGTGAATGTGTGCCAGACACACGCTTTGGGAAAACAGTGCCAGAAACAAGACCTCCAAGAGCACCATTCTCAACACAATGTCCACTTTTTTCCAAATATGCAGACATCCCTCTTCATTGTGAACAGCACCTCAGTCTCTGGAGCACTCTGGCATGACATTCCCTTCTCAAAAAGTAGTTCGGTTGGCTGACAGCTTTTTCTGCTAGTAGAGAAGGTTCCTACATTGCACCAAAGGCAGCTTGACTATTCCTAGTTCTTTCCTCATCTTTATGGATTTCTTGGCATATCTATGACAGCCATCATGGTTTTCTGCTTAATGTGTTCTGTGACCATTTAAAACTCCAGAGGCGTTTTATGGAGCAGCAGGATTAATTGTTCCCCATTGGATAATTAAAATGCAAGATAAGAATCAATTCAACGTTGTAATTTCTCTATTGAAATGTTCAGGGAAGATATGTTTGCTGCACTTAAGCATGGGATTCCTGCTTGGACTGCTTTCATCAGAATTGTGCACTGAAAGAGCAGAACTATCTTCCACTGGGGGCATTTTGTCTATATGGAATTTAATTTTGTTTCTCTTATGCTACACAGATGTTGCTCAATTAAAAAAAAAGTTAATCATTGAGAGGTTAAAGTTTTAATTCCAATGCAGAGTTCAGCAAGTTTTATTCAGGAAGCAGGAGATTTTAAACAACCTTTGTGTAAGATGCTGTTATTGTGAACTCTTGTTTTCCTTCTCAGGAATCCTCCAATGATTCCTTGGAACCATTTTTGAATAAATGTGAGCTCTTGTCTTTTAATCATCCCTTCCTCTGTTCCTTTACATTTTTCTTCTTATTATGTATGTAATAGCTTTACATTCCTCTTCAATGAAGTGTGGCCTCTTCCAGTTCAACTCACAACTCTGTAAGGGTGCGGATCCGATTGTGTGGGTCTGCCCCCGGAGCCAGATGGATCCGGATGGATTCCTGAAGGCCCTTGGGCCCTTAGGGAGTTACCAGCTGACAAGACTGGTGCTCCTGTTGAGGCTCTGGTCGAATTATGGAATGGGGAGATGACTAGGGCTGTTGACACGATCGCTCCTAAGCATCTTCTCCCGCCAAGCAGAGCCCACTCTTCCCCTAGGTATACATCTGAATTGTGGGCGATGAAGCAGGCCGGGAGATGGCTAGAGTGTAGGTGGAGGAGATCACGGGATGAATCTGACCGAACACACTTAAGAGCCCATTATCGGGCCTATGCTGTGGCGATGAGGGCGGCAAAAAAGAAATTCTTCTCCGTTTCCATTGCCTCCTACGTTTCCATTGCCTCCTCGACAGTGACACACGCGTTGGTGACTTCCTGACTTGACTTCTGTAACGCGCTCTACGTGGGGCTGCCCTTGAAGACGGTCCGGATACTTCAATTGGTTCAAAATGGAGCTGCCAGGCTGCTGATGGGGACTGGGAGTTATGTTCACATGACTCCAGTCCTCCGTCAGCTTCACTGACTTCCCATTGAAGTCCGGGCCCAATTCAAGGTGTTGGTGATGACCTATAAAGCCCTTTAACGGCTTGGGTCTTGGTTACCTGAAGGAGCGCTTACGTCCATATATGCCCACCCACCCCTTGAGATCAGCGGGAGAGACCCTTCTCCGGGAAACCTCCGTGAAGGAAATTAGGGGGGTAAGTAATAGGAGGAGGGTTTTCTCTGTGGTGGCACCCAATCTATGGAATGCGCTCCCCAGAGAGGTCTGCCTGGCACCGTCGTCGTTTGTTTTTTGGTGCCAGGTGAAGACCTTTTTATTCAAATGTTATTTTAATTGTTAATATTATTTATTTATTTTATTCTTTGGCCAGGGTGACTTAATTTATATTGTTAATTTATATTGTTTTATTGGATTCTATTTATTTATGGTTGTGAGTCTCCCCATGGCTTCGGTGAATGGGGCGGCATAGAAGTCCCCTAAATAAATATATATATAAATAAACTTATTCCCTCTGTCAAAGACTCTGTCTACATTTTTGGGGTTCTGATTGGGGAAAGTATAATACAGCCCATGCCCAAAACCCTTCTTCCAACTCTCTTCAAAAGACTTTTGTTTATTTGGGGATTTAATTGCTAACCAGGTGTTAATATGGTTCAAAGGAGACAGCCTTCTGGCTCTGATAGCAGGGCTAAACCAGCATGTATAAGCATATACTGTTGGTGTAGTCTAGGATTGGAAGTGTCACCTCCCTGAGGTCCTTCTTGCATCCTTTCCATTTTCAAAGGAATGGGGATCCTGTCCTCCCTTCTGCCCCACAGTCTCCTCCATACACATGCAGAAAATGCTGGGGAACTCGCTGCTTGGCTCTGCAGCTGCTTTGGTGCTTGTCTTGGTGAATACTTAGCAGAAAGAACTATCTAGGCTCACCAGTCCTCTCCCCATGAGGCCAGCACTGGCTCTTGCTTCTCAGTTTCCAGTGCCTCCCTTCCAGCCTCAGGGTGCAACACCAGTCCTGGCTTTTGTCTCTGTACCTACCATGGCAAGTCTGTATGCTGTCAGTCTGCATGTTCTCCGTCCTTCTCATCCCATTCATTTCTATGTCCTTCACTCTCTCTCTTTCACTGCTTTTGCTTGTCATTTATCCCACCATGCACCTTCATGCAGGTTTCACTCATTGAGCTCAATCCATGCCCTATCAAGGCAGTGGATTCTTCTGGTTGCAGCCAATGCACTGCTCTGAGGAGTCCCTCCCTGAGAGCAGTTATTTATTTCTCTTATCTGCTCCCTGGATTCTGAGGGGGAGGTGGTGAGCCCCCACAACCACTCACACAGCAGAAAATCCACCTGATTCCATAGTTTGGCTTCCCAGGCTCCAGTTCACTTAGTGGAACAGAGTCAAAGATCCTGATGAGTGTGCCCAGGGTTTGTGCAGGGCTTGCTATGAACTGAGCCACATCTGTTGAAGAAGCAGTGACTTTCATGTCCACTGCTGCTCTAAGTAGTAGAGAGTGTGAAAGAAGAGTGGTAACCATGAATGCGACAAGTAAAAGCTGAGAGTCTGACCCAGAAGTAGCCAATAGAGCAGCTCATGTTGCTGTGTCAAAGAGGAGCAGTGCAGGGAATCCTCTGCTGCAGCTTCCTGGGATTCCAGTTACACTGCATTATTGCCTCCCACCTGCTCCAGACAAGCACCTCCAGGGGCTTCCTGGTCCTGCAGGAAATTGCAGAATGAATCATGCTCTGATCCTGATATCAAATAGGAAAATAAGATCTCCTAAGTAGTACATATACCAGTTGCAGTACTTCACCTGGCTTCCTCAAAAGAAAACTATAATTTACAAGTGAACCTAGGGGCCAGTCAGGGTAGCATTGATGGGTCAGAGCTAGAAGTTCGTATGCATATGTGCATCAGTTCAGAAGTACAGTTTTTGTGTTTCCTGGTGAACATTACTTGCTATGGAATCATTCTGAGGTCATTAGAATTTAAACGGCACCGATGGTCTTCAAGAAGAGCAGCTAAAAGTGAATATAGGGGTACGTGTCAGAATTGTCATATGTATATGATTGTTCCAATCAAGTACAATTGAATCACTTTTCCTAAGCAGAGCAGCCCTTCAGAGTATGAATGGAATGAAAAGTTAGGCAAGAGGTCTTCAAAATTTTCTACTAATTAGCTGCTCTCTGTTGTTCAGCTCAGCTCTCAGCACAACAATGTAGCATTTGGGGAGAAAGATGCAACACAGCAATCCTGCGCTGGAAGATAAGATGGAAAATATCTCCACAGCAACCATGGATTTCCCCTTGGTGCTGAGGTAAGAAGGAACAAAAGAGAGCCAAACACTGCAAAAGATCAGCATGCTGAAAGTGCTGAACTTGGCTTTGTTGAAGCAGTCGGGCAGCTTCCTGGACAAGAAGGCCCCAGTGAAACTGATGGTTGCAAGAAGATAGTTGCAAGAAACTGATGGTTTTGCTGTGCCATGTAGCCCATACATTCCAATATGATTTCTTTGGCCATGGAGAAAAGGTCAATATCTGGCAAAGGGGGTGATGTTCCCAGCCACACAGTGCAGATGCCTGCCTGGATGAAAGAGCAGCAAAGAACAATGACACTGGCCTTTTCCTTTCTCAACCACTTCGTTATCCTGGATCCTGGCTGAGTAGCCATGAAAGCCAGAATGACCAAGAGGGTTTTTGCCAGCACAGAAGAAACAGCCACTGAGAAGATGATGGCGAAGGCAATTTGTCGGAGGAGGCAGGTATGTTTCTGAGGCTCACCAATGAAGAGCAAAGCACAAAGGAAACAGAGCAGAAGGGAGCTGAGCAGAGTGCAGGTGAGCTTCTGGTTGTTGGTTTTGACTATGGGAGTCCTGTGGTTCTTCAAGAACACAGCCAGTACTAGAGCTGTGATGAAAGAAAATGCAAGTGCAGGGAGGGCTATAGTGAGTCCCAAAGCTTCTTCATAGGACAAGAATGTGGTGGTCTTGGGAAGACAGAAAACTTGATTCTTGCTTGCATACTTTTTTTTTGAGCGTGGATTACAATCATTCATATCTGGAATGGAAGGGAAAGAGCTGTTGTTTATCTGAGAAAAAGAAGATGGGCCAGCCAAAACAAAGGATTCAGTTTCATAAACTCTGTATCAAAATAAATAAATAAATAAATCCCGAGTGTCTGAACACAGGAATGGACCAGCTTTCAGGCTCTGGCTGTGGACTGAGCTTTGTTTGGCCCACTTGTGTTGTTTAAACATCATTCAACAGGGCAAACTTTGCATGATGACTATACTTCTTCCCAGATCAGAAATATACCTATAAAATTCTTTGTAAAAAACTAACATTTAAAACCGCAGTGGAAAACAAAAATATTCTCCAAAGCAAAACCTGGGAGCAACACTAATGCTTTAGACAAGCAGTTAAAACTACAGTGACTGAACTGCTAAAATATCCAGGAAAGCAATACCATCACCCAGTGCTGGAAAGAGCTCAGTATGTTTAGCAGGCTAGCCTCTTTGGGAAATTCGTTCCAGAAATGTGTTTCCACAGAGAAGTCCCATTTCTTAGGAGCCACTCACTTCACTTCCTTTAGCAATGACTCCCAAGGAAGAAACTCAAGGGATGATTTTGAACTTTGGGCAAATGTATGTAAAAGAAGATACCATTTTTGTTATTTTAGCCTAAAACCATTTACGGCTTTGAATGTTAATCCTAGCAGAGATCAAATCAGTTGTATTAATGCCCCACATCTGCAGATAGCCTTCCCCAGTGATTTCACGTAGACAATAAACAGGATGAACTATAGCAAAGAGCAAAGAGCCATGCAGACCTCCATTACATATTTATTTATTTATTTATTTATTTTTCAATTTATATCCTTCCTTTTTCCTACAAAGGGCTCAAGGCAGCTTACATCATTCTCCTCCTCCGTCTTATCCCCACAACAACAACCCTGTGAGGTAGGTTGGACTGAGAGTCTGTGACTGGCCCAAAGTCACCCAGTTGGCTTCATGGCCGAACAGGGACTAGAACCCAGATTGTCTGAGTCCCAATCCCATGCTCTTCACCACTACACCACACTGGCTCTCCTTCACACATATGTGCCAAGGCATTGTACGACAATCAAGGGATTAACCATCCTAGGAGTGCTGTTTGAACTACTGCAGTTTAATGTCTCCAAATGACAACCCAGACAGTTCATCCAGAAGGATACCGTCGTTCATCATATAGAGTCCCAATGAGTGGTGGAAGAGAAGCAACACATTTTCCCTTCCCCAACTCCATCTCTTACAAAACCTTCAGTCTCATTTCAGCCACTGAAGAACAATAACCCCAATCTACAAACAGCCACTTTTAACATCTATCCAATGAATGTATATTTCCTACCCTTCTGGCTTGAGTTCTTCCCAGCTGGACATGAGATGCAATCGTAGCAGCAATACAGCTCCCCCGTCTTCACTTTCTTGCTAAAACCTGGATGGCAACTCTCAGTGCATACAGAAAGTAGCTGTGTGTAATATATGAAATTAAAAAAGAAGAAAATAAATAGGATAAATATATGGACAGAAATCCTCTTTAAACATGGAATGTTTTCATGTCAGGAGATAAGTTTCAAAACTGACTTGGCAATTCACAAATGTGTGAATCATAATTCTTTCATAGTGTTCTTTCTTTGATGGTGAGTGCCCATGAAGAACCTCAGTTTGAAGGAAGAAATACATCAAAGACAAGAATAATTTACTGGATGATTTGTCACTCCTGGACAGTGCACTTCTTGAAAAAGTTTAAGACTAAACATTTATTCTTGGAAGGGTGCCTTGAACTGCTTACATATCTATTGATTTCAGCAGGCAGGTGATCACTCTTCACTGGGAACCAGTAACATCGTCATTATGGATTTGTTCAGCAACATCCTTAAATTCAGAGCTAATATCCTGCAGTTGGTAGAAAACTGGGATTAACTGAACAACTGTGGGAACAACAAGCCTATGATAATATCTATCCATATATTTTGTTGATCTCATTTATGATTCATGGCTGTAAGTACACCAGAGAATGGGCTGAAGGACATGGCAGCACTCCATTATGTGGATGGACCAAGTTATCTTGCTGCCACTGGGGATACCTTAGTTCAGCTCCCAGAGACCACTAATTAAAAAAGAAACAGTAGACCTGAACTGACAAAGCAGCTAAATAATGTGAAAGAGAATTTTAATGTGGAGAACTAGATGGATCATTACAAATGGAATGGGCAGAAACTAACGTCTCCCTAAATATTCCTGTCACATCTGGGAACAGGCACATGGGCATTAGACAAACATTACAGCAAGAACTGGTTGAATTTAGATGACTGCAGTTTAGCAGAATATTGAAAATACTGGCTGTGATATCCCATATATTTAAAATACTGAAATAAATGTAACTGTATTTAATTTTTTTCACTGCTTTAGAATTAACAGTATTTTTGGAATCAACTGAAATGAAAGCTAGTAGGACCAAGATCAATGCTTACTCCAAGGATATGACCAGAGGCTCCTACCTGATTAAACCAGTGATGCCACGAGATGGCCTCCTCATCAATGGCAAGTGTTGGTCCTGTAGAAGCCTCAAGATTGATCATTCCAACTTTCACATGGAGAAACGATTCATTGGAAAAGAACTTCCAATTGATGAGATCAAAATCAGCTATGACCTCCCTTTTCTCACTGAAGGAAACCTTGTTCTGAGCAATGTAATTAAATGAGACACCTCTAAGAAACTGATGAAGCTAAGTTGAAAATGGAAATAAGAAGGTTAAGAAGATGGCAGTTTCACACACAAAGCTAGCATCAGCTGTGAATTTATGTCATTGATTATTTCAAGGTGTGGAAAATATGATTGAAGAAATGCTACCCATGTACTGGATGTGAGTTAGGTTGATGCTCTTTGTTTGCTCCTTGTGAAGAACTCAAGACAGATTAAAATTACTTTCCCACTTTTTACTTCCCCAATTACTTCCCCACTATAAACTTTTTCCCCAAGGAGCACTCTAAAATCTGTTCTGGTGAAAGTAGGTGATTCACTCCAATTCACACAGAAAGCTAAGAGTTTAAGTGCGAGCTAAAATTTGGACCATCTATTCCAACACTCAGAATGCAGAGAAAGGTAACTGAAATGTGGAATGGAATCAGAGAAGATTATGAGGGCTCTTGTTAAAGCAAAAGTCATGGGGGTTTCACACCTGAGTAGAGAACATTACCTTCCATGGCTCTTCATTCCTAAACTTCTGTCCATTAATTTTCACCATTGGCCTGTGTTGGACTTCAGATGAGGACATGGCATGCATAGCATGGGCCACAGCATAGACTGCATTGTAGATGCTGTACCTGTGGCCAGTCATGCTCATCTTGAAGAAAGATCCAGGAAGGCTCTCAAGCCTTTCCTTCCCAGTGCAGATCTCCTCTTCCACATCCACTGCTAATGAAGTTGGGAAAAGACAGACAAAAGCTTGCTGCCAAAAGATCCTAAGAAAATCATCTTCTTTTGTGCTGATTGTATTTCTGCTCTCCTCAAAAGATTGGAATCCTGGTACATCATTGGAGCGAATCCTCAAGGACAGAACACCATGGAATATCCCCGTCTCCAAATTCCTTTGATAGACAAATGCATTGATCTCCATGTGTTCTGAGGCTATCCATACCTTTCCTTTAACTTTGGTTTTCATGTTCAGTTCTAGAAAATACTTTAGCCATCTAAGTAGTGCAAAGGAATATGATTCTCCATTGGCCACCCCTACATAGGCTTTGCTGTCCACTAGTTTATCATATATTTCTGCACCTTTTTCAAAAATGTCATTAAGTTTACTGATGTAGGTGCGTGGGAGGATTCTTTCTATAAATGCAAAACAGATCCCTCTTTTGGAAAATATCGGAAGGACAATTTGCTTGAATTTTTCACCATTGTCATTAACCATGAAAACAAGTCCAATCTACATCCAGTTGAAATGCAGAAGCAAAGATAGAATCCCCTCATACTGCAGAGTTTCATGAGGAACCATCTGATAGAAGGGAAGTCCTGGTGTCCTATCTTTCATGACTGGTGCCACACCATATATGAGCTAAGAAGAGACCGAAGAAATTTTAGCATGTGACATTAAAGTTTGGAAAGAGTTCATTCCAAACTGCATTCATGCTGACATCAATTCTCAGCTAAGCACTGCAAGATTTGTCAATTTTATGCTTTCCAAACCAATGCCCAGCCTCTGACAATAAGGAATCCTCAACAAGTGAAATTTTTCTTGGTTCCCAGAGATCATGTCTTGATGAGAGCTGGAGTGCAATGCATTTATGAGATGCCATGTTCAGAAAGCTTTATCTTCTCAGTTGACTTTCTTAAATAAGTGTTGAGAGAATCACAAATTTGCATGTGAAACCAGCATTGTATCTTTCCAGGGCACTGGATACAATGCCAACAACAACAAAAGCAATTATGATAGTACTAATAATGATTATGATGATGTACTGCAATACCATGCAAAGGAAGAAAAACAATTTAAACCAAAATTTTACAAACCCATGAAATCAATTGAATCAGAATCAAAACGAGGTTTCAGATTCTCTGCTTCACAGGAGTACATGGACTGGCAATGCTGGAGTTCTCAAATCAGGTCTGTATGGCAAAAAAAAAAAAAAAAAAAAAAAGGCCTGTTTCATCCATTGAGAAACTTGAATCTGAAGGAGAGGGAACATATCTGTATATCTTCTCTCCCCCCTAACTCTGTATCATTTTATTATTTTTTGCTTCCACATTCACGTTATGCCATGTCAGGGAGTGCAAGTTTGAAATATTGCTAATAAAAGAAAATTAATGATTTCAGATATCTATCCACTTAGTTTGCTAAGTCCTCACTGTCAGAACTGTTGCCTATATACCTCTGACATATTTGCAGAGCTAGTCCTGCAATTAAGAGATTGTGATCACAAAGGACTTTGACAGATGGGCATCTCTTATTCTACATCCACAGAGTATCATGTAAACATTTAGAGCAAATTCAGATTTTTCATGTTTTGGTAGCAAGTAAAGAACCATAGATCCATTTGGCAAGAATGGACAATTGCCGCTTTTCTGTTATTAATAAGCATAGAAATATTAATAATCACCAAAGGTAATAATCAAAAGTCAAAAGTGATTGCAACACATTTTCATTCATCTTAACTTCAAATGTTAGTGCAAGGCAGAACGTAAATCTCTATGCTATGAGAAGGAACTCCAGCATGAGGAGAGTATCATGCAATCTCCCATTAGACAAATCATGACAGAGGCAGATGAGTAAGAACTCCTCCTCTGCATTTCACTTGAACAATTTCTAAGATAGGAGCTGGAAACAACCAGAGAAGTGTGATAGTATTGTAATATTCCAGCCTCTTACATACA